GAATATTCATGAACATAAAATCTGTCAAAAGAATTTTGCATTTTGCATGTTGCGTTCGGGAGATATGGCTAAAAGGTCCAAACAAATAAATATTCATATAAAATCTCAGGATGACGACATCATGACGTCACCTCATTTTTAATCTATAACACATCCTGGTATAGCCACATACCAAGTTTCAACCCAATCGGACTTACATTTCTGTAGATATAAGACTTCACAATATGTACGTAAATTTTCAAAAATCAATAAAAAAATTAGGTGATGACGTCATCGTGACGTCATAGTCTAGGCAGAATTTTTGTATGAGGGTCTTCCTTGGCTGTAACTTTGATGACGATTCCAGATCGCCAAGTTATAAAAATGGTGGCTTGAAAACGTGTACACATAAAAGTCAATGGGTTAAAAATCCAACAGCAGAAAAACTGCACCTTTAAATACGTGATTTGCCTTTAAACTGAAACTTTTTTATCAAATATTACTTGATATTCTGACTCTTGGGAATATTTTCAATCAAATGACAGGCGAAAAAAAATACGATTTCTTTTTCCTTCTCATAGTAATTCTCAGCCGAAGTTCAGAACTACTCAGTAAGATATATCAGTGTTGTATAGGGAAAGACTTGTGGAGAAAGCTGTGTACAAAGTCTATGAGAAAAATTAATTATTCATGAATCCATAATAAATCATTTGATGATGACGTCATCATGATGTCTTAGTCTTGGCATAATTTTTGTATGAGGGTCTTTCTTGGCTGTAACTTTGATGACGATTCCAGATCGCCAAGTTATGAAAATGGTGGCTTGAAAACGTTAATAGGTTAAAAATCCCACAGCAGAAAAACTGCACCTTTAAATTAGTGATTTTCCTTTAAACTGAAACATTCTTATAAAATATTACTTGCTATTCTAACTCTTGGGAATATTGTCAATCAAATGACAGGCGTAAAAAAATACGATTTCTTTTTCCTTCTCATAGTAATTCTCAGCCGAAGTTCAGAAAATCTGTCAAAGTTAGCCGAAAATCGGCTAAAACGGTCACTGTGGACAGGATTTGACCTCAGCAACACGTGCGCTGCAGGCTGACTGACATACGATGTATGTGCCTATGTACAACGTACGTGCATGTACATGTACATGTACATTGTGGACGTCCTGTCCTGTGTATCTTTTGAAGCAGAGGTATTGTCAACGTGAAGTTTTAGGCGTGCGCAGGGTATGTTCGAGTTCGCTTATCGCCTCGAAACTTTGAAATGTTTTAGACCTACCCTTCAATCGACAATTAAAGTAAAAACAAATATAAAAACTGCCATGGTTGATTTTTCAGGAATTTTCAAATGAAAAGGGGTCTTTTTATTATAACTTCTGGTCTGATGACGTCATTTGCCTAAAACTTCCCACACGTCTTAAGTGGGTCAAGGTCATTATATACACCAATATTTAGGCGATTCCGACAAACTTCGCCACAGACATCTATTGAAAATACATTTTTGCTAATTTTCAACCTGTCGGTAGAGGGCGCTCGAAGATTGCATGACGTCATCGGTAGATGATTTGAGGAATTCTATTGGCCAAGAGACTAACACTGTTAAAAGCAAGTTCATATCTATTACCACTTTCAAATAATAAGCCACTTCCGGTTTGGGCCTTTTTCGACCGGAAGCAAGGGTCACGCTATTGCACGCACACTGAATGAAATGAAGACCTTAACCTGCTCTACCACTTGCCGGCAACAGAATGCTGCGGACGCGTACGGTTGATTTCTTATGCATTTTTAAATATTAAAAGTGTCACAATTTAATTGCCTATAAATAAACACAGGATGACGTCATCATGACGTCATCATTCCACACTGTTGTTTGAATTAGGGTCTTTGCTTGGACAAAGATTGGTGTTAATGAATTACTGGCAAAGAGTCAAAAATGCCCTTTGAAAATCGGCAATTATTTTTTTAATTTCTGTGTACAAAGTCTATGGGAAAAATTAAATATTCAAAAATCTATAATAAATTAGTCGATGACGTCACCATGACGTCAATCTTCGGGACACATCTTTGCTATAGGGGCTATGCTTATGCTAACTTTGAATGATGTATGACAAACATTAATGCCAAAAGTGGCGTGTAGAATAAACGTGTACAAAGTCTATGGGGTTTTGGGAAAAAAAGAAGAAGAGGAAGAAGAAGAAGAAGAAGAAGAAGAAGAAGAAGAAAGAAAAAAAATCAGAACAAAAAGAAAGACTTTTCCGCAACAATGCGGAAAAGCCAATTACACGTGCACACAGCACACAGACCTGTTGGTACAAATGAGGGAGGGTACAAGTGCATGTACTTTCATGCCAAGTGTGGCAGTAGTCAACTTGTTCTCCTATGCAAACATACATTTTGTGCCAAGTTGCCCTTTCAGTCAAAATCAATCAAGTGACTGTTTTCAACAGTTAAGAGCTCCCAGCCTACATACATACATTTGTAAAGCAGGATTGACTGGCTGTGACTGTTGATGTAACTTGATACAGCTGTGCTTTGACTGTGGGTGATTGATAAGACAGCTGTGTCTACCAGTTGCCTGCTTTTGTCTGCTGACTGAATTTGACTAGTTAGAGTGTTTGCTTTAAATATGATCTGACTGTTTGTGACTGGCCTGTGTAAAATGCATGGAAGTGGATGGAATCTCTGACTGTCTGTGACTGTTTAAGCAGTAGGAGGGCAAGTCATTTCTTAGTCTGGTTGCCCGGGTTGAGGGGACTGTAAATTGTTTTTCAATTATTATTTCTTCAAAGATCCCCCCCCCCTTAAATCACTCCAGGGCTATTCACGGCTCTAATGCAAGCTGTCTTCTCCGTTCACACTTTACGTTGTGAATTCAAACACCTTGTGTGTGTGCTGGGTCATTTGGTTTGTCAGAAGTGGGAAAAGCCAAGAGAAAACGTGTTTAAAATAGGTGTAATGCTTCATTAACTTGACCTGACCTACATTGTACACTATGTTTAGATTGCAAATTACTCAAAACATGTTATCCGCTCCGTTCACAAGTACCCCCTCACTGGCAAAGAGAGTACAGTTGGGGGTGACCGAATGATGCCATCTTGCCTGACTGCAATTCGTTTGCCGCGAAGCGCAGCCACTGCGTGTACATAGTACAAATCCGCTGGTGTACGTGCGTCACACACAAGGAACGGTGCGCGTCAACCAGCAAAATGTCCCGCCCATGGGACGTCGTTGCTAGGTAAAAGGGTGCCCTCTTTCGTTGGCGCACGGAGCCCATAGAATACAATTTGTACCGGTACAATGTAGATAATGCTTCAATTGTAAAATTACACACAATACTGTATTTGGCCATGCAACCATAACAGCATTACACCAGCCTGGGCCTCTGGAACCTGCAAAAGGAAATAACTGTAAATCTAAACACAAGAGCTTTAGAAGGAGACAGGCTTTCCTAATGTAACAATGTATGTAAAGGTAGACATGATACCCGTATGTACACATTCTTCAAATATAACAAAAAAAAGAAAAAAAGAATTTCAGTAAATCTCATGGCCACTGTCAGACTGTAAAAACAGCATCAGCCAAAGTGCCAAATGCCGTATCCCAATAGTTTTTTGACTCGTCAGCCAGGCTACTTAAAGAGGTTGTGGAATGCTCGAAGACATTTCCGTCATTTTTTGGGTATACATATGTAGCCTAAGGTGTGATGAAATAAAAACGACTATTGTTTCTGTTATGAAATGAGTACAAAGGTTACTTTTGAGAGCTATTTTTCAGGTCCTGTTTAGACCCGAACGTGCAATTTGTGTAAAAGTCGTCGTTGCGGGCAGCAAACAAAACACACTAAATCGTGACGTAATAAACAGGACTCGTTTATGCTACTCTGCATCGGGAGTCCTGTTTATTACGTCACGATTTACTGTGTTTTGTTTGCTGCCCGCAATGACGACTTTTACACAAATTGCAGGACCTGAAAAATAGCTCTCAAAAGTAACCTTTGTACTCATTTCATGACAGAAACAATAGTCGTTTTTATTTTATCACACCTTCAATTTTACACAAATTGCATGTTCGGGTCGAAACAGGCATGACAGAACTTGAAAAACAGCTCTCAAAAGTACCTTTTGTACTCATTTTATGACAGAAACAATAGTCGTTTTTATTTCATCACACCTTAGGCTACATATACCCGAAAAATGACGGAAATGTCTTCGAGCATTCCACAACCTCTTTAAGGAATAGTTTGACTAGCCCACCGCTGTTTTGACTAGCATTTGGCTAGCGGGCTACCGCTAATTTCAAACCCTGCTCAGTAGTATTTACATGTATGTAAATATATCCTCTCCGAACTGTGCATAATTATAAGCTTGGAAAAGTACCGGTAGGTCGTGCTTAAACAATAGGCCTATGGATGCATTATATATACCAAAAAAAACCGGATACCTGTTCAGAGCGTAAAATCAGAACAAAAGTGCTTGGACAATTAAAAATGATCAAATGCAATATCCACTTTGAGCTGTCACATAATTCAGGCATGCAACTTTTCCTCAGATCTGCTGATTTCCTCATTTTTTTTTACTGCTCGTGAATGCCATTACAAATTGAAATATACTGTACAAAGTCTTCTGTTGTTTGGAGTTTCCTCTTTTTTCCCCTAAATTTCCAGTTGCATGCCTGATAAGTATGTATTCACTTTTAGAGTGCATAGTACTGATCAGACAAACATGGTCTTATAATATTCGCCCTCTGCCTGTTATTTTGTTTGTTTTGCCCCACAATTGATTTTGTATCGGTATTAGAAATCCTTGGACCTACCGGTACCGGGTATGCATTGATTTAATTGGACAAGTATGGCACAAAGTCTGGCATTTGAAATGGTGAGGCTTTACCTCGTCCACTAGGCAGGGGAGGCAAAGCAATCAATTGGATAGAATATTGTACCAGATTCACTTAGGCTTGTTTACATTTTCAAATTTTGAGTCCGATTTTTTTACTTTTCGATTTGGGTGTACACAGGCCTATGCATCAGGATGCAACATTGTCATCTTGTCCAGCAACTTCCAACGAGTGCAGATCATACCCGGTGAGAACCAAGGCAACATCCAAGTGGGCTGCATCGACTGCTCCACGGAGAACGGGAAGGTGAGTCCTCGGATAAACCATCAATCTATAACAAAAACAGCATCTGCAAACATACATGTAAAGTTAACCATTGCACGTATGTATTGTGTACTCATGTCACGAGCGAATCCAAGGGTGATGTTTGGCATGGCTATTACATGTACATTTGTAAACCACACCCATTTGACTGACCAGTTTTAATTGTGTACAAAATGGGGACAAAAATCACAAATGTTCTCAAGTTCCTTGAAAAGCGTCATCACTCAATTTTGCAAATCTTGATTTGTTGCATGGTCATTTTATGCATTGACTGTGATACCTCATCCAACCCTTCCCCCTAAAAAAAATCAGCCAGCCCCCTCCCCCTCCCCCCTCGCCTTTGAAAGTCCTGGAACTGCATGTGCACACAGATTGGACTGTTTCGCAGTTAATATTATGAGTAATTAGTCTATTCAAATGAGCATTATAAACTGAGGTTTGAAGCATGTGAATTTCCATGGTACAAACTAAACTGTTGTGCATTTGCGCTGCAGTATGTAGTGGTACACAATGTCTTTGCACAAAATAATGGGATTCTGTACATTGACAAAACACATGGGAACTCTGACTTTATTGTAAAAGCAGTCTTGTGCATGCATTGTGAGATTCAGAAATGCGTTTAAGGAGGTACATTGTACATTGTACAATACAAGTATTATGTTAATGGATGTCCCCCCCCCCCCTTGAAAAACACCATTGATGTTGGTTTACAAGTCCCTTCTGTCAGAGTGTACATGTCTATACATGTACTTGAGGTGGGATGCTGTTTCATTCTGTAGCAATTTTGTTCACGTTTAATCAAGTGGCAGATCTATAGGTGGATAAGGTGGTCTAACATCCACCCCCTCCCCCCCCCCCCCCCCGGGCCACAATGAAATATGACAATCAAACAGAAAAAAGTAGCACATGCCTGCTAACCCCCTACCCCCCCCCCCCCCCTTTGAAAGCAAAACCCTCCCTTGAGCCAGAGCTGGATCCACCCCTGTAATCCTTATTAGGCCTCTCTCAAATGGCGTCAATTTCCTACAGACCAGCCACGTGCATCAGCATTGTGAGCGTCAACATGCATACATTGTAACATGCATACATTGTAACATGCATACATTGTAACATGCATCGGCTGCGTTGTATTTCGAGCACATTTCGAGCAACAAGCGTGCGTGTTTGGAACATTTTCTACACTGTGCAATGCTTGCTTGATTGCGTAAAATACACAGTTACAGTTCTTCTACAGAGATGGCTGTCTTTGAGAGAGACCTGCATGTATTCATCATGGATGTGCATGTACTGTATGTACATGATACAGGTATATACATGTACATGTGCATGCAAACTACTGTATTGTACAAGTACCGGTACGACAGGTACACATGCATGCATAATGTACTGTTCATGATGGAATTAAATATTATATCAATTCCATTACCCCAAAGTACATGTACGGTATAAATTGACAGAAAGCTCACTACTCTAGTGCATGTCATAAACACCCAGCCCACTCCAACACATGGGAACTTGATTCTCTCCGCCCCCTCCCACCCCCTCCCCTCCCCTCCCCCAAGTATAAATAATGAATACAGTCTTTTTCAAGCAGCCAAACACAATTTAGGTAATTATCTCCTTAAACCCAGCACTCTCGGGGTCTGACATTTCGAAATGCAATGTTGTTGTTGCCGGTACTCGGCTCATGTGCCGGTAACCCGTATACCGTCATAGATCCATCCGATCTCTGTTTTCCCTGGTCGCAACCATTGACAGATAGCTCATGCATCGTTGCTTGTGTTGGTTTTGTATTGATTAGGTTTTAGTCTAAGCCTCATAGGGCCTGTAATTAAAGGACGCGCGTGGGGTACATGTACATACAGACACCTGAACCGGTACATGTTAGCCCGTAAATGGATTTTGTTTTTTAATTTTCAAGTCATCAGTTTGTTTGTTTGTTTGTTTGTTTTTTCCTTCTTTTTTGGGGTGAATGAAGATAAAATTGATTTTGACATGTTTGAGGACAGCATGTCAGAATTGACATGTACATGTACACTGTACATGGAGATGGTATGTTTTAAAGGGAAAATACAACATTTGCAAACATCAAAAAATAAAACTACCAAATCATTTTGAAATACCTTGCTGGACTGTTAGTGAATGACAGTGTAAAGAATCCTGTAAAATCATGGCACCTGGTATACTGTCATTTTCAAGAAAAGTGGTATTTTTGTATCAATTTCCAACGCTGGTCGGCCGACCAGCGTTGGAAAACACTGGCTTTTTTTCAAATGACTGGCCCCAATTGACTATCGCACTTGTTTGCAATCGATTACACACCTATGAACGGGTACAAGCCAGCTAGACTGGTTCCCTGACCTTAACAATTCCCCATTGTATGTAAACTGCTCTGTTTCTTCTTATATGGAGTCAGGGAACCAGACTACAGGAAAATGATTGTTTTTCTTGGTTTTTATAGCATTTTCGAACCCAAAACATCGAAAAAGTCAGTGTAACTATATTTGCTATATATTTCCAACCCCCCAATTCCATGCATTTCTGAAAATTACAGCAAAAGCAAATGATGTCTATTCCCTTTAAGAAAATAAATAAAACCGTGTCATTAAGAGCGTGGATCGAACCGGTTAAAATTGCAAGATGAATGTCTGCTGTGTTGATGAAGAGTTTTATGAACCTACGATTCCTGTGAAGAAATGGCAGTGAATGTGTACTGTACATTTGTATGCTACATTGTACATACATGTACCGGTATGATACATACATGTACACTTTGGGCGTTCATGTTCCTGTGTATGTGCCTATGACATGTTTAATGCTAAACACTGTTTTTATCTGTTTATACATACATCACGATTCTCATTATGCAGAGTTATTATTTCTCATACATGTACCAGTCTACAATGTATTTCAACAAGTTTTAAATATTAAAAGCCCCTGTCAGATTTTTGTTGTTGTGCTTCTAGGATTACATTGCAGATTGGTTCACTTAGAATTTGTCTACTATTCCAACATATTTTATTTTTTTCTTCCCCAATTTTCCTTCAGATTGCGGCATCCTTTGCAAATCAAGTTTACATCTTTGAACCAACTCCTCAGGTTCCGGCGCTCAAAAAGAGTTCCCACGTAAGTACATATATTTCATAGCAGGTTGTGATTATATCTGCGTAGAAATGCATGCTTGTCAATTTACAGGAATGCACTGTCTGTACATCTACATGTACATGTACCGATAAGGGACGTACCTGGAAGCACGCCCAGAGCTGTCATGTTTGGACAAGATTTTTTTTTATTTCGTGGGACTTTTTTGCCCTGATTAAGTGGGGCTTTTGGCGGAGTGTCGCATTGGGGGTCTTTACTTGTAAGGCAAAGCAGGGCTGGGGAAATGTTAAGAAAATATTGTGATTAAAGGGGTTTTCCTTTTGATCAGTTCTGTACCGAGTGAGCGTTGATATTACCTATTACCTTGTAGTGTTACCACTCAGAGGTTTTGAAACGTAAAGCACGTCATATAATTATATTTGCTACAAACAAGCCAAAACAAAAACGTAAGTGTAACAAGGGGCATCGCTATGGGGAGGCTTATGGGGAGTCTATAGAATATCTCCTTGCACAGTAAGGGTCTGTGATATGGGAGCAGATTCTGCGATTAATGATGCAAAACAAGTCCTGCGTCTTGACCTGGAGATTCTGACCATTCAGCGGGTGTCTTCTATAACAGGTCTTCAGTAACCTGTTGTCATAGTCGTCTAATAAAACCTAGACACAACATCTATTATGCTTTTATGTTGTGAAATGTGTTAGCAAAAATCGGCTACGTCATAGGGCCTGCGTGGCCTGTAACGATATGTTACGTGATGCACAAACATAGCGTACTTGTGATGTAATTTACTGTGATGTGAAAATGTCTTTTGGTCCATCACCATAACAGTAGCCATGGCCATACACATCTAGTATTTACCAAAACAAAACACAACAAAATAAATGTTTAAATGATACAGGTACCTTCATGCAATTTACAAAGTTGCGAAGTTTTGGTAAAGGACTATCAACTTGTATTTCTTTCTTGTACGACTTTCGTTAAAAGATACATGTAGTGAGATACAAACAATCACAGACACAGTCACAGATGATGACATAACCAATCCAGGGACTACCGGTACCTAAGTTTTAACTGCAGTGAATGGTGATGCTTACCAACTAGACAGGTTACCAGTAACAAACTGGCTACTATCCAAACCAGCGTCATCCTCACTGATTGGTGGTTTGTATCTTGAGAAACACAGAGAGGAAATTTATACAAAAGAGAATTGATGATAAGACTTGAAGCTTGGCATGGTACAGGATTAACAACAAGGAGTTTGGAGGCAGCAAAGAGTATCTCTTCTGTGAGTTGTGTTTGATGGTATTCTCCTGAAGATGAACACAACTCGCTATTCCAACTATGCAGTTTACATGAGTTCGTACATGGTAGAACTGCTAAACATCCTTGCACAGACCGTACCGTGCTAAAGATGGAGGGTTTTGCCCAAAATTGAGTTGGACAATATTGCAAGGAAAAAGACAAAATGCCAATGTTTCCAACTGATGGTAAAATCATGGTTCACATGGCAATCTGACAAGTATTTAAGTTCTGACTGTCATCTAATGTCTTTCATTTTTTTTTCTGAATCCTTCTTAAGTTTCAATAAGCACAAACTCTCGTGAATATGAGTTTCTGCAGTAACGTTACCCAAAACCATGAAAAGGTAACATATGGGTAAACATATATCCTTTTTTCCTTATTTTCATAGTTTTATCATGTTCAGTGCTAATGTTGAAAAAATAAAGAGATTGGGATAGGATTTTGAAATTTTCAGATACAACAATTAGCACTGAACATATAAAACTATGAATATACCGGTAAGTAAGAAAGGATATGTTTACCCCTGTGTTCCAATTTGGGGTAACTTTACTTTAGAAACGCCATAATTATGAACTCACCTGAATATGAGTAAAAAGTGAATTGGAAATTGCTACTGGCTGTTGGTTATACCCCGGTATGACAGTACTGACGAAATAGTCACCACCAGAATTGTCCAATGATGGGGAATACATAAAAGTATAATTTTATTTATTTTTTTTAACTGGAAACAGATTGGGCACTTTGCTTAATACCACCCCATAATTGCGAGTGCTTAAATTGACTCCAGTAAACACAGCGTTGCTTTTTGCATGAGAGAATTTATTATATTTCCCTTAAAATTCAAAAATTTGATTGTTTGCAATACTTTGGAAAAAAAGGAATTATATCCACAAATTATCGTAAATGCTTCTTGATTGAAGGATAGAATATTACTGGTGTATACCGGTAGTTACAAAAAATAATTAAACATAAGAGATAGTTAAAGTGGTTAATAGCATTGGCATTTTGGGAGCTTTGCCATAAAATGCCATTAAACATAAATGTTGGCTTTTGTTTTCTCTAATGGCTAAAAGCAATAGCTTTTGCCACTTCCCTGTAAAATGCCTTTAGTGAAATATTTAATACCTTGCTTTTTGGGGGACAGTGTTAAGGGTTTTTTTCTCTTTTTTTTTCCATCCTTTAATTCAAAACAAAGTTTTGAAAAAAAGTCTGGGCAATTATTGTGCAGTTGTGTTCCATCACTAAGGCCCAAAAAAAAAAGTCTCCGGTTTCTGGTATGCGCTCGCGTCGCCGTAGCCATGCGCGTCGGCAAAATGAAAAAGTTTTTTTTTCAATGAAAGATGATGTCTCAAAACCGCCAAACTCACTGGTTTGACTGGAATCCTGCTGCTGCACAATTTATTTTAACGTGTTTTAGATTGGGTTATGGTCGAGAATAAGCTTTATGTGGCCTCTCTGGACTCCCATATATTTGCACTAAGTTTAGTCGGGCACCATTTGCAATCATCAGCCGACATTTGAAGCAAAAAAAATCAGGTAAAAAAAAAAAGCCGCATCGCCGCACCACTTTTGGGGCGAGCTCCATACCAGAAACTGTGAACTCTTTTTGGGGGGGCCTAATGGGTCATATAACTTTATTATTCTTGGCATTTCTCATAGCCTTTAACCATACCAGAATAACAACTTTTACAATTTGAATAAAGACAAGCTGGATGCAAGTTAATAGACAACCAAGAAATGACAACTGCAAATGTCTAGCTCTGCCTTTTCAGTCCGTCTTGATAATCAGTGTCTAATTCCTAAGATTTTTATCGATGCTTACATGTGCGTGTTATCATTTTTGTAGTCCAAACTGTTCAGAATTTTACTAAGGGGAAAAGATAAAGTCCTGAATGTAAGATTACAATCTGAAGTTCAAGTAAGTATATGCAAGCAAGTTCTTGACAGATATAATTGATTTGTTTTATATCTAAACCCACGTCCTTTATTTATTGGCACCGTCTTGTGCTCTCAAGGGCACTGGTATTTATGTAATCTTGCTACCGTTAATGTATTTCGTTACTGTCACTGGGTTATATTCTGATAAAATAAATGAATAAATATCTGAACTGAAGAGGACGTCTTGTGTCTTGATGGTCTTAACTATTTTCAAGATCTCTATGGAATCAAGTTCTACAAGAGGAATCCAAGAAAACCACAAGTGAAACAAAGAAAGACAAACCATGTAGGAAAGGAAAGTATGCAATTAAAGTGCAATAAATTATTTGTAATTTGATAAAGAGTTTCTTTAAACCACCCATGATACATGTACAATAATTTTGACCTACATTAGAATCAAATGAAAGTGAATTCTTGATATTAGATCATCATATTTGTCTCGTAACCACTTGACAAACTAAATTGAAGCCTCCACATCTGTGCGGTAGTTATGTTGAGAATTGTACTCAATCTTTCGGCCGTCGCGAGGTTGCAGGGGTCGAACAGTGTCCGCGATATGAATGTTGTCTGCGGTACCTTTCTCTTTGTTGTACAATCCGCGGAATTCTTCCATCTGTAATAGTTGACAAAATGGTGGGAAGATTTTATCACGAAAAATTTAGTGTAAGATAAGGAAATCACTCATCATAGTCAGGCAGTTTATCTGTATTTTGCAAGTTCATGACTTGATTCGTATGTGTAGATTTTGTCGCAGAAAGACTGGTTCCTGGTCTACATGTACATGTATGCTTGTGGAACTCAAAGATGGGTACCAGTATACATACAGCTGTACCTACATTGTATTACCACCATGCAGTCAAGAACAAGAAAATGTTCTTCAAAATATCGCTTTCCATTCAGCAAGTTCATGACTTGATTCGTATGTGTAGATTTTGTCGGACAAAGACTGGTTCCTGGTCTACATGTACATGTATGCTTGTGGAACTCAAAGATGGGTACCAGTATACATGTAGTACAGCTGTACCTACATTGTATTACCACCATGCAGTCAAGAACAAGAAAATGTTCTTCAAAATATCGCTTGCCATTCAGCAGTCTTGGTAGGTTACTTATAGGAGAACCCTACCTGTGCTCGGCCCATTTCTAGTGGTGTTCTCCACACTGTCCATGTAACGCCAGTTGTACATTCAGGCCATGTCCGAGAGCCTTCGTAACGGTAGAAGTTTCCAAAATCAGGGGACAGCAGATCAGCCAGATTGTCTAGAGTTGGGACATTTGTGGCCTCACCTATCAAAAGAAAATTAATTAAGTTTAAATTGACTCCACTTCTTGTACAGGTACTGGGCCTGTATATTGTAATGAGTAAATATTTATTTCAGAGTCACTTCTTTAAATTAAAAAAAAAATCAAACTTACCTCTGTATTTCACCTTCTTCACGGCGTTTATCAACTCCTTTAAAAGGGGATTGTCTTTCTCAACCACCTACATGTATGTGAAATATAAATAAAGAGCAAAAACTAGATTTGAAGTTTTGATCTTTTGATTAAGTAAGAATTTCCTCACTCTCCCCCTTAGCCATGCATGTGTGCCTTTTTTGTCTTTCTAGGCATGGAAAAGACACTAATAATAAATAGCAATCAGCCTTGATCAGAAGTAAGGAAATTCATGTTTAGTCTTACATGTACATTGTATTTCATACCTTAATCATGGTCACAAATCCTGACTGTTTCTGTGCAGACATGCTATAGCTCACAATTTGTATCTAGGAAATGAAACAAATTCAGGTTTTTATCTTGCAATGACCGCATTGTACCATTTCCAAATCTGAAGTTCCCAGTTACAAAAAAAAACAAAAAAAAACCCACTTTTGTCTTGAGAAAGGGACAATTATTTAGTGAGATAAAATTAACAAGATAATATTGATCACATACATGTACTGTACTGTACAGTACAGTCAATTTTAATGCTGTTGTGATTACATGCTAAAAAGATTTCATATCAGTCCCAAATGACAGATCAAAATTTCATCAGCAAATATCATCACTGAAATCGTAACTATAATCAACCCCAATGGTGAAAGGCATACATGTACATGTACCAAACAAAACATAAAGAACAAGGATGGTGATTCCAAAATAATAATGTGTAACCCTCCTATATGGAAACATGCATTGTCAGCCTGGTTATTACTTGGGTCAATATTGGTCAAGACCCCCATTGGTTTGTACACAGTATGCCAGGAGGTGAGATAGAAACATTTTGACCGATTGTGACCTCTTAAATAGAAGGAGGGGTACTACCATACCGGTATATGGATGAGATTTGTTTTACTTCAGTCCGCACCCAAAAACTTTGATGTGTTATCTTTACTCTCAGAACACTGACTTACTAAGTAAATCTACATACCTCACCATCATAGAACTTGCCATCCAACTTGTGCTCTGATCCTCGGCCATCTACTCGTCCCCAGTTGAAGTATAAATTGTAGGCTTTATGCCTTCCTTCTAGTCCACCCTTACTGATGTAATATGTGCCCTCAAGGTTGATGTAAACTGAAGTTGTGATACAAATTCCAATGAGTGTTGTTATACAGGCAAATTTAAGCAACAGGTGCAAATTGTGCCTGGGTTTCCTCCTTAAAATGGGGAATGAAATAAATTGCACTCTAAAAGGTAGTGTCCATCATTGGTAATTTGTGCATTATGTTCGTTTGAAGCTGTTTGTAACATGTTGTTAGAGTCCTTAGAAAAATGCCCCTTTAATGGGACATCAAATGACTTGATGTCATCATGACGTTACTTCAATTTACATCTATAACACATCCCTGTCTATATGTGGGTACATGAAGATGTACCTACCAAATTACAACAAAATCGAACCTACATAGGCCTTAGAAAAATGCCCCTTTAATCTCACGTCACGTGACTTGTGATGACGTCATCGTGACGTCACTTACATTTTCCACTGTAACAGATCTCTGTCTATGTACATGTACAATGTAATACCAAGTTTCAACCCAATTGGTCTTGTATTTCAAAAGATATAAATGCCTCGAATTACATGTACATACCTTTAATGTGACGTCATCGCGACAAAAATCTTTGGGGACCATCATTTTGGGGATAAAAATCTTAACGAAAACAAGAGCCGTTTGGGCGGACTTGCCGAAACAGCTAATGAAAGTATGGAATAAGCCTCTGCACTGATGACGTCACACTTTGTTTAGCCGTGTGCTTTCTTATGGGAGCCTGGTGGGGACAACGGTTTCATAGCCCATATCACACACGTAAACAAAGTATGATGTCATCAGTACAGAGGCTTATTGGACATAACAGTTCATCGAAAGGCTAATTGGCTCCTTAGTTTGTTTGGTTCCGGAACCTACATTTGAAGTAGAGGACCCTCTGCAAATGGGTATACTCACCTTTCAATCCATCATTTGCCACTCCCCACCTTGAGATAGATGTCTTGTCATTCTTGAAGAATCCCTCCAACTTTAGATTACCAAGATTGACTCGTGTGGTGTCTTTTTCATTGATTTCAATGGGCGACTGATTTTTGCCTGCGCACTTTGGAAATGCTTTGTACCAGTTGTGGGGCCCTTGGAAAGAACGAAATAGCATTGTTCTAAGTAAAGCAAGCAAGTTAACATTGTAGAACTTTAGCAATTAAGTATGTGAACGCGCGTGTCAAAAAAGAAAGGAAATTTGAACGATTATTGTGTGCCTACATGTAAGCTAGATACTCTGACATGAAAACAGCAGAGCATGACACCTGATACTCTGCTTCTGCTAACATTTTTGCTACCAGTAGTTCCCACAAGAATATACTTTGTTTCAGGCCAGCATTTATCTCTGGTTAATATTTCTATACCCCCTGGATGGGATGCCAGTCCATTGCAAGTTACTCCCCAGCTAATGCTGGTACCCATTTGTACTTGTGGGTTGAGAGAGCAAAGTGGGGGTGACCGCCTTGTCTAAAGACACAACATGTATGGCCATCAGCTGGTTTTGAACCCTTGACCTTCTAATCATGAGTCACAACTTCTCACCACTAGGCCTTTGTTGTATCACATCAGGAAACTGTTTTTTTAAAGGCGAATGTAATATTTTTAAAATGCTCACACTTTTGCACATGAATGTACACATGTACATGTATGTTGCTGCCAAATTACCCTCATTCAGCTGCTAGTGGTTTAAACCAAGTTAAAAGAATGAGAATTTAATTATTAACCATGTACCTTGTGATGTAATGAAATATGATGTGAAATCTTCTTACCTTTCGGTCCATCACCATAACAGTAGTCTTTCTCATCAGCATCTATTTTTCAAAACAAAACCAAAATGTTTGAATGATACCTTCAAAGCATTAAGCGTGTCCAGGTCATATATGGAAAAGTTGTGAAGTTTTGGTAAAAGACTGTATCCATTTAAAACAATTTGTTGTACAAATTTGGTTCATGACAGGGAGATACAAACAATCACAGACAATCACAGACAGATTATGACCAATCCAGGGACTACATAAGTTTTGACTACAGTGAAAGGTGACACTTACCAACAAGAGGGGTTACCAGTAACAAACTGGCTACTATCCATACCAGCGTCATCCTCACTGATTGGTGCTTTGTATCTTGAGAAACACAGAGAGGAAATTTATACAAAAGAGAATTGATGATAAGACTTGAAGCTTGGCATGGTACAGGACTAACAACAAGGAGTTTGGAGGCAGCAAAGTTGTGTTTGATGGTATTCCTCAAAAAGATGAACACAACTCACTGTAATAACCACTTCTTTCATGGCACACATGTTCTGCAAAAATCCCAGCACAGACCCTACCATGCTAAAGGTGTAGTTGCACGAAGGAGGGTTTTGCCCAAAATTTGGTTTGACAATATTTGCAAGGGAAAAGGCAAAATGACAATGTTTCCAACTAATGATAAAATAACGGTTCACATGGTAAGTTTGACAAGTTTTTAACTACATATTATCATCTAATGTCGTATTTTTCTGGATACTTCTAAAGTTCTACAAACACAAACTCACCTGAATATGACTTAAGTGAAATTGAAATTGCTACTGGCTGCGGGTTATACATATGACGTTACTGAAGAAATAGTCACCGCCAGCATTGTCCAATGATAGGAATACATAAAAGTATGCTTTTATTTTGATAACTGGAGACAGGTTGGACATAAATGCTTAATAACACCCCCAGAATTGTGAGTGCTTAAATTTACTCCAGTCAACACAGTTTTGGTTTTTGTTTGAGACAATTTATCATGTAAATCCTGATTGACTGTCCACAATAATAGTGTGGAAATAAATGTTTTCTTAAATTGCTTTGAATTGAATTTAATTGAATAATTATGGGGAAAAAAAGGAATTTAAATCCAAAAGTTATTGATTTACATGATAGGATATTAAAGTTGTGTTTATAAAAAAAAAAGGAATGTATTATTATAAAAGGGTAAAAGCATTGACATTATTTTTGGAGCTTGCTGTAAAATGCCATCGAACATAAACTTTACGGCTTTTATTTTCTCTAATGGGTAAAAGCAATGGCTTTTGCAACTTACCTGAAATGCCTTTAGTGAAATATTTAATACCTGTTTCGTTTGGGACAGCATTAAATGTAGCATGTATTTTTCCTTTCAATCCTTTAATTGAAGCTAAAGCTTTCTAGTAGCCCATATACGCAGTGAACAAAAGTCAGCAATTTTTGTGCAGTTTTGTTCCATCACTAATGGGTCATATAAATGTATTATTCTTGGTGTTTTCCATCACCTCTAACCATCCCAGAATTACCACTTTTACAATTTGAATAAAGACAATTGGACGCAAGTTTATGGACAACCAAGAAATGACAACTACAAATGTCTATCTCTGCTTTTTCACTTCTTCTTGATAATCAGTGATTAAATCCTAAAAATTGTTTATTGATGCTTACGTGTAATTATTTTTTAAGTCAAAACTTTTCCGGTATTTACTTGGGGATTATCAACCTGTGCCAAATATAAAAAAAAGTTGGACTTTACGTTTCGATTTTACAACAAATTAAACAACAAAACTAGCGGCTGACATGTGATGGTAAATTCTAACACGGGAGTCTGTGATTAGACTGGTCAGTATTTGGAACCACGATATGTTCACATGAAATGTGAATCTTAACTGGTGAAACTTGCACACTCTATTCAAAACAAGGAAAAAAAATCAAAGCCACAATTAAAAAAACCCAAAATATGTTGAGTGGCTAATTGTGTACGGAAGACAGAATCCACTTGCTCTGAAAAAAATTGTAACAAAACAATTAAAGATGCAGACATCTAGAAGCATTGATTACCGGAGATGTTATCAGTGGGCAGTGGTTGTCCTTGGAGAGGTTTGCATCGTGCTGGGATGTGGGTAGGTTATTCAACTTCAAGTCTCGGTGAATCGTGACTGGAGATTGCGGTGTTGTGCTCATTCAAGGACTTTTCCCTCGTCCGTGTAGGTCATTGGCTTGTGATGGTTATGCCATCTCTAAATGAAATTAAAATTTGTTCTGATGTTGGCGTGGTGGCATTAGAAAGAAAATTTTAAAAAGCTTGTTTTAGTACTTTGGTATTTACCCGGCTATACATGTTCCACCAATTATTTCAATATTAAAAGTTTACAAATGACATTACAGTGATTTGTAATTTTATAACACCCCCCACTTCCCCTCCCCCCACTCCCTGCCCCACCCCCCCCCCTCCCCCAGTGTTCCCCCAGGATTTTTACCTCATGTACTATATGTACAGATGTATGGATGGCGATGTATGCGAGTTTAATAATAATAATAATAATTAATTCTCACATGTATATATAGCGCATTACATAAGAAATCTCAATGCGCTTTACAAAAAAGTAAATTACAAAAAAGTAAACATAAAGTAAACAAAAAAAAAGTAAACATATTAAAAGCTCAATACAGAATATTACTAGATTCCATTCAAATGTTTAGTTTGAGTTTGACCCCTATCCCTGACTGGGTTCATGGTGCTTGTGTCCTAGGGCAAGACACTTTACTCTACCAAGGAGTAAAATTGGTACATGTACCTACGTGTACAGGGTTCATGTATGAGTACTGATCTTGAACTTCTGCATAAGACTGATCTCTTAGCCTGATGCCTGGATGAACGGGGTATAAACTGTGGAGAACTGAGGCATTTGTATTAATAAGCGGTACACGTTTATATAAACACCAAGTGTAATAATTCTTGTGTACTTTCACCCTTTGTTCCACAGAAATTGGACTACCAGTGGTACAAGACTGGCGGCTTCCAGACTGAATCTCTAGTCAGTAACCTCTCCTGGAATCACAATGGTAACCATGTGAATTTGGGAAGTTGCCCTTCACAAATGTTATTAGCTCTGTCTTGCCAAAACATTTGTAAGAAAAAAACACTGTGGGACTCAAGTTTTCCCATGACCTCCTGTTTTTAAGAGGGTAGACGACATACGATAACTAGTCAACCCCTCATTTAAACCAAAAATTGGTTGAAATATATACCAAAAAAATTGAGCAAAACTAAAGAAAGCCAAATTCTTATTAATTTACATACACTCACGTAAATACACAAGACTTCTGTGATTCAGCAGTTCATGAAACCAACATCTCACTTGTACATTCATTTATGCATGCAGGACAACTTTTAAGCAACTGTTGTTTTACTTCATTAAAGTTCACATACCTGTTATTTTATTGATATATAATTCGCTAGGAGTGCTGATTCTGTCTGTTGCTGGATGCAATTAATTTGTAAAGACCCATCACATATTAATATAGTCTTCAATTTAGTCTGCAAAACCAGAGACTTTGCAGCATAGACTATATTTTGAAGGGTTGTTATCAGAGAGTGTAAGCCAATTTTGCAATGAATTCGACAGGCATGCAACTTTTCCTAGGATCAGCGGATTTCCTTGTTTTTCACTGAATACTTATGCAATCAAATAGGCCTATTGAAAAGGAAACACTGTTTAAAGTCTAGTATGGGCTCCATGCGCCAACGAAAGAGGGCACCCTTTTACCGAGCAATGACGTCCCATGGGCGGGACATTTAGCTGGTTGATGCACACCGTTCCTTGTGTGTGCCGCATGTACACCAGGGGATTTGTACTATGTACGCGCAGTGGTACGGCCGCGAGTCGCGGCAAAATTGCAGTCAGGCAAGATGGCGTCATTACCCAACTGTACTTTCTTTGCCAGTGAGGGGGTACTTGTGAACGGAGCAGATAGGTTTGAATTTCCCCCATTTTTGGTTACTTCTCAGTTGCATGCCTGATCAGGCTGTTTAAATATACTTACATACACAATTTACAAGTCCCTAATTGGAAAAATGCAATATGCTAATAATTAATTGTTTTGAAGCTACAATAATCTGAGTGTGTTTGCCAAAAGTATTCCACGTGTGTATCAATTTCCAAATAAATTCCATGTATCACTGAAATCTATTGAGCATATCCTAATCTCAAAAGCAAAAAAAATTAATTAGTAAAAAAAAGCAACACACAACTGCACACGGTCGAAAAAAATTGGGTTATATCGGTCGATATTGCCTGCCAGTCGCAGTATCGAGTTACGCCCCCGCAGGGGTGAAGGAGAGACACGGAGAAGATTAGTCTGCAACAGATGCCCTGAGAAACATGGCCTCGCAACCCCAAATCCGTGATTGCTTCACCGCCGCCACAAAATGTCAGAGAGATCGTCTGAATATTCAGTAGATTGCCCCAGACAGTTGCCGGGGTAACGACATTCGTTCTTGTGGATATCTGTTGATTGCATCAGGGGATTGGCTCACTTTAAGGTGTGATTGGATTTAACAGGTAAAATGAGACGAACAAAAATCTGGAGTAAAACCTGCAAGAAATCATGACTTTTTCCTGTGGGTGGTTCGTTAGTCCTAAAGGCCTGTTTTCTGTTACAGCTCCAGGTGAATGTGTGGGCGGGATTGCATTAGCTGGGGAAAACATCATTTGATTAGCACGTGCATTTTGACCCGTTGCTATAGGTTACTACATTGTACCATTCAGCACTCCAGACTCGTAACCATTCCGTTTTATGAAAACGGGTCTGGGAACTATTATAAGAAAATGTCTGAAGCTCCAGGATGTCTATGGATGTCCATGCTAACCTAATGTACAGGCCTACATTGTACAATTGTATTATTGTTTGTATACATGTAAGCACCACTCTTCAGTGCAAAAAACTGAAAAGATTTAGAATTGCCCTGGATGTGGCCATGATGCACCATGTTAAATATTTTACATTCGAAAGAATATTTACAATGTGCGTATTGGGACATGTCTAAAATTGGATTCTGTACTGGAAAAATAAATACAAATATGATCAATTTGGAGATAAAAACATGCGCAAAGTATCACCCTTCAAGTCTTAAGGGTATCATCCGTGCCAGAAATAAAAATAATGGCGTGTAAATAATATCAGAACAAAAAATAATATAGAGGGATCGTGAGGTGTCATCAGAAGCTTTGTTAAAGTAAAATGTGTAATCTCCAGTCTGCAAAAACAAAGAATGTGCTATTGAATTACCTCGCCAAAATGTTGGATTTTGCCAGACTCAAGAAGTTGAATGATGTCATACTTGCAGTTCCTTGACAACTGTTATCACAATTCCTTTGTTGTAACTGTAATTCCTTAGAAAATCCTTTACAAAAGGGATTTCTTGCCAAAGGGTGCAACTGCAAACATACTCTTTTTTGGCTAACTTTACCATGGAAACCTTCAAATCTTAAAATCAAATCCTTATCTCCAATTTTGCATGGTGTCCTTTTTTTAAAATCCCCGCAGGGTCACGTATTCTTACCGGCAGCGACTCCATCCAGCTCTGGGCCAGCGTCAATGATGGGGGCGCTCTTCAGGATAGGGCCAAGATAAACAGCGGACTGGACCCAGCGAGGCCGGACAGGGGCTCTCAGTGGGAAAATATCTGGACCTGCACGTGAGTATCTTCAGGAGAATACTTGGACTTATTGTTATACTTTTGTTTCATATCCTCGTTCTTATTCGTTTCAACTGGGCAAGTCTGAAGAAAAAAAATTGTGATGCCAAAACTGTGAAAAAATTAATAAAATGAAATGAGATAAAAAAATTGAGAATTGTATTGGAAAAACTGTAAACATTCTATTGATCCATTGTATTGCAGCCATCGTAAAGATGCTCGTGCTCCACAGGGATTTTACGGTTACTGAAAAGAAAAAAATGCATCAAAAATGGCCTTTTTTAATTAATAGTGATGCGTGAACAAGTTTGAACACCAGTCGTTTTTTGGCCTTGCATATGGCTTCTGTGATGAAAGCAAACAAATAACACTACACTTCATTCTGAATGTGGTCAGTGCTAAAATTGGATGAAATCTAGATACATGTATGTACATATGTGCTTCATACCAGCTATCAAATCCGTGGGTCAGGTCATGTTTCTCAACCATTTTTGTTTTCAACAAAAGACTTTCATGGGCTTCTTGTTTTTTGTTTTTATTCAGGACAGCAACACCAGTCTTCCACTTGCTGTTCTCTCCAGATGGGCAGTTCTTTGCCTCAGCTGGAAAGGTAGCTATTTTTAATTATAACACCCCACCCACAGATTCTGTATCTTGATTGGCTGAGGGAGAGTCACATGTCATTCACTATTTTTGCTGTCTTACTGTGCATGGCCAAAACTACTACACCCGTAGCAACCAAGTACTATACCTGTAACATGAAGCGGAACTGCGTAGCACTGAACCAAAAGTGATGAAAACAAAAGTTAAAAGCAGTGCTCACCAGGAATAATTCTGGCTAAATTTTCGGCCCCGCTGGGCCTTCATCAGAGCTGGACTGACTGTTTGAATGTGGATTTTTCTGCATTCAAACAGTCAGTCCAGCTCCGATGAAGAACCAGCGGGGCCAAAAATTTAGCCAGAATTATTCCCAGTGAGCACTTCTTTAACTTTTGTTTTCATCACTTATATTGTTCACAAGCACTTGCGCTACAGAGCGTTAATGCTGCCTAAGGCCCATTCTAGACGCCGTGCTACTGCTGCGCTGAACTTAATTGAAATGAGTGCGGCAATGGCTCATCTACAGCACGGCAGTGGCTCTGAACGCCAACCTTAATAGTCGAACCTTAATGCATCTGAAGTAATGGGCCAGGTTAAAGCAGTTCAGTGAAATTTTGGCGCGATCAAAATATTCACGCCAATTTCACTCCCCGTGATGCAGACGCATGGGAGGATATTGTGAGCATTCACATTCTTTAAATGTTGCCCCAACTTCGAATTGAATTGAGCTCCGCATTGGCAATGGCACGGCATTTAGAACAGTGCCGTGCCACTGCCGTTCGGAACGACGAAAGCGCGGTAGCCCTGTCGAGCCAAAGGATGGTGCCGTGCTGAACTCGATTTGCCGAGCCAAATGGTTCTAAATGCTTTGCTATCGCCAAATTAAAAAAAGTCAATCTAATTGAGTTCATCACGGCAGTAGCATGGCATCTAGAATGGGCCTAATTGTGTTTGACAGACTGTCTATGGACTCCAGTATGGATGCTGATGTGTGACAACCCACAAAAACTCCATGTGTGATGCACAGAGTGAACTTGATTTTGCATTCGATCTGCATTCGGTGCAAATGTATCATTTTCCAACTGAATGTACAAAAAGCAGTAGAATCTTTGCGTAGTTGCCTGACATAAATGAAAAAAGAGTTGAACTTTCTCTTTGGCAACAATGAGGCAATTTTTGTGAGGAGTCCATCCAACTTTAATACATGTGCACATTTGTAAGACCAACATCTACATGTACATTTATCTTCTTCTTTTTTCCCCAGGCGGACCGACTAGTGAAAATATGGTACCAGACGAGAAAACCCAGCTTCAAGACTGGTGCCCCGACGGATGGGGAAACTCCCAAAGAAGACGCCTACAGCTTTGTGTATATTGCACATCCCCGAGCGGTTACCGGTTTCTCCTGGAGGCGTACCAGCAAATATATGACAAGGTAAGAAGGCATTAGGTCGAGCATAGAACAAGGTTCCAACAGTCATGGAAAAATCCTGGAATTTAAAGCTATCATGGAAAGTCATGCAAAAGTCAGCATAGTTGTACAGGGTGGTGCAAAAAAATAGGGAAACCCACTTTTGTCAGCAATTTTCACCTACTTGTTGAGCATATTTCGAAAAGTCAATTTAATGGCATTACAATATTGATATTTAAACACAAGTGACCAAATAAATGATTCTAAAGGTATATATTGTCTCTGAGATAGTTATGGTATTTAAAAGACTTCATATGCCAAACCTGTTGGTCCACGGATGGCGTTATTCCATCTGTTTGACTGAGCTCCAGAGCTTGATTTGAAGACAAAAAAACCTTACACTTGACTTACACGTCGACGACAGTGATTTAGGTGATTAACGTAATAACACTATTCTTGCGATTTAAAAAAAAAATCAATGCATAAAAAAACCTTTCACTTGACTTACACGTCGACGACAGTGATTTAGGTGATTAACGTAATAACATTAACGTAATAATCACGACAGTGATTTAGGTGATTAACGTAATAACACTATTCTTGCGATTAAAAAAAATAAAAAATTCACCGCATAAGGTTGAAAAGCTATACTTCACAACATTTAAAAAAAGAAACTGTTCAAATAAGTCAAGTAAGTAGCTTGAAATTCCTGTCATTGGTGGGTTCCCTTTTTTGTGTCACCCTGTAGTGGCATTCAGAGCTTTGTAGTAAACATGCTAGGAAGACAGTGACAAGATGCTCTTTAAGTATGAGATGACATGTCAGTTTAGCATGAAAAAGGAAACATTCAGACGTTAACAAGCACCTATTGCCTTAGTAGTTGGTACCTGGTTCTAGCCTGGTTCCCAAACTACCCATTACAATGCACAGCCATAATCAAAATACATCCTGACAGTTTAAATCCGACCAGCAACATTTGGAAAGAATATTAAACGATGTAAATTAAGGATGGCCTCGTGGTTGTCATACACAATCCCAACATGATGAACAACCTCCAGGTAACTTAATCACAGCTATTCAATTCATACATTTTCATGTCAACTGGATTTGGAAATCCGTATTACTATTAAATCTAGCTTAAAAAGGAGTTTTTGAAGCCTTGGCCTCGTCTTCAGCTTCGGATTCAGCTGATTTTGAGCTGCTGACTTGAAGCCACACTCAAAGCTGAGGTTTCAAAAGTGCCTGTACAAATAGGGCTCGTTCAATGACGGTTACTCTGTAGGAGAAGTGCAACTGCGTACTTTACACAATCAAGCATGCATTGCGCCGAGTTGAAATTTTCCATACACACGTGCTTGTTGCTCGAAATGTGTTCGAAATACGACGCAGCCGATGCATGTTATGCAAGTTGACGCTCAAAATGCCGATGCACGTGGATAGTCTGTAGGAGATGACGTCATTTGAACGAGACCTATAGTTGATCCTTTTCTGCTCATTTATTGTCCAGTGGAACTGTCGCCAACATTTTAGTCACGTCTTGCCGGGACAACATCTGCCGGCTGTGGAGCGAGACCCTGCTCCCTAGCAGCGAACTGATGGAATCCTCTACCAATAACCTGAATGTGCTCAACAAGAGACGGGACTCCAGACCTCACAAGCGGCCGACCTTCAGTTTAGGAATGAAAGGAAGGTGAGTGAAGAGGCTGTCGCAAAATGTCTTAGTTCCTAACGTTTCTTGTGTTTGAATTGTCACAGGCAGTCACATCACTTATGTGGTAAGCACTGTGACTAGTCCAATTCAGTCATCATGAAAAAAAGGCAAAAAGTACTCAACAACTGGCATGTCAATCACCTATAGTCAAAGCATGGCTATAGCAAGAAACATGAACAGTCTCAGCCAGTTCATCCTGCTTTATGAAGGCAGAGAGTTTCTAGTATTACAAAAAAAACAGTCACTTGGTCGATTTTGACTGCTATACTCATATTTCTTTACTTGATGAAGGGCAGATTATTCTGTCCGAAACCGTTGAGGTTCCTCAGAACTTCACAAACTCACAAAACAGATGTGTAACATGGTGCAACCGTAAACTGTAACCATGCAAACCTTCAAATCAGAATTCTTTTCAAGTTAACCCGTTTTCGAAAAACGTTTTTGCACTAGTTAACGTGGCTGTGTAAAGCTCATATCGTGTATATTTTTAGCAGTTGAGGAAGGAAGTTAAGATAATGACGAATAAACTAATATGATGACCACAACTGGATTCCAATACTGAGGTGTCACTACGTTAAGTCATACCCAATGCTCGTGCGACCAGTAGACCTGAAAATAATGACATCACAGACTGTTTTACACATGGGCTTTCCAGTGGGAGCCAAGTGGGAATGAGGGGGCATCAAATCATAGTGTCCATTTTATTTTTTCATTATCAATTTCTGTAGCAGGAAAAAGAGAAAATCGGGCGGTACCTCGGCCAATCTCTCCACCGCCAGTACTCAGGAGAGCGTAGAGCCTAATGGGCATGGCGGTCTACCGCTGCACTTTCACATTGCAGCAACTATCAACCCTAACACAGGTAGGTGTTGGTCTGGTATTTATAATTATAACACCTCATGCATATTTATGAGCCAAATGGACTTCTTTCATTGGTCGATGCTCCAATGTGTCAGAGAGGTGAAAGTAACTATCCCCGACATGTCAGGTGTGTATTAACTAATCGATGGTCAAAAGTCATGGGTTAGTTGCCCCCCAGCCAGCTCTTAGATAGATGTTACAATTTCACAGTCACATTTGCTTTGGTGCTGAGTGTAAACCAGCCCCTAAGTTGCTTCGACAATGACTGTGTTACGCAGTAAGCTGTACAGTGGAATGTTGCTCTAATGAAGGCAATGAGGTCCACAAAAGATAAGTGTGTGAGCTTTTTTTGTTATTAATTAACCCTAACCTCCCCCAACTCCATCAAAATCCATCCCCCCATTTAGTGGATTTTGGGGGACTTGGTCCTGCAGGCCTGGTTTGACTAAATATTGATGGAGTATGATGGACTTGGGCCTGGAGGCCTAAAGCAAAGCATGCATTGGAAGCAGTGTGGTTGATGGATTTTGGCAGACTTGGTCCTGTACTTAGTAAACGACAGTTCTGAGTTAGGTTTAATAGTTATTTTCACGAAGTGACGTATCATGTGCACAAAGTCCATAGACGATACATCACTTCATGGTGCACAAAACGTACTGTATTCTGAAAATATAACATTTCGTTAATTTTTTGTTCCCTTCAACTTATTTGCATCATGATGTCCTTGCATAATTCATTCTGGTAGGTGTTTTTGAATTTAGTGTATAATTGTTGTCTGAGTGAAGTGCTGTCGGGGGGGGGGGGGGGGAGCATTTTGATCATTTTTATTACAACACAACTCATAATATTAACAGCTGTGTTTTTTTCAACTGAAAGCGAAAATGTTTATCAAGGTGACTATTTAATTAATTCAGACAGAACAAAAGTTTCATTTTCAGATCCCTTATCCAAAGTGAAACTGCTGAGCTTTGTTGATCAAAAGTATATAACTGAAACGACAATGTATTTGTTTCCTTATCTAGTTATGGTTAAAAATGTGCTCAGAAAAATACAGTCGTCAACGAAACATTGGACCAAAGCCAGCTGTGATAATAGCCAGCTGTGATAATATTTCAAGAATAAAAAGACACAAGAGTAGCATTGGTTTGGTTTGATTTTACTCTTTGCCTACAGAAGTAATTAGATGAAATCAAAACAATGTATAAATAACGTCAAGTCCTTATACACATTTCTGCTTGCAGTACACACAGAAATAATGAACCAAATTCTTGACATATCTTGCATCTTACAATTAACACTAACCCTGTTTAAAGCCACTGCTGGAGTTTTAGTTTCTCAAACTTACCGGTTGCATTCCACTATTAACAACACCACACATGGACAGCAACTATCAACACCACATTATACCACAAGTTGCATTGAATTTAATAAGTAGGACAAGTTCTTTTCGGAACTAAATATCTTCTAAGCAGTGGTTATTACCCCATGGTGTTACCGCAAACCGAAATGATACCGATACTCCACCAAGCAAAGCCTCAAATCTTATATTGTATTGAATAGTTTTGTTGTATGGCTGTGTTGTAGCCTCAAACTGTTTGCATTTTAAAACCAGACTTTCATTGTCCAAATTATGCCCATTGAAAGTTCATAATGTCACAAAGGTGAAAACAAAAATTGCCTGTTAAATTTCGGGTGAATCCTGTACAAATGATCCCAAAAAAAAATAACATTAGATATCAAGTATACGATATATTTTGACACCTAAATTTACAAATCAATTGAAATAAAAAGTGATTTTATGTAATTTGCCCATTCCTTCAGATATACCACTACTCCCAGCCATGGGTAAGATGTCCAGAGGTAACACGCCAAACTTTGTGGTCAACTGGCTCAACAACAAGGAGCTGCAGTACACGCTGGCTGCAGAAACACTGCTGCAGGTGGGTGCCCTGGTTCTTCAGCTTTAACCCTAACCCACCTCACTCCTCCAAAATCCTCCTGGCGGTTTTGGAGGATTCTAGAGGATTGAGGATGAATGGTGATTGAATCAAATGAGGATTCTGGAGGATTGAGGATGAATGGTGATTGAAGCACATGAGGATTTTGGAGGATTGAGGATGAATGGTGATTGAAGCACAAGAGGATTTTGGAGGATTGAGGATGAATGCATTTTGAGGCAGGACTGTCTGACAATTTTGAAAAATTTAGGCGGAGTTGCAAAATTTTGGGAAAATTTGGAGGATTTTGGAGGATTGAGGATGGTTGTAAGCAACAAGGGCCTAGGGGGTTAGGGTTAAGGCCCGTTCAGATGAATGCGAATACGAAGGAAATGTGACGTCAAGAAACTTTCACTTCAAAATTCACCGGATTTGAAATGTGTTATTTTGCGAATTCACTGCCAGCCATGCCAGAAACTTGCCTTGACGTCACAAATTCGTGTTCGGGTTCGCTGTCATGAGAATATGCCCAAATACATTTGTACTGATTAAAATAAGAGAATATCTTGCAAATTATTTGTGCCATTTTACCCAATTACATTTACATTGATAACATTTACATTGATATTGAAAAAGTATCTTGAAAACTATCTTGTGCCAGTTTGCCCAAATACATTTATTTCATGTTTATCATTACTTCGTTGACAAGAAAAGTAGCATAAGTTTTCATGTAGCAACCGCTGTACCAAATGAGAGCTGAAAGAAATTAGTTGCCCCTAGTACTCATAGATAATATGATAGGCATGGTAGGGACAAGACAATAGCACAAGTTGACAATTAATGTTGACAACCTTTGAACAAAGTTTGTGAAATCCGTATTTTAGAAATGCGTTCTGTTTCTTCTTCTTTTTTTTGTATAAAAGATCAATAGAGATGATAAATCAGAGAGTGACCCGGAAGATTCCTCATCGGAGGAAGAGTCTTCATCAGAGGATGAGGGCGTGGTAGAAGGAATGAATGAAGGGGCGGATGAGAGGGAATCGGAGCAAACAAGTCCGACTGTAACTGGAGGTGAGATCACTCCAGCCAATTTGGAATCAGATTGTTGTCATTTGTTACTTTACGTCCATTACAGTGGTCCGGGGTTCAAGTCCTGCCCACTCACCATGTTGAGCTATCAGTCACCCAAGCCTTGCCTCTGTGTCCTGGGTTTAAGTCCCACTCTTGCGTCTTGGCAGTCTACTTAGAGAATAGTGCTTCAAGATTTGAGTACAACATACTTCCTACAGACCTTTATCATGCTGCCACCATTTCAGTCATGTTCCCTGTGTCCAAAAACAGTATTGAATGATTTTTTTTTTGTGCAAAAAGGAACCAGACTATTTTCCTTCCAGCCTCGCTTTGGTTATGTTGATTTGAATGGGAGAAAATAATGATGGCCCCAACATGAAAATGGTCTATTCTTGGTTAAGTCTCCCAAGCACCAAAGCTAATGCAAGGGTTTGATTCTTACTCAAGCTGTTGATTATAATGAAATTGCAACAAGAGGTAAAAGTATGAACATTTTCAAAGAAAACATAATATTCTACCCCTCCCATCCCCACCCCATCCCTTGTACCTGAACAGGTTTGTATGCATGTAATTCACTTGAAAAACTATGATTTTATAACAAACACAATGTTCTTTATACTTGTCATCCAAATAATAAGCCTGAAAAATTCCTCACATTTTAACCCCTTTTGGAATTGGAAAAGATGCATATAAGGAACAAGTACCATATGTGTATATTCAATTAATTTTTCTCTGCTTATATTTTGTCTATTCACAAGCTGATGAGCATGATTTTGGCAATTCTGGTTCAGCCCAGAATGGATCCGTCCAGTCTGGTACGGCCACACCGCCTGAAATCCTGACAGTGGATACCAACGGTCTAGCCGGCAAACCGTTGATGCGACCAGAGAACCTAGGCTCCTTCCCCTCGGTGCCTCAGCTGGCCAGCTTGGCTCATGTGGGCTCCACCCCGCTGGCCAGACTACAGAAGAAGTTTGACAACCTCCTTCGAGAGTGGAACCAGTCCCCTGATATGCTGTTCAGTATTCATCCGATTGACGGCTCCTTCCTACTTTGGTTGGTGGACTGGGTGGACGAGACTATCCCTGGGGTCCACCGCCAGCCCCAGGTCAGCTTCTCCTGCCGGATACCCCAGGCATTTCCTGTCCATGACGCTACCACGCTTTGCACCAACCTGGTGCTGTACCGCAGCAACCTGACCATGGATCCACGGGCTGGCCGTAGGCAGCCAAACCTCCTATCTCCGCGGGAGGAACGTCCTGGTCTGACTCCCAGTTACAGCTTCTCCCAGCGGCTTGGCATGGTGCCGCCGGGGGTCAACATCTATGCATTCACGCCCAAGGTCTCCATGCTCTCCAAGCACTCCAATGGGACCCTGAACCAGTGGGAGATCAGCTTCTCGGAGAACTCTAAGTTCCAGACGGTCCTTAATGTTGCCCACAACTCCCGCTGCTGCGGCCACCGCTTCAGCCTCAACGACATCTCCTGCCATCCCGTGCTACCCCTCCTGCTCTCCGCCTCCCATCACAATATCCCCAAAGTTGAGGTGGACCGTAAGATTGTGACCAGTCGGACTCTCAGAGCATCCTCTGTCGGGCGAAAGTCTTCTATAATCTCTGGAGATGCCGCAGACCCAGCCAACAACATCAGGCGGAACAGCGCCATCAACCTGTTTGGCCGGAGCCTGTTATCTGAGAGCGAACACCACAGACTGGTGTCGCTCTCCAACTCCGTTGCCGATACAGACGATCTGGAGATGGACATGACAGAGAAAGACGAGGTCATCATCCCGGACGAGATGATGGAACAGCTGAACCAGGAAATGAACTGGCCGGACATGAGTGCACCGACAGGCCTCTGCAGTGAGCTGATCCTGTGGAGGGTTTACCCCGTTGGACCTCTCACCAAAGGCGGCGGAGTGGTGGAGCTTGCCCGGATCAACTCTCCCTTCTTGTCTGCATTCTCCCACGTGGCCTGGTTCCCAAGTCTCTTGCCTAGCTCCTGCTTGGGGGCACTCTCCAACTCGCCCAGTGCTTGTTTTGTGGCTTCCGACGGGTACAGTCTCCGGGTTTTCCAGACGGTGATTGATGCTCGGTCTTTTCTGACTGAGGTCCTGCCTGGTACAGACCAGTTTGAGGTACTGTTTATAAAGCATTATTTTCGTACAACACTGAACAGTTTGTCTCACAACTTAATAATAATGATAAAAGACATTTATATGGCGCTTTATGTGAAATACCTCAAAGCGCCTCACAGTAGAAAACTTTAAATCCAAGGTAATAAACTTGGCATTCTGTGTTAGGTTTATAAATAAAGAAGTTGAAAAGACTGTACTTGTGCTCTACCCACTGAACAAACCAGCTCTGTGTTAGTGGTTTGTGACTTCCGATAAGCACCAACAAATCGGAAAACACAATTTCGGAGACTGCCAACATACGTCTTCATAGCGCAGTTGGTAGATCATTCAGTAATATGTTGGGAAAAGATGTTGCAACTTGACGCCACTTTTTTCTTCATATACCATCTAAATAAAGGTCAGTCATTGCAAAAATTATGATTAGACCTGAATCTGGGGCTGAGAAACATTTCCAATTTTGTTAAGAAATGCTTAGAAAATTGTCTTGACTCTCCATAGACTTTATACACAGCCGCTGAAGTGGCATCGGGGTGTAACATGTTTTCCTTATGTTGTGGAGATTGAAGGTACAAGTAATATTGGTTACATATAATCAAAGAGATTTGCCCTGTTTATCAAGATCACCACAGGTGCACATTCCAAGGAATGCCAAGCTAATCCTCCAATAAGCAATAGGGCCCTCCAAATCACTTGACTGGGAGTCTCTTTAATTGAGGTTTACATCCTCTAATGAATATTCATTTGAAAGGGTACTCGCATATCAAGCTGACTAGAGAAAAATGCATTCAAATGCAAGGGTTTGAATTGAAAGAACCTGCCTCTCGTGAATAGTTCAGAAATCTGCCATTGTTTCCCGTCTCTCTTCCCTGCAGGGTTATCTGAGCAGCAGCTCACCGATCAAGAAGTTCATCGACGCTAAGACCAACGACGACTGCCAGCAACACAAGTCTAGTGTCATCAGTTTACAGTCCACAGCGCGTCCAGGATGCATCATAGAACTGGATGCGCTACAATCAGCAAAACAGGTACATCTGTTTGAGATTGATTGGGAGCAAAACTAGGCTTGGGTAGCAGTTTATGATATTAATTACTCAGCAGCGCAATCAGTGAGCTGCACAGTCTGTCAGAGAAAAGTACTGGGCCTTTTGATATTGCCAAAAAAACTTACTTTTCATGTATGTCCCATTATTCAAATGAGGAACCTGTGAAAGGTCTCTTGGGTATAATTATTTATGATTGACATTTTGTCAAGTTCCAGTAAATGGTGTGATTCCTGTCTATTGAACTATCAAGTTTTCTTACAAAAACTTGAAAACAAGTGGAAATCATTTTCCATCTCAGCAGTAAAAATACCTGCCCAAAAAAAAACCAAAAAAAAATTGGCAAAATTATGCATAAATAGTTCAGGCCCTCTGTTACAACTTTCCCAATTTTTAGTATGATTTAGTATTTCTTTAACAGTCCTGAATCCTCCAAATTCAATACGATTTGTGCACACCCCCTGGGGAGTTAGGGCTACAGTAATTTGTTCATTCTTGTTTCACAATGCAGGTGTGGAACAATGTCCAGCTGATGCACATTTTCCCGCACCAGAGCGTCACGGATAATTCGTCAGTCGGTCCCTCCCTTCCCTGCATGCCCACTGACGCCACCAGGCCATATGCTGACAGATTCTATCTGGTCGTCCTGGACCGTAACCCAGCCGGGGAGTCCATCATTCACATGTGGTACTTGGTCGTGGAAGCTAAAATTCTAGAAGGTATCTCAAAGTCAGAACAATATTCCTCTCTCCAAAAAAAAATATGTAAAGGGTCCATGAAATTAATTTTCTTCGGATCATATTTTTGCAACTTTCTCCTTCTCTTATTTGACATCCCTTTTAGGTTAATTTTATTGAAAAGTGCACTTATTTAAGCATTAAAGAAAATTCCATGCTTTTCTGGACAACTGAGGGTGCTGTTGTTGTGATGTCATTTCAAGAAGACACTGTTCAGTTTGGATGTTTTCTGTTCAAATTGTGAACCCCAAAATTTGCTAATTGAAAACATCTGTGATAAAAGTTTGCTTTAATACTGACATGTTCTGACACTACAATGAATCACCTTAGAAAAGAAAATATTCGAAAGCAAAATATCCAAAATTCTGGCGACTTTTGGTGCAGAAATTGCTGTCACATTGAGGTTTCTTCTTGAAATGACATCACACTTTTGCTCATGAATATTGAGATTTTCATTAGTATAAAAACCAAAAAGACACTGTACTCTTGAAAATGGCAAAACCAAAATTGAAATTAAGGTTAAATGAGATACATCGGTGCATTTTCAAGGATTTTGTTTTAAAAAATTACATTGCATTCTGTCCTTTAGGTTTTGTGCACTGTAAAGGCCAGGTCATATTCATAGCAAAAATGCAAATGCTTACGTGAATTAGTCACCTTTGGGCAAGTTTTCACTCTGCAAATTTGCAAAACTTGAACACATTTCAAGTCCGGCAAATTTTGCAGCGAATGGTTCGTGATGTCAAATTACTTTGCTTTTGTACGAACCGGCCTTAAGCACAGGTGAAAGTCCTGAAATCACATTGTTTCTTCCAGGTTACAATAAAACATAATATAGTGACGCCATTTGCTTTTCTCAAATATTCTTCAGAAATGACAGAACCTGCATACATCCCTATGTAGGTACAAATTAATTTGGCACTCTAAAACATGAATTTGTATCCTTCTTTTTACTATAAATCTGTAGTTAAATAGATACTTTGATTTGGAAATCTCAGATATAAAGTATTAGTGATGGTCTAGGTTTTAAGCAGAGAGATTTGCTCATTTTTTACATTCCTCTAGGGTTCTACTTGACCATGAACATACCACTATAGTTTTCCCCATCCTTAGCTTTGTTAAAATGTGATGTCTTGATTGTGAAAAGCATTCTATGAATGAAATGTTTGTTGTCCTTGGCAGTTGAGAGCGTAAAGGAAAAGGAGCACATTGAAGAAGACATCCCAGATGACTCCTCGGTGGACTCATCTGATAGTGAAGCCTCCCACCAGTTTGACTCGAGCGGCGCTCCGCAAGCCACCATGAAGGTGCGCACCTACTCCCGCAAGGTCTGCACCCAGAAGCTGACCCTCCCTGCAGGGGTCGACGTGGTCAGTGCTACGCCTTCCACCAGCCATCTCAGTTCCTCCACCAGCTACCCAGCCATCATGTCCACCTACATGTTCTCCACCGCCTGCTCCGACGGCAAGCTCCGCTTCTGGTGCTGCAAGGTCCTGGACCCCGGTGAACGTCGTGGGAGCGCTGAGGAGCTTAAGCTGGAACTTGAATCGCTGGGCTCTGATGCCAGCCTGACGGAAGACCCCTGTACTGTGCTCACGGAGGACCTCTTGGCGGAAGCCTCCTACCGGTGGCAGGAGTGGAAGCTGATGGCTCAGGACTCTGATCCAAGCAGCATCGTTGAGGTCCCGGGCACTCCTGTATCAGTCAGCTGTGCATACACTGGGAGGATAGGCTGTGTCTATCGGACTGACATCAACCCAAATTCTCAAGTGCGCAGAAGAGAGCCCCAGGCGATCCCGCTCCAGGCTTGCATCTTTGAGTGCGAGTCCAGTGGAGGTTCTGAGTGGGTCTTTGAGGACAAGTTGGACTTGGGGCTTCTGGATTTGGCGCCCTTAAACAGGGAGACTGGAAGCGATATCGAGGATTTGAACTACAAAATGATGAAGCGCAGCTCCAAGGTTGAGGACTTTATCAATTTCAAAGACCTGACAGCAAGCACAAGCCCTGCTGCATTGGACCTTACTAATGTTAATCTCAGCCCAAGGGCTGGCCGCAATAGAAGGATGAGTCCGTCCTTTCTAGGAGAGAAAAGGGAGCTTCCTGTCCAGATGACATGGGTCTCTAAAGAGGATGGGTCTCATGTGCTGACTGTTGGCATGGGCATGCGAGTCATTATCTTTGCACCTGTGCTGCCAAACCGAGCCAACGTACAACTAGGACCTCTCCAGGAGAAGCTCTTAGAGCAAGGCCTACTTGCCAACCCAGGGACCCAAGGAGCTGGGGCAACACTCCTTGCTAAAGAGGACCTAAGGCCCAAATGGCTGCCGCTTTGGACCATTGCTCTCACCAGTGTGGACGGCATCTCACCACTCTCTAAGATGCTTTCCTGGGTGCGGCCTGGTATCCTCGTGGTGGGCCTTCAGAACGAGATGCATGTGTACTCTCAGTGGAAGGGTCCGGAGCAGCACTTGACCAGTGCCAAGAAGAAATTGGGAAGGCGCGAAGCTGATTCTCTGAAGAGGCCAGGTATGTCAGCCAAGGAGTCAGTAATCTCCACTGTTTCAAATCTCTCTGTAGACATGTTGTCACTCCCAATGACAAAATTGGACAGGGAGCAGTCCTACTCTGAACTGACAAGGTTTGCTGGGATCGACCAGGAGGATCCTGCTCTTGAGGTAAATGAGCCCGAGGAGCTTACATCGGACGTTGGGATCTTTGAGTACTCCTACATGGCGTGTCCAGTGCTGCCGCAGTACCATCCCAAGCAGCTGATGGAGCTCTTGAACTGTGGTAAAGTGCGACGTGTCAAGGCCATCCTGGCCCACTTGGTTCGCTGTTTCGCCGGTGATAGTGCTATTCAGAGAGCACTGCTGTCAGGCGACAATGACTCTGTCAACTCATTACCAGAACCTGAGAATAACTTCTCAACCAGGCCGCGGTCTGTCAGCAACAGCCCTGTTGACCAGCCTTCACTGGATGACACCAAGCTGGACTACATTGAACTGATGTCTATCCCACCGCTGCCACTATATGCGCTCATAGCGGCTGACAAAGCTGAATCCCTTCCTCCACCCTCAACCCCAAGTGTCACTAAAGCAAATAACCTCGGCTCCATGCCAATTGGCAAGGAATCCAACGCAGAATACTCCACGCTGTTCTCCTACAGCGTGGACAACTCCGCCTCTCCGACCTTCGATGTCTTCGCCGAGCCGACAGCAGGTGACCGGATGAGCAGTGTCACAATGAAGATGAACGATGTCACATATTTTGGCATAGCTCAGCTGCGCTTGCTAACCAATTACCTAACCCACATGCATCTACCTGGGCTGAGCAGCTTAGATCAGATGAACCTCCTTGCCCTTGCCGATACAGTTGCATCCACCAAGACTGAAGTCACAACCCACAACACGGCAGGCACAGGTATTCCTTTTTCAATTTTTTCTTTATATTTGTGGTTTTAAATTTATTTAGATTTTCAAATATTTGTAATTCCAGTTCAGCCCATTTTCTTTGCTAATTTCTTGCGTTGGGTGTGATACATCTTTGTTCAAACTGCTTAATTAAGCAGATTGAACAAAGATGTATCATAACCAAAGTCACAATTTTTTATCAAATTTATTTCTGGGGACAGTTGCAAAACAAAAATAGTAATTAAAAAAAAATTGGCTTTTCTCAATGCATATATCTGTGTACATCAACTTATTGTATTGGCTTCTCACCATTAGTGTCAATTTATGAAATTGTTTTGAAAATAAGCATTGTTGTTCAAATTAAAAATTGAACTCAAATAAATTGTCGCCGTTAATTGTGACAGGGACTGCAATTGGCAAAGATGGAGCAGGGTATGCGCACACTACAGGAACAACCTCTACCCATGCAGGTAATATCCCTTTATTAACCCTAACCACCCTGAATCCATCAAAATCCATACCCTATTGAATATTTGGCGGATTGAGGATACCTCCATATTGAAAACGGGGATTTTGATGGATTCAGGATTGTAAGCCTAGCGGTACTGCAGGATTTTGATGGATTCAGGATGTCTCCATACTGAGCAGTCACCAACACCAACGTTTTTGTGCATGACACAATAGGTGAATTTTGGCGGATTCAGGATACTTTCCAGTAAAAGTGCTCAAGGGGTTAGGGTTAAACCTCCAGCCATCAACCCCATGAGTGAAACCCTAATAGATGGTCCTCTTATTTGCGAAAGGACTTTTGAGGACTTTAATTCAGCAGTGCTTGAGGTCTTACAACTAGTTATGGTCCTGGTCTCATTCTTGGTCTTAGAAGTCCCAGTCTTGATAGTTTTAGTGTGGGATCTCCAGTTTTTTTCTCAGTCGTGGACCTTGTGGTCTTGTTCTTGGTCTTAGAATTCTAGAGACCAAGAACAGGTGTAGGACCTCCTGAGTTTCAGTTTTTGTGTAAATCTTTAGTCTGAGTTATGGTCCATTAAATCTTTAACAAATTAACACCTTTTTGTTTTATCGCATTGTTTACTCACAGGTGAAACGCTAGATGAATGCGGCTTGAGATTTCTCCTTGCCATGCGTTTCCATGTCTGTCTGCTGCGCTCCTTGCCTCCAAGACAGCAGGTGTGTTGATGAAACAGTAGTGAAATGAAAATTGTACAGTTCCTTCTAAGTTATTTCAAAGTCATCCAGCTTTAAATCGAGTCCCAAGTTATTCAAATGAACTGTGGCAAAGACATTCTTTGTCACTGTTCATACATTTTCATTTGTGACATGTGACTTCTTTTGAATGACTAGTGATTGACTAGCAGCAAAGCTGAGTCTTTAAGTGCTAAACCTTTGTAGACGTTGAGGACCTTTTGCTTTGTTTTAATCCTCGCCACAAAGGAAATACTGATGCCCTCACTGTCAATTCTAGTTAATAATATGACAATTGGCTTGTGATTTGACTTGTGATTGGTGGGTTGGCCACAAGTCTGACTCTACATTCACTGGTATTCTGCCTTCCCTGGTGTTCTTCCAGGTCCAGCTGCGACACCAGGGCTTAGCCACGTCCCACTTTGCCTGGGCCTTCCACTCCGAGGCGGAGGAGGAGCTCCTGTCTATCATCCCTGGGAACCAGGTGGGCAAGCCCACCTGGGCAGAGCTACGGGCCATGGGCGTCGGCTGGTGGGTCCGCAATGACATCACGCTCAGGAGATGCATTGAGAAGGTCAGTATTTGGGGCACTGGCTAACTCGGGGGGGGGGGGGGGGGGGGGGGGGGGGGCCTTCACTCCTCTGGTTTCATATAATTAAAACAGAGGAGTAAAGACAAACACGTTTAAAGCCGGATTTTGGGGAAAATTTTTTTTCACTAATGTTTGTATTTTTTTCATTTCCAGCTTGCCAAGGTCCAGTTTCAGGCCAATAAGAACCCACTGGATGCTGCACTATTCTACCTTGCCATGAAGAAAAAGACACTGGTCTGGGGGCTGTTCAGGTTAGTGAGAACCTGTTTTGGCTTCATTTTATTAATTTTAGTTTTCTGAATGTGTGTGTGGTATACAGGAGATTAGTTTTGTATTTAAACAGAACAACACAGTTTCTGTTATGTCTGTTTTTGGTTTTCTCTGAAAAAAATCAGATCAGTGAGTGATGTCAGAATGACCCAGTTCTTCAGCAATAATTTCAGCCAAGAGCGATGGCGGAAGGCGGCCCTCAAGAATGCCTTTGCCCTGCTGGGACGCCAGCGCTTCGAACACGCTGCGGCCTTCTTCCTCCTAGCCGGTTCCTTAAAGGATGCAATCGCTGTCTGCTTGGACAACATGGAGGACATCCAGTTAGCTATGGTAATCGCGAGACTGTATGAGGAAGATTTAGAGATGCCCACTGCTCAGAAGGAACTCCTGTTTCAGTTTGTCCTGGGAAGGGAGAAGAATGGGAACCTGGTGGAAGGCAGCCAGCCGTCCAAGGACCCCTTCCTGAGAAGCATCTCTCACTGGATGCTTAAGGAGTACACGCAGGCTCTGGAGACGCTCATCATCCCGCCAGCAAGGAACAAAAATGACCGGCAGGAGGTGGAAGCGGACGAGGAGCACTGGGGCAACCCCGACGTCTTCAACTTCTACAACTACCTGAGGACACATCCGCTGCTGATCAGGCGACAGTTCGCTGAGCAGGACAAGCCGGCCAAAGGCTCCTCAGTTCTGATCACAGGCCTCACCAGCGGGGAGGAGGGGGACAGCGTCATCAAGGACGAGATCACGAACGTGGAAAGGAAGCTATTCTTCGCAACAGCGCATGCCCACTCTGCGGCAGGCTGCCCGATGTTGACACTGGAAGTGCTGTCCAAACTGCCTCGCGTGAAATCAAATGGTTCGTCCTCCAAGGATTGCACTGAGTTCAAGAAGGATGCCGAGATGTCAATCAACAACCAAGGAAGCAGTTCTGACCTGATCACCTCAGGAACAATTGGCAGCTTCAAGGACTCTGGCGTTGCGCCTCAGCCTGCTAAAAAGGGCACTGATGCAGTTGACTGGAGTCAGCCGTTGACTAATGGCAAGATGGAGCTGGGGTTGGATCTTGATTGGAGTCAACCTATAGGAAGTAAGTTTAACGATGAACTGCAACTGGAATGGAGCGATGACAACAGCACGGATAGTGATAAGGAGAATGACAACGAGAAACAAACTGAGCCAGTTCCGAATCACTTGCAGAATGGCAAGAACACTGAAGAGAGAACAGACAGCAGGAAGGGGTCCACTGATGGAGAGACAGGTACAGTGGACGTCTTTGCCCAGCAGCTGAAATTCTCCTCCTGCCTGAAGATCATGATGGAGGAGCTCAGGACACTGGCAACGGGGTTCGAAGTGGAGGGTGGCCAACTGCGCTATCAGCTCTACGTGTGGCTTGAGCACGAAGTAGAAATGCTGAAGGAGCTTTGCAGCTACGGGACGAGCGGCATCCTGGGCATGCCAGAGGAGGTAGATCAGGACGGGGAACAGGAACTGGAGAACATTGACTGCGTGGCGGAGCGGGCTCTCCACACCCGCTGGATTGATCTGGAGGAGAAACGCCAGCGGGCTGCCCGGCGCAAGAAGTGGCTCAAGTCCCATCATCACTTGCTGCGGACCCTCATGAGCTACGCCATCATCTACGGGCTGAACGGCGGCGGGTTGACCTCAGTGGCCATCGAACTATTGCTGCTCACCCAGGAGATACAGCAGGAGAGTCTACAGAGACAACTTGCCACTCCCCTGCCACTGCCCACCACCCTGCCATTGCTGTCAGCCAGCATCGCTGCATGCAAGACTGTCATGACCGACCCGATACTCTACCTGCGGAACTTCATGCACGACATTCTGAACGCCGTCTTGGATTTAACAGCACCTCCCAACCACAAGCGGCACATGAGTGCTAAGGTGCAAACCATCCACAGAAACAGCATGGCGCTGTCCGCCTGTATCTACCAGACCCTCTGCGACAGTGACAGCTTCAGTGGTGCGGAATCCTTCACTAAAGCCACGGGGATGGACGCGTACGATGGGCGCAACACCAACGTCATGTACCGGTCTGGCAATCTGGTCAGCGTCAGCCGTAGAAAGAGGCATGCTAGCTGTGATGGGACATTGACAGTTACTTCTCTACCAGCAAAGTGGCCAGGTTAGTGCACAGGTTTATCCGATAATTAGCCACATTGGTCAAGTTCCCTGAAGGAATATATCAAAGTCCAATTGATATAGGTCAAACATCACAAGCACCAGTGTAATTTGGGCATGAGACCGTTTTGTAAGGCCACATTGCATAAAGTGTAGTTTTCTCAACTTTCATTTTCGCTGTACATTTTAAAAATCAACTGGATAGTTTGGATGATTTTCAAGCAATGAGGAAGGGAGAGTCTGGCCACTTTTACTTTGCACGAGCTTGATGATTCTCGAAAGCTTTAAATAAGGGAATAAATGTGTGTTCATGAGGTATTATAACACTCTGTTTAAGACCGGTGGGAGTCTGGATGGGTGATAATTACCCAAGGCGGGAAGACTAATGGGAGTTTGGATGGGTGATAATTACCCATCCAGACTCCCACCGGTCTTTAAACAGAGTGTTTAATACCGATCAAATACATATTTATTCCCATTCATAAATACCTTTTCGGTCAAAAAAACAAATCTTTTCAGTCCAAAAATCAAAACAAGTCAAAAACTAGACGTTGCAAACCATTTTGTTCAACAATTTTACTTCATGTTTACCCCTCTGACTATAGTATGGAATGGCCCTCCACAACTTGTTACCTTATAAGGACATTGGCGTGCGCGTCGCGCGTATTGCGCGATGTCGCGCAAATCGCAGCTGGTCTGGGGAAGTGTGAATTTCGGGCCATGAAATACTGATTCACTGGAAATATTGCGCATGCATAGGTGAGGAATGTGAACATTCAACCAATGAAACGTTAAAAGGTACCGGATTTCATGGCAGTCCAAATTTCATGTGACACTGGAAAAGTGTTTAAGACCAGCTAGCCATGTCTTTATCATCCGATTAAGACCGGCCATGTGACGGGCTCTTGACCAATAGGAATGCGTAAACTGTCTTAGGTATTTATGAATGCAAAATAATGTGCCATTGGTGTACTTGAATATTTTGGGGGATTCAGGAAGGTCTTGACAAAAATGCGTTAGGAGTAACCCCATTCTTTTCACAATGTTCTTCATTCCTAGGCGTTGCAACGTTGCAAGCCCTTCTAACCAATGAACGTGACGAGGATTCCTCCACCCCGAACGTCTTCCTCTGCGAGAGCCTCTTCGCCGTCTACATGAGCATAATAGTGCACGCCATGACGTCCGGTAACGCCAACGAGCTCTTCCGATTGGCTGCCCATCCGCTGGACACCAAGATGTGGTCTTCGGTCTTTGGAGGCGGGGCTAAAGTGCTCGACCAGCCCAAACCCACGCGTAAGATTTACAGAATTTGTTCTCTCTTGTTCTGTAATGCTAGCAACAAGCCAAAAATGTATATCTCCTCTATGCAGAATTGCATCACTCAGGATAGTGATTGTGTTAACCCAGAAAAAAACTGGCAAGCCGTCTTTAGCAAGCTTAGTCTTAGGTAGTTACGATGTCTGCACTTCCAGACCGGGATCAATTTGTCTTACATCACTGAAAAGTGTGACCTTCATGCCAGATTTCAATTTATTTCATCACAGTGCTTGATAAAACAAAACGCAGCATAAAGGGATAAGTACCAAAATGTCACAGGGCCTCTAACTTGGAACTTGGAAGTCAATTTTTTTTAACAAATTAGTTGATTTTAGACTTAAGAAAACAAAAGTAGGAATATGTAAGAATTTTTCTTTGCTGTGTTTTGTGGATGTGGCATTTAATGATAATAATAATAATACCGGAGTCTACCAACATGTATCTACCAACAATTAGGTACTCAAGGCGTTGAAAATTATGTCAATTATTAAAGAAAGGTAAATACATTTTATGAGAAATATGAGACCCATTATGTAGCACTTTGAAGGGTTTTCAAGGTGCTGCAGCGCTATTACAGCCACTGCCAGAAACGGCAGGGTTTCTGGCAGTGGCTGGGTTCTTTAGCATTCACTACACAGCACACGGGACCTACGGCTATACGTCCCATCCGAAGGACGAAGCAATAATGGTAAAGTGCCTCGCTCAAGAGCACCCTTCTTAAAAGTTTTAGCAGATTTTCTGGGGCTTCAAAAGAAAAAAAATGCAAAGAAAGGAAATGACCCTACGTACCTTTAACTTTTAGCCTCAGCAGCCACTGCCCCCACCTCAGGAGATCAGACCCTGACCAAGCAGCGCAATCGCTACATGCTACGACTGATGGGTAAAGCTAGCAGCGGACGCCTGCCGGCCTCGGCCGAGGAGGAGAAACCCACGCCAAGGGACGTCTTCGTACCGCCTGAGACTAGCATTATGGATTACTTCATGATCAAGGTAGTGAAGTCCTTGTGGGAGCAGTAGATGGCAATCTCTTTGTCTTTAAGATCCTTCAGGCAGCACCCTGGCAGTGCTTGAGTCGACTCCAAATCATAAATTATAAATTGAGTCTCAAATCACAAGTAACAGAGGATTAACAATTACAAAGGAATGTCCCTGTCAAAGTTCATTTGAATAGCCCTTTATTTGACTTAGGACTGAATGAGTTCTAAAGACTTGACCACAGCATTGTTGTATAATGCTATGTGGATTTTGAGAAGTAATCAAAGAGACTACACAAGCAATATGGGTAGGGCGGGGGCAAGATATCACGAATTTGACTACCTTGATGAGAATGTGAACTTAAGTCCAGCAATGGTTTGCAAGAGTTTTTTTTCAAATATGCTTGTAATGCTATAATGATGCTTCATTCATTTCGTCACCCAGCGATGTAAGTCCACCTGCAATTGGAGGATTTTAAAATAACATTTCTGGCCTGTAAAATGCTAAAATGAAAGAGCCAACTTGTAGCCCAGTCACCGTGTAACTGACATGAGTGTAGTTGTACATGCCGAACTGTTAACCGCAGTTCTTGGTCAAACATGTTCATAAATTCATTAAAGTTGTGTTCCACATGCTGTTTTCGACTTTCATCCTGAAAAATAAATTCCTTTTCTAATTTGCTGTTTTTCTAGCAATACAAAAGTTATTCACTTTTGAATGAGACATTTGACCTAAAACAATCCGCCCATATTGAATTATTACTTTACTATTTCAAATTATTGGCTGCCAGACAAAATAATTCCGTTCTCGTGGGGTAGGCTGGTTCCAGCCCCACAATCAGTATTGATAATGTACGAACCGGGAGCCAGTCTGCTTGCAAAACTGATCTGTTTGTGTCCAAAACAAAAAAACATTTTTTTTCAGAGGGTTGCAGATGGTTGAAAATGTATTCATAGAAAAAAATTATAATTTGTTGAAGAGCACAGGGAACGCAACTAAAGGAAATAGGGTTAATTTTTTTATTCTGTTCCTTTTCTTCCCACCAGCCATATGTCTCGCCCACCCAGGAAGGCATGGACTTTGACTCTGACGCTAGCGACAGCTCAGATGACGAGGACAGTGACGATGACTTCAGCTACCGAGGCGACGACTTGGACCCCTTCGCCCCCAAGAAGCGCTCGAAGCCCAGCCCCGGGGAAACCGAGCACTCGGACTTCAACTCCTACAGCTGGTGCTTGATGCGTTATGCCTTCATCAAGCTGATCCTGCATAAGATACAGTGCTTCCTGCCTCTCAGTGGAATAGAACTGGCAGGTAGGTCAAACCAAGGATTCCTCAGAAGCACCCATGACACTGTTGCTGGCAAGCCTACAGAGACCTATGGGTAGAAAATACAGAGACAAAGATATGTGACCTCTTTTTCCCGAGTTGATGAAGGAACTCGTTGTTGGTCACAGTTTCTGGTTAACTTATTAGTGGGTTGGGTATGTATGAGTGTATAGAGCTCGCTCAATGACGGCCATCTCTGTGGGGGGGACTGCGACTGCGTATTTTACGCAGTCGGATTTGAATGATTTCTTGTGTGTATTTTGTTGTGATTTACCTTTTTAATGTATCTTTCACACGGTGTAATTCTCTGTAATTTTAATATATAACGATTTTTAATGTGTGTAAATTAAACTGCAATTCGGCCTTTTGGCCGTGAAAGTTTAATAAAATAAACCATTAATAATAATATTATTCAGTTTTATAGACGGGACAAAAAACTCCAAGATAAGTAATGTGGGGAAAACCTCTATACCAACCCCTCCTCCCTGTACAATTTTTTTTGTATATTATCACCACAAGAAATACCTTAATAACATTGTAGACTGATGTTTCCAGGCGTGGTGATACCAAAAATCGATCCGAACATGTGCACAAAAATGTCAAAATTTCTAAGCGCAGTATTAAATAACTGTTATGATTTTCCAAATAACCATGTCAAGCAAAATTCATGCTTTCATGGGAATATTTATAATCAATATTGGAAAATGCTTCATTAGATTGACGTAAAACTTTCAACTATTTCAAAAAATTTCAGAAATATCGGCCATTGTATTTCTGATATCAGAAGGTCAAGGGACAGAGTCTTCTCCCCACACTTCCCCCAACATTCCCCCCCCCCCTTTCCTTCAGCTGTAAGATAGCAGTAGAAAGTTTAAAGCTAAAGTCCATCATTTGCAGCTATCCAAAAAGTAACTGGCGTAATTATTGTTGAAAAACATACTTGGTTGAAAGATAGTAAGGGGACTAAACTCCCTGTGAAATTATTCTTTCTGGCAAGCTGTCATCACCGAAAAAAGGCCTTTCCAACGGTGCTTCTTAAGATGCACCGTAGGAAATTTAAATTAGTAGTTTGTTTTGTTATTTGGCGAAGCGCGCGTTAGCATTGGCACGACGCACACGCACGCGCGGTTGCTATAATTCGTTGGATCAGTGCGCGACATCGCGTAGCTGCAATCGGCTCAGTGAGAACATGTCTCAGAGGCTGAATTCAGGCCCAATTCAAACATGATTCAGCAACTTTTGATTTGAAATTGAGATCCTAGAATGCTGTTTTTCTCGGAATATACGGCTGAAGCTGAGCTGGAACTTCATCAGGTTAGTTGTTCAGTACCCTTCTTTAGATTTTGAGCACTTTTGTTGCTTCAAACGAACAAAATGCACAAAATACAAATGATGGACTATACCTTTAAAAGAATAACTAAAATACTAAATAATTTTGTTTGTTACCCTTAGAGCTGCCGGTAGCTTCCCCCAAGCTTCACAGCATCCTCAAACTCCTTGAGCAGTGGCAGCAAGCGCTGATGAGGAAGCTAGACCTGTTTGCAGGCCCTCCCTTGGATTACATTCCAGGCTGTAACGTGGACACGCCCAGTGCAGTGGGCGGGCCGGCCCTGCTACGCTACAAGGGACTACTGGAACCTACCAATACACCATTCAGGTAGGGCAGTGGTATTTATTTATAAAATGAAATAAAAAGAATAAAGTTGGGGGGGGTGTTTAATCAACTTTATTTGAAGTGGAAGCTAAATTGCAAAGGACCAGCTACAAGGTGGTCAAACCCCAGGCCTGTAAAGGCTTGAGTAGGCTCACAGCCAGATCGAAAGTGTTGATTTTTGTGCAGGGAGGAAAACCAGAGAACCCGAAAAAAAAAACCTTGTGGCACAGGAGAGAATCAACGAACGACTCAACTCATATATGACCCGAGCTTACACTTTACACTAATCGAACATTTCTTCTCAGGTGCAAACACAGAGCAGCTCTCCCAACCAAGCGTCTGTGGAACTACTTAGTGAGACAAGAAGTGGTGCAAGACATCTTCATCTCCTACATCTTCAAGAAGAAGAGATGCTTTGATGACGCGGTAGGCACCACCTAAACGTCCAACCTCTTTTCTGTTCCCAGTTGTACTGAGATTATTCTTGTCAGTAGCACCAAGGAAAAAGCACTTTACACCAACATCTCATAATGCTTCACAATCATTTATCCCTGTTTGTCAGGCCAAAAGACATGCAATTGTTGTAAAGTGTCTTGCCCAAGAACACAATCACCATTAACCCTGTTAGGGTTCAAACACACGTACCATCGCACACGAGTCAGAACACCCTAACCATTGCATTGGGTCCATAATTGTTAGAAATTCCTTTCCTTTTAAAATATTCTGACATAAGTTTTCTCAACCCTGTACTGAAAAAAAATCAACCTCAAAAGAAAAAGACAAAAAAAAAAAAGAATTGGAGGGCAAGGACCTCATTAACAATAAGTTTACAGTTTACATAAGTACAGTCAAAGACACGTCGGTCATTATTGTGAATCTAGACTAAGGGAAAGCTCCGTAATTTCCTTGGATTTATTTTGAAGGCCCGGAGGTTGATTTTAATGAAACATGAACCTTGCCATGAATATAGAAAGGACTTTTCTGAGTTTTAATTGCAGTTTCTAGAAATTCCAGCCACAAGCAATTGTCACGGATGTGTTTCTTGTTTTTCATTGATATCTCCATTCATACATGTAGTTCCCCTGGATAACAATACATCATCGTAAAATTATTTCATGACAGTTCAACAAAGTTTTGGGGAACACGTACTAGTCCTAAATTCAGTATCCCAGTATGACCGTATCCCCCGTACGGATGTGTCCCCGTATAACCGTATGTTAAAGTTTAGGTTAAGTGTTTGAACAAAATGTATAACTTCTACATGCTTTCATGGATTTTGATGAAACTTGGATGCAGTGACCCTTGGGTGGGACGACACAATTCTTCATCAGATTACTGAGGTCAAAGGTCATGTAGGGGTCATTAGAGGTCACTGTTCAAGTATGCTTCAAATGTTTCTCTGTCTATAGAATTTGATGGATTTCAACGTAACTTTGATGGAGTGTTCCTTGGGTGTGGGTTCATGACAACTCTTCCGAAATAGGTCAAATATCATCGAGGGGTCATTGTTTAAAAATGCACAAAATTTACTTTTTTTAAGACCACAAAACATATAGAGATCGACAAGGCAAAAAAGGCGGCAGATACGATCGGTGGATCACTTGTTTTTCCTCCCTGGTTGTGTTTTTTTTTTAACCCTTTAAACCTTACTACCCAAAATATGGCGAGATCTGACACCCAAGTTTGGAACTTTTTCCTGATGGATTCAGGAATGCATAGATCAACCAAAATGTCTTCACATGGCCTGTGATCTTCCAGTGTTGATGATATATAAACATGGACAAAAGAATCCGGACCTCTTTTTGAAGGGTTCAGGAATGCACTGAAAGAAATCAGAATTGTTTTTATGGATCAACCGCAATTTTCTTCATTTGGCATTCGATGTTCCAGTTGTTATTATTTGTCATGGAAACATGTTAAGCCAATGCCGTAACTGCCTGCATGAATACCTGTCAGAACTTAGCCCACAATTCATTCGCGCGATTCGGCCCCGGGATTCAGCATTTCTAGCCCGCGATCCAGCCGTGCATTTAGCTGTACATGTACATTCAAAACCCAGAACCCATGTAAGGGAGATGCTAAACAAATCAGTATCTTGACACAATCGTGTGCTGAATCACGGGCTTAATTCTGACAGGACGGCACCCTAACATCGGAAAGCATGGTGTAATCCTGGGTGCGATTGTATGTTTAGTCTAACGTATGGAGAAGGTTCCTTACTCCCCTTGGATTCGGCAAGGGTGAGATACCGGTACAATGCCTGTCTTTAAAGAAATAAGGAAATGATTTTGCTATCAATTTTGAATTAAATCCTGTTCTTGTTTTGTGTTTAAGGTTGACTCAGTACGAGGCATTCCTGGCTTTGGGACAATGCCAACTTCCAAGGTCAAACTCATCCACAAGGAACAGGAGAAGATACCAGCATTTTGCTTCAATAAGGTATGAATTGGTACAAACTCTGAATGGGCTGGGCTTAGACACCCCTCCCCCCCTCCCCCATACATACAGATGGCATTAGAGTCAGGTTAAAAACTTGTCGCCAGACTTTTCATTTCATGTCTTGCTTATGCTTGTCCAGATCACCTCTCTCATTGATTTTTATTTTATTGTATGTTTTGCTGCAAACGAGAACTAAAATCTGTTTAAAAACTGTAGCCTGTGCATGTCTCCCTCTGACTGACCCTCCCTCCTCCCCCTCCCACAAAAAAAGGAGAAAATTCTTGTCCCATCCCAACATTATGTCTGTGTTGTCTTTAGATTAAATCAGATTTTGAAAGTTTTGAATGATGAATGAATGAAGAAGACTTGTGAAGTGCGGTATCTGCCACAGATGGGCGTTCATGGCACTTGCCATAAGATGTCCAACCCTGACCAGCAATTATGCAGCGCATTATTAAGTCAGCATTGAGACTGGTTCATTATATGCGTGGTATCGATAAACTATTCATTAGGGCTATGGGGAACGTCAAATTAATGTTTAACAAGTTGGAGTTGTGATATTCGCTTCACTTTCTGTTTTGAGAGGACTATGAATGAGCCTCAGTTGTTGCAGAAAAAAAAGTAATTTGTTTTTGTATAGTTTGGCAGTTTAATTGCTTGTGTGACTGAATTACCCTAAAAGCAAGAACCCCCCCCCCTTTCCAATGTGCCCTTTGCCCTTTGCAGGTTGACTTGTCGTGAATATACATGTACCCCAAGTACAGCGACTGAGGCACAACTCACAACTGGTCTTGTCAAGTTCTAAAAATGATAATCCTAGGGACATTTTCTAAATATTGTAGTAAAGTGTGATTTTACAAGCCCTAATCAATGTTTTGTAAACTGTTTTTTCCAAGCACTATGATGCGTCTTACATGCTGACCCTGTGTACCGTGGTTGTACTACATGTAGCACCTGGCATGAGATGATCACGTGATGATCATGTGACGATCACATGATAGTAATTAATTATTAATCGCCTTCCCTTTCCCAACTGTTCCCTCCTCCCTTCCCCTCATCAGGCGGACTGGAAGAACGTGACAATGAACGGCGAGTACCGAGTATGTAAAAAAAAGAAAAATCCCTTAGATTACTTAACTGCACATGGCACAAACGCAGGAGTTTTTTTTTAGCTTCAGTTTTTTTTTTAATTGCATGCTGTGCTGAAATTGCTGGTTACTAAACAGCAGAAACCTTACTACTAATTCCTGCATTTTTTCTTCCTTCTTAATATAGCAGGTTGAGGTGGAGGTACTTTTAATGATTATTCATAAATACCTGAGACAGTTTACCCATTGCCATTGGTCAAGAGCCCTTTACGCAGGTGGTTTTGAACCACCAGTAAAATACCGCTGCGTTCTGCACCACATTGCGCAGTACACGCCTCACACGCGCCATTTTCCATATAAGGAGATTTTTAGCACTACGCCCACGAGGCACATGCCATAGACATGGCCAGAGGGGTGTTTCACAAAACATGTAGTAAAATTGTTCAACAAAATCGATGAAAGATTTTGATCGAAAGGTATTTATGGATGGGAATAAATATGTTTTTGGATGGAATTAAACAAGTACGTTTATTAATGGCCCTGGCCTTTTGCTTGGGCCATCATCCGTGTCCAGGCCCCTAGGTTTCTTAAAACCATCCGAGCAAATATTTATTCCCTAAACCAAAACTTCTTTTTTTTTTAAAACAGGTGGTTTCAGGTTTTTGGAGTCATGCATGTTCCTATTTCTGGGATGTTTTGGTTAAGGGTTTTTAAATTTACACTTGCAAAAATGTCTTTCATAAACAATTACTCTTGAAAATTTTCACTTTAAAAATTGCCCGTAAAATTACAGTGCATTTCCCATATTTTTTTTTTTACGGTTTCTACTGTTTTTGCTTTAACCGAAATGGTGGAAAAACCATTAAAAAAAGATGGAAAATGAATTGTAATTTTATGGAATGTTTATAAAGTGTTGGTGAAGGGTATTTTCGGGGGCTAGAAAGGTTTTGTTTATATGGGTTCAGTCTTATATGTTTTAAATCTGCCATTGCAACAAAATACATAAAAAGAGCATACACTTGTTTTGCCCTTGAAGCACATTGGATGACTAGGATCGGTATTTATGATTCTTTCAGAAACCATCAGCTGATGCTACTGTATAACAAGCTGCTTATTTTGTTTAACGCTTCTGAATAATTAATGCTAAGTTGACATTCAGAATTTGGTTTGGCTTATAGAAATCTACTAAAATCTGTAGTGAATTCCAGGTATCTTTTGAACAAAGGGCACAGATTGTGATCACACATTTGTTGCAGTTCCAAAGCCTGAGGTCTCTCAATAGTAGCAGCTCAATACACATATCAGCATGTAATTAACGCCATGCATGGGATTTGCGCAATATATTTGTTGCGCAGCTACGCAATAAATTACAATCAATTTCACAACACTTGGCATAGCTGCGCGATGTTTCAAGTAAAATCTTACATTGGTCACAAAACAGTCCTTGAGTCACCTCCACCCGCCATTGTAAAACAAAGATTTGTTTGACTTTCTTAGAAATGGGACTAGAACTTTCAAAATTCTGTCGTAGTAAAATAGCACTTATAAATATCTTTAGACAAATTATCCATTCCTATTGGTCAAGAGCGGTCACTTGGGGGGTCTTAGACCCAAGGGCGGATCCAGAACACAATTTTTGGGGGGGCCAAAAAAAATTTTGGTCCCCCCCCCAAAAAGTGGGTCTAAAAAATTACGGGGTGGGGTTCAGGGCCCGTGAGGGCCCCGAACATTTTTTGGATTCTAGATGCTCTGTGGTGCGATCTGAGGCAATTTCTGACCACTTTAACCAATTTTTTTGAGGAAAAGATGGTGGTGTACTCATTGCCTGCCTTTATTGCGATGTCACATAAAAAAAAAAAAAATTGGTTTCGTTTTGGGGGGGGGGGGGCCATGGCCCCCTTTGGCCCCCCCCTGGATCCGCCCTTGCTTAGACCACCATTTAAGCACTGGTCAGCGATGTTTAAGACTGGTGTTTAAACCTACAGTCTCTGCCACATGCGCTCGGTACGTGCCACACGCACCAGCTACTGCTGCTTGAGAACCACTAATAAGATCTCCATATATAGGTCTCTCAAAGACGGCCATCTCTGTAGGACAACTGCAGCTGCGTATTTTACGCAATCAAGCACGCATTGCGCAGTGTTGAAAATGTTCTTAACACGTGCGCTTGTTGCTCAAAATGTGTTCGAAATACAATGCAGCCGATGCACATTATGCAAGTTGAGGCTCAAAATGCCGATGCACGTGGCTGGTCTGTAGGAAATGACGTCATTTGAGAGGGACCTTTAAGATGCCATGTTGAACACATGGGGCGTGCGCGTCGCACACCATAGATAGGGCCTGATCTGAACTTAGAGTAAAAGAGTAGAACAAAATTATTGGAAAATTTGATTGAAAAGGTGTTAAAACCACACATTCATAACTGCTCCATCATACTATTTATCCCTTTATTTCATTTACCTTAAAAACAAAGCTGTGAATTTCTTGTGTCTGCCTTGATAAGTTTAGCAGTGACAGACTCTGAGGTGATCATTATTTGTCAGTAAAAAAAAAATCATGTTTTATTTGCACGGCATAACTCATCCCTTAAAATGACTGTATAAATAAGTTTGTTGTTGTAAGTAAGTCATGGAGTTTAATAACATCACATGTGTTGAAAATGTCGTAACTAAACTGTCGCACAAATTAACATGTTAATGAATAGGACTGCTGCAAACTGCTTTCTGACTGGATTGACCTGAAATATACAAATCTAAAAATTAAGGCGGCCCGGCGTTACAAACTTAACAAGTTCTTCTTCAGAGGCAAAAAGTAACATGTTGTGCAACTCCAGCAGTAAAATGTGGCGTCGGTGTGTTTCAACTTTGAATTTGGTTTCAGATGTACATTTTCACAACCGTTGTTTATAAGATAAAGATTTACAGTTGCACCATGTGACAAATCTCTTTTATGAGTTTTGTGAGGTTCTGAACCCCGGGGGGGCTAAAAGTTTTGGGAAGTATGTTCTGCCCGTCGCCAGGAGACTGAAGGGATTCCAGTGACGCATCTTACATAACCTCCCTTCACTGTTGGAATCCTGACGACGGGCAGAGCATACTGTCAAAAACATTGAGCCCCCCCCCCCCCGTTTTTTTCCAAACCTCACAAACGCATAAAAGAGATTAGTCAAATGGTGCTACATTAAACAAATAATGAATGTTTGTGAGTGCAATGGTAAGAATAATTTCATGAGGTGACAGATGAAATGTTCGCCTCGTGGAATGGAACATTTCATCTGTCAAATTATTCTTTCCATTGCACAAACGTGAAACATTATTTGTTTTATATAACACCTGAATAAATCCTTGTCATCTGATTGGTTGACTTCTAAAAGCCAATTTATTCAGGTTAAAAACTGTTTAAAAGTTCGACAAGTTCATCATATTTATATTAATGCAAACTGTTCGACAGGTTATAAGAACAATCAGATTCAATTTATCTCGATTTAAAACAGCGCCACCACCAGCAGAAGTGACACCGTGCAATGGAAGTTCTATTCACAGTGCAATAGAACTTCCATTGCACTGTGCGCTGCGCGCCATGCACGCGCCATGCGCGCGCCGTGCGTTGGTACGAATAATTCAATGACATGTGATCAACGATCCACCAATCAGATGACTGGGATTTATTCAGGTGTTGTGTAATAAATCTTATCTAATTGCTACCTTCACCATGCAACCCTTCAACTCTAATAACCCTTGTTTACAATTTTTTACAATCCCTTGTGATGCAAAGGAAACCATCAACGTGCATTCAGGTTTCTAGCATGGCTTCAAAGTGGACACTAAGACGTCAACCAAGCAAAACCATCAAATGCTCAACTTAAGTTGTTTGTGCTCATTAGAGTCTTTCTTTTGAGCCATCTTGTCGTCACAAGCCGTTGTAGGTCTTTGACGTAGTTTCAGTGAACTTGGCATATTTTTCGTCGTGTTTACGATGAACAGTGTCTGCTGAAGCGAGATGTTTTCATTGTCAGTTGTTGTGAAACTTTGTTTTTCTTTTGGGCTTTTGGGATTTTATGGGAGGGGATGTGTCATGTTAGATATATAGGTTCTTGAAAACTGTTTGAGGTAAAACTAAAGAGGACTTTTGAGATAAGTTCAATTTTATGTTTGATTTGCAAAAAGAACCTTATTTCCACAACTTTATGCATTGAAAAACACAAGTCTTGCATTCTTTGAAGCCTAAAGCCTAGCTAATTAACACAGTCATTAACACAGGAGTTAATTAGCCAAAACAATCAATTGCTAAAGATCCCTGTCCCTTCATGAAAATAAAATAAATGAAGATGAGATATTTTACATGCTTTTGTACAATGTGTTCTGCCATAAGGAAGGGTTAAGCATGCCGATGCATGAGCTGAAATGTATAAATAATGCCCATGCCTTTGTGAAAACTAGTATCTCGGGTGGCCTACTTTTCCCTCTTTCTCCATGGACTGGATCTCATCTGACACTGGGGGCGCTATTCAATGTGGACAACACCTAACACTAGGTGGTGCCCAGGCCCCGGATTATCCAAAAGGCACAGTAGGCACTGTGCCTAGAATAATGTGGTGTCTACAAAAAAAAGTGAAGGCCTACGAAAATACCAGTGTGCCATAATACGCACACACCCAAGTGTGTATTTGCCTGCAATTGGGGACCCCCTATTGGCCTACGGAACACTGGTGCCTAGGGCCTACGAAACACTTAATTCAGCCCTGGGTGGTGCTATTCCAAATGAAAGGGAACAGGTTAAGATGTGACCACACATATTTTCACTAACTTAAGCACTAACACTTAGGCATGCACTAAACACCTTGTTTACAATTAGGCCTATAATCATTTTTTAAAATTACTTTAAGGAAATGGTTGGGTTTGGGGGGGGGGGAGGTTGCTCCATAAAAACAGTGCACTCTAAGTTATAGTTTATAGGGAGAGAACTCTAATAATCAGATTCAAAATAAAGTGCAATGTCATTCACATTAAGTTAAGTTGACTCAATTTCTTAATTTTCAATTAAGTCAAAATAAATGTGTTTATTCTAACTCCCCCCCCCCCCAAGGGGTTTGTGGGGTTTTTTTGGGGGGGGGGGGGGGGGGCGAATTGCCGACCTCAAACGTCCTAATGCCACATTTGGCCAAAAATTTGAAAATAAAGTGTATTTTGAAAAGTAAAAAAGTCAGGTTATAGTTTAGTTATAGGTTAACTAAACAAGTCAACAGTTCTATTACACAGAATACTGTTAAAAGTACCCTAAAGTGTACAAAGTATTATAACAGACTGACAGACAAACATTAGAAAGTTACAAAATAAAGTTAGTATCCAACCAACATTAATACCAACAGGGATAACTTTTAAAGTATTCCCGTTAATGCAGGGTTTTTTTCTGGCCTTTTGCAAAGGTTGCAAGTATTTTGTAACATTTTAAGAATTTGAGTCATAGAAAATTCTCCCCAATTAAAGAATACCACAGGATGCCATGGCAATTTGTATATGATTTCCACACACCGATGGGCGTAGGGTATATATAGTTGGAGTAATGAGGAGTACCAAGAAGCATCAGAAAAACCTTACAGTAACTAACCTTTCAAAAGCTTAGAAAATATCACTCTCAGTAGCTCAGTAGATGTTCTTTTTGAGAAAGTAGTGAAAGTTCATCCTCATTTTCATTTTAGTTTTCATTTCATACATACATTTATTTCGATATTGCTGAGAATTACAAGACATACAATGAGTTGATGAAAAAAAATAACATTAATGAGAAACTGAATAAGGAGCATAAAAAGAAGATAATAAATAAAAGAACATAATCAATTTTCTCAACAAAAGCCATTGTTTCTGTTGAAATTGAGCCTTTCCTTTCAAGATCTTTATATGTAATCGATTGCAAACTAAACTAAAGTCAGTCAATTTAGGGCAATATTTAAAAAAGAAAAAGCCTTTTTCTTTCTCACGATGGTTTGGTCCAAGGAAATGATGTTACTTCCTCTTTTCTTAAAAATGACAGCATAAACTAGTCACAAAAATGTCACAGGATGCTTGAAGCTACTGTTTTCTGCCGTTGTGAACAATACAAGAGAGAGAGAGGGAGATTAGTTCTTGTGCCTGATGGCGGGCTACTTGAGAACATAAAGTGTTTTTCATTCAGTGCACTTTGCGCCAAATGCGTGAACAAGTGCAGTCAAGTGATTTGTCTGTTCCTTGCTCTTTGGTCTCACAAATGCCGCCAGAGCTTTTGTGAAAGTTTTGGAGGGATGGGGGTGGCACAAAGTACATGTCTCTGTAGCAAGGATCCAAAAGTGATCGAAAAGAAAAAAATTGGGGGAGGGGGAAGGAGGGGAGGGGACTGGAGAAGAAATCCCCCCCCCCCCCATTCCCACCCGATCTGTTTACTGCCTGTCTGCATCACATACAGTTATCTCTTGTGTGGTCACGTAGCATGGTCTATTCTCCTGCACAAATTCACCAGTAAATTCTAAATTTTCTACTAATCACTTCGATGAAGTTCCCCTAGGCATTCAATGTAGGTGCTGATTAATTGACAGGACTAACAGATAACCTTCTTTAAGTGACTTATTGATAAATGATTTTGATTATTGATAAATATATCCACTGTTTATTCCATCTGGGATTTCCTGAGGCAGCTGAGCTGCCCGGTTTCGTCCTTTGTTGGTCCTTTTCTCACAGCAAAGTCGTGGCACTAATCCTCAGCCTTTCGCCGAGGATACTTCTAGTAAATTCATAATTTGCACTCTTTCCCCGACAAAAACATGTCTATATTGTGTGTTTGCTGTGGCACACTGAAGGCAGTGTGGGATATATACCTAGTTTCTTGTTATTTTGTAAATCTTGTGTAGTGCCCACTTCAAACAGAACATGCTCCACCAATTGGCAGGATGCTTTGTTTGCATGGTTTGCTGGAGAATTGTGACAAGAAATGCCTTAAATGAACGTTGAGGGAGGAAGGGCAAGGAGATACTGCCCCCTTCCCCAAAGAAAATGGGGTTAAATTTCATGGCTGTGCTTACCGTAACGCCAAACCCTCTTACTAACCCTCTTTACTAACTGTAGTAGAAAACGCTGCTCTGTCAATCAGCGAGGAATTGTTTGCTTGTGCGCATGCGTATCCGCTCCGTTTACAATTACCCCCTCACCGGCAAAGAGAGTACAGTTGGGGGTGATCGACCGACACCATCTTGCCTGACTGCAATTCATTTGCTGCGAAGCGCAGCCACTGCGTGTACATAGTACAAATCCCCTGGTGTACATGCGTCACACACAAGGAACGGTGCGCGTCAACCAGCGAAATGTCCCGCCCATGGGACGTCGTTACTAGGTAAAAGGGCGCCCACTTTCGTCGGGGCACAGAGCCCATATCCTGTAACCAAGGATTCCATGCTTATAGACTTGTGCACTAGTACTCCCTCAACGGTTACGAAGAGAGCATTCGGAGAGATCACTTCAACAGAAGTTCAGTGCATTACCTTCGGCGCCTGGCGCTAACGCAAATACACAACTGGTTTGTGCACATTTATTTGACTAATATTTTTGAGCCTACTTCACGCCACATCCTCCATGAACAAGTATGCAAATAAGGTGTGTACTGCGCCCCCACTGGCACGCCATCCACTGTTTGTTTGTGGAAACCATAGGGTTAGCACAGAGATTCTGCACAATAAAATACTTAAAATCAGAGTTCCAAAGTATACAGAGCCAGGCAATTCATCCCAATTATGTCACCACTGCGTTGTCGTGCACATCAATATACCACAGCTGTGGTAATTGTGCTCACCAATAAACCACAACTGTGGTAATTGTACTCGCCAATATACCACAGCTGTGGTAACTTGTGGCATTGAAAATGAAAGGATCAGTGATCCTCACTGTAATGTGTGCACACACTAGTGGTTGATTGTATTGGGTGAAGTGTGCAAGGCTACTGTTATATTAAATGTGCACAAACTCCTATCTTCTTCACGTGAGTGCCAGGCGTATGGTGGCCTTACTCTGTTCTTGTCATCGTTGAGAGCATTCTTGTGCATTGTCTCTTCATTGACTTCCCTCCTCTTCTCTTTTCCTAGTGCAGTCCTCATTTATTGTCTGGAGAACTGGTTTTATTTTGCTATGAGTATTCATGAAAAGTTTGTGGTTCTTTTTCTTTTCCCAGGCCAACCCTACTGGCGTGGTGGTATCAACGCAGCGGGGCTTGCTAGAACTGGACATATCCCTGTTACAGAACCCACAACAAACATTCTGGATGGAGGAGGAGATTGACGAGCACTCAACACCACGAAAGTATGAAACCATTGCAAAACGCATTCAGGGCCCAAAACACTCCTCCTTTACTACTTAACCAATTCCACGGATTTTTGCCAGCACATGTAATAGACTAGTCCCTAAGTTTTGACCAGTCATAAATAGTGTCCGACATGTAGTTGGAACACGCAGAGAGTCAATCACAGAGGGATTAAGTTTGAAAGATTGTAATATTTTATGATTGATCCAATATTCTTTGCCTTTTTTTCCCCTAATCAAATCATGTAGTCGAGGCAACACTCTCAGTCATTTGGAGGATGATTTTTTGATGGTGACTCCCATCGAGCGCGCCATGGGGCCTCCCCCCTCGGTCATCAGCTCCGGCTACTCAAACGAGCTGAATCTCTCTAACCAAACCGGCCGCGGTACCAACATCGTAAGTTCTGTATAAATTTACATTCCTTAAAATACCACTGATTCATATACATCCCTCCTTCCAAAATCCTAGGCCCATTCCCAAACCTGAGACATACCGGTAGAGGATCTTCAATCCCCAAAGTGGAACTTTTATCTTCAACATATGAAACTGTGTCTTATATACGCGCACCGGACATCGGCAACGTGAGCATACTCTGTGTTGTGCCTCGCCATGTTGTGCAAGTTAGGCACTTATTACTACACCGTCGTGCTTTGCGTGCACAGTGAGAGCTACATTGCTGGCAGTCTTTATACATCATCTGGCTCTCGCAAGATCAAGTAATGAATTTTTAAAAACACGCAAAACCAGTAAATATGGGGTTTGTTTTAACCCCCAACATCCCCCCAACCAGCCTATGGGTCCGATCTGCCCTGTATGATTCTCCAATTGATATGTGATACAATGATTAATTCTTCAGATAACAAGTCGTCCGTTGTACCACATCAGAAGACTCGCTGCTCACCCCTCCTTGCCATACTGTAAGTTTTCATGTCTAGGCTCTGATGTTGTTATCATCATTACCATACCTGTGCCATAGTGTGTCCTTATGTGACCTGTTCTGTCAAAATCAAACTTTTCTGGGCATAAGGTCAAAAATGAGATTTTTGCATATTGTTAAAATATGTTCTTTTTTCTTTTAAAAGGTGGTTTAATTTTTGAAACCGGTCTTTCCTGGGCAGAGTTATGCTATTTTGAAGTTCATTGTGTCGAAAAGTAGAAAACGGAGAAAATGGCCAAGAACGTCACAAAACAGTAATTTCTTTAACTGATATACCTGAACAAATCATCAAAAATACTGTATTAATTTAACCCTAACCGCACCTAACGCTACAAAATACTACTAGTAGTAAACTGTAGTATGCAGTACTTTAGCATATAAGTGAGCACAGCACTCATAGTACTTTCTAGTATTTGGGTACCTGCATACATAATTTGTGTAGTACTTTGTAGTATGTGGTACTGTTCTCCAAATGAACTCTTAGGGGGTTAGGGTTAAGAGTTCAAATTAGGGTTTCAAACTTTTATAGTATATTTTAGACATTTTCAGGATTACAAATATGCAAAAATTAGAAAATCGATAAAAAATCACCCCCACAGCGTTTTTTGGCCCTATCTTAATTTCAACCTCTGCCCTGAAGCGTCTGCTTTTGACAGAACAGGTCACATATAGCCACTCCTGCTGTGCTTTGCGCTGACTTCAAATCCATGAAAAGCCACCCTTTCTGTCATAATGGGTATCATTTTTTTATTTCATAACTTCCGTAAAGTAAGCGGTGAACAGTACACATTTAAAAATAAATAACAATAATGCATTCTTATATAGCGCATTACATCACAAGAAAATCTCAATGCGCTTTACAACATTAATCGCATAAAAAGTCATAAAAATATAAGGCTGCATTCAAATTACTATGGTTATGGCTAAGACATGTCTATGGGAGTGGCTTCAGCTGCTTCCATAGGTGCATGTGTAATAGTGAGCCGTAGCCAAGTAAATCAGGCACTGCCTTAAGTTGGTTTGAGAAGATGAAGACATGCAAGTGGGGCAAAGTAGAGTTCAACAAAATGGTTTTAAATCTGATACTTAATACAGAATTGTACCTAACCCCTAGGTGGAAAATCCATATATCCGTCCATGTGTGCTTATTGTGCTATCCATACTGCGTTATCCATTGAATTTTAATACGCTTCAGGTAGCGATTGAAACGGATAACGCATACAACATGCATACTTTTTTTTTGCGAAATTGGGGTAATATGAGCAATATTTATGGTTGGCCTTAAAACGAAGCAGTTTATATGTGAATCTTATTGAAACAAACTAGGACATGCATTGATTTAAATATTAAAATCCTCCGTTGATAAAACGGGAAATATATTTATACCCTTTGTATTTCATACAGGAGTTGAATCGTGTCAATGTTTTTTTTTGTAAAATGTGTACTTTGACAAAGTTAAACCAAATTTGATTGAGAGTTGATTTTTCTACCAGCAAAGCGACTGCCTACTCTCTGTTCAGCCTTTACGTCTGTCAAGTATGCAGAGAAATACGGACACATGGATTTTCAGAGTACGCATTTCGGATATGCATATGGAAAACGGACATATATGGACTTGCGGCCGTAGGGTGTGGACACAATCATTTTCAATTTGGAGGATTCAGGGTTGTTGAGGTTAAAGCAATACTTTGCGGAGTAACTCGGTCAAAAGGGGATGTCAATGGACTCTTTGTGTCTTATTGCCCCCCCCCCCCCCCTTTTGCAGATCTGAGTGGCTCCAACGATGGCAGCGTTCACATGTGGGAGTGGGGCCACACCCATAAACTCTACACCCACCGGTTCCCCGGTCAGTACCCAAAGGTCACCCAGATGTACTTCAACGACCAGGGCAACAAGGTGAGTTTTGGGATGAAACCCAAAAATTATTCCCTCCACTGGTTCCCCAGCAAGGCGTTCACAATAGTTATTTGTGGAGTACCATGAGCTTGTGGGTAATTCTGCAGGTTGTGGGTTCGAATCCAGCCTGGGGTTGGGTAGCGTGTGTCCTTTGGCAAGACACTTTATCACTTATTGCTATGGTATATGTTTGTATTTGACTGCAGGCACCACAATACCCTTTTTTTATTAGTCAAAACACTTTAAAGGGAAGATACAACATTTGCATACATCAAAAAACGAAATGATCAAATTATCATGAAATACCTTTCTGGATTGTTAGGGAATGACAATCTAAAGCATCCTGTAAAATCGTGGCTCCTGGTGTGCTGACATTTTCAAGAAAAATTGTATTTTTCTAACGCTGGTTGGCCGACCAGCGTTGGAGAAAACTGGCTTATTTTCAAAAACTGCTCCTACATTTTCATATTTAATAATTCCGCATTTTCTTTGCAACTGATTACACACCTGTGACAAGGTACAAGCCTGCCAGACTGATTTTCTGACCTTACAATTCCCCAAAGTCTACAAATGGCTTCGTTTCATCGTGAGTGGGGTCAGGGAACCGGACTACAAGAACATGATTGGTTTTCTTTGTTTTTCCAGCATCTGCGAGCCCAAAACGTGAAACAAGTTATTAACAATATTTCCCATAACATTCTTATCCTCAAAATCCATTTATTTCTGAAAATTGCAGCAAAGCAAATGTTGCACATTCCCTTTAAGGGTGAAACCTCAGGAATTCCAGATATCGAAAAGGGATTCTTTACAAATCGTGACATGAGGAATTCAAATCCTGAAATCAGGTAAAATCCTGAGAAATCTCATCCCTGTGTATTTTCATGCTTTGTTGGATTTTTTTTCTCCACAGTTTGGTGTCGCTGATGATAGCGGGAAACTCTCCCTGTGGCAAGTTGGGATGAATTCGCCGACTGTCACCAAACCTTTCTGGGTATGTCCATTGATCCCCTCAAAAATAAAGCCCAATATCCGGTTTCTGCAAGATTTTGGTAGATTAATGACTGACTGTCTGGGATAGACCCCTTGCTTTGCAGCCATCTTTGAGGCGTGTGCTGTTGTTTCACAGGGCAACACATGACTAGAAACATTGTGCATCCGTTACAACTGAGTTAAAATTACAAAAAAAGCCACCAACGACGTGGGTTTGTGCAGCATGTAGGGTTTTGGTAGATTCAGGAAATTTCCCCACAAAATGCCCAGAGATTCAGGATGACAGTCCATTTCTTCAAACTGTTGTGAAGAAAAAAGATAGGAGTAACTGACCTCAGTTGTTTCAATCATTTGTTTGGGGTTTTTTTGCGTACATAAAAATGGATCCTTTTGGGTCATGGATAGGATGAATGACTTAGCGTGTTGTGACCTCGATACAGATTTCTTGAAGCCATCCACATCTGTAGCTTAATTGGAATGACGCACAAAAATTGATTGGAAAAATCGGATTGACCTCTTTAAAAAGGGCACAAGTGTATGACGCACATCATGTTCATGACACAAGGATGATTCCTGGATACGACTCCAACGTGACCGTTGTATGGCATCAAGAAAGGTGTCTTTGAGTGCACTAATTGTTCTGTTCTCTTTCTTTGTTCTCGTTAATCAGAGCAAGCAGTGCCATAACAAGGCATTGTTGGACTTCAATTTCCTGGGTTCATCTAGTTTCTTGGCCACGGCGGGGTTGTCGTCTGAAAACAAGAACATCTGCCTGTGGGACACCCTGATGCCCATGAACAAGTCTATGATTCACAGTGGGTTGTTTTTCTTTTTCTCCCCCCTCCCCCTTTTATCTGGTAGCTCCGCCTCCCCTTTGCTGCCCTCTTTTTATGCTGCCCTCTTTTTATGCTGCCCTCTTTGCTGCCTTCTTTTTATTCATTTTTATTTCATTTTTTGAATGTCAGTTGTGTACTTAATTCATCTATTGAACAATTCTTTTTGGATTATTTACAATGCACAATGTTATTGATTTTGAAACTTCTCTCTTGTATAAGTGTTGGAATTTGTAATTTAAACTCCAACTTGTACATTATTTCTTTATATTTTCTGTTTGTTAGACGCACTTTTCTTCTCAAGGTGCACTTTTCTGACGTCTACTCTTTGCTGTTTATATCTCTTATTCATTGTGTGACATGTTACGACAAAATTACCAAGGGGACAAAGCCAACAATTTGAAGGGGTTGGTCAAGTTTGTGTTTTTGATGAACCGTAATCAGCAAGTCCTTGCATTTTGTTCATTTCCAATAATAACACCACTCAAAATCCAAAGAAGACAGTTCAAAACCTAACCTGTTGAAGTTTCAGCTCAGGGGATATTGCACTTTTCCAGAATACAGTGAAAAACCATGCACAACCTTTTGCTCATGAAACATGATTTGGTCAATGGACTGGTCGTTTCAAATCACCTACATACATGTCTTGATTTCTTCTTAATGACAGCAAGCCAGACAAACTAATTTTATGGGGTGTTTGGTACCAGTATGGTCTTCAAGCCAAGTAAGGTTTGGGTAATAATTTGGGATAAATTTAAATGGTCCTATATGCCTATGGGCATCGCGAGGGGGGGGGGGGGGGCACTGCCCCCCTCCCAAAAAAAGCCCCCCAAAAATAAGGTGTGAAGTCATATTTGCTAATAATTTAATACACATTTAACAAAATGGATGTCTGCAGGGGTGTCAATGGGTGGTCCCCAGTCCACCCTTGAAAAAAATGATCAATTGAGAATATGCTAGAGAAAGTACAAGGATTTTTTTGGAAAATGTGCTTTGCCCATCCTCCCCCCCCCCCCAAAAAAAATCCAGGCAACGCCCATGTATGTGCATTTAACCCCCCCTCCCCCCCAAAAAAAAAAGCATCTCAAACATATCTTTTTCTGTTTATGTCCAGATTTCACCTGTCATGACGGGGGCTGCCCCTGTCTGGCTTACTGCCCACGCCAGCAGATCCTCATCACGGGTAGCAAGAAGGGTGACGTCTCCATCTATGACATCCGACAACGCAAGCTACGACACACGTTCCAGGCCCACGACACAGGCATCAAGTGCCTAACAGTCGACCCCTCCGAGGAGTACTTTGTGACTGGGTCGGCCGAGGGCGATATCAAGGTTTGTCTTTAATATTGTTGTTGTTTTTCTTTGCTGTGTTCTGTTTATGTTGTCTGTTTTGTAGTGTCAGCCTTCTGTTTCATATAATGAAAACAAGAAATACTAAGCAGATGTACAGTCGACTCTCGTTAATACAAATTCTGGTTATGACAAACATAAAGCCTTGGTCCGGACTGTGCATGTATGTGCACAATGAATGGGACTGATATTCCTCTTAATACAAAATCCTGATATAACAAACAATTTCGCTAGGTCTGAACGAGTTTGTATTAACGAGACTCGACTGTATATTTGAAATGTATATTAGAAATGCATAGTTTTGAAATTTTGTTTGTTTGCAGGTTTGGTGCCTGTCCGTTCACAGCCTGCTCCACTTCTACCCTGGCCAGCACCCGCGGGGGAACTTCTTCCGTCAGTCCGGCAACGGGGTGCTGCAGTTGTCCATCCTGCCCTCCAGTCACCTTTACTCCTGCGGTGGAGACGGAACCATGAAGTGGCGGGCGCTACCAGAGTGGGACAGCATATTGTAGGCGGGGGCAAAACAGTCCCGTTTCCTCTTTCCAATTGGCATACAATGTTTCTACGATACCAAATATTCACAAATCTCTTAATAAATTCAAGGCCAATTCACGCACATTTTGACTGCGTGGAGAATTTGTTAGTCACAGCAAGTGACGCATGGCAGTAACTACCTTGTTTCACTTTGTGAAATTCACAATTCGCTTTTGCATAATGTAACGACTGGCACTGTTGGGAAAAAGTAAATTCTCACTTTACCCAATGTGTGTATCAGACACATATTTATTGGATCAAAGTACACTTTTTAAAACCTTTCAAAAGACAACATGATCAAGTACAAAATGCATGTGACTTTTCCTCCGATCAGCTGAGAAATTCTTGTAAAGTTTTGAATTTCCTCATTTGTTGTGACTCTCTGTTCCATGGTAAGCAGTACTCAAGCTTCATTACTTCTCGTTCATTTACCAATCTTCACAATCTGTGGCTAAAACTGTAACTCCTAGAATTTTAGGCCCCATCGACTTCACAATACAGTTAATGAAGTGAATGAAAGGTTTGCGGAAACACCAAAATAAGAGAGTGGTTCTGAAAAGAACCAGAGGTATAAACACAGTAAATGAACTTTCACCTTTAAAATGTGTACCAAGATTTCCAGATATAACATGTGCAATGAAAAGCACTAAATAGGATTCCATCCACGTCCCCCAGTCTGAGATAATGGGGTTGGGGCATGTGGTTAAGAGTGTAAAATGGAATTAAGAAAGTAGAGTCGTTGGCATTTTACCAGAGTCAAGTCACAAGTCAAGTCAAATCACAAGTCTGCTTATAATTGACAGGGGACAGCAAAATGACAAAAGTCTTAGTCACACAGCTCATTTGAGTAACTTGTGACTAGACATTGGACTGGATGACCTGAGATTGACTTGCCAGGACTTACAGAGACTTGAATACAACTTCTTCTCAAAAGAAGCTTGTCATTTGTCTCGCGTGAAGGGCACTACACACATCATGCAGGAAAACGTGAGCACCTGCTATACGTGCAACGGAAGTAATTAATGAGCGTCGGTTTGACATTGAGAACTCTTCCTTCGTCAGTGTACACCTTCCTATTAAAGTCTTCTTTTCTGTTCATCAATCCGCCATCCCAACGTTCGTAAGTTCTTATTCCTTCACCTTCCGCAGGAAATGACGGGACGCTTGGGTGTCCCAAGTTTGTTAGCATTAATGCCATGGGTTTGCAGCACAGTTGAATATTTAAGTTATTAAGCTTCCCATCAAAAATTCCCACCCATAGCTATGGATTGAACCCCATGCGGGTGAGTTGCCCACTTCACGGGCGTGACCCGCTTTATGGGCGAGTCCCCGCTTTGTTGGGGAACGCCCACTATACAGGCGATCAACCATAGTAGCCTAGTTTCCCACGAGCAAGATTGTGAACTCACACGCACCTTTTCCGCTTCATAGTATATTGGTGATTCAGCAACTGATATTCTGATAGGTGCAATGTGACCTGCTGTGGTGTTGCACACTGTTAACAGAAAGTATATTTTACAAATTGTGACAAACCTGCCGGTATTGAACAAGGTTTAAATATAACAAGATGTGGCCACACATTTAAGACAACATAGGTCCTAGATACTCTCCTTTCTCTGTGTACAATCAGTCTAGGATATGTAGAGTGGCTTCAAAGTGTACAAATAACAAATGAGCCGAAATATCAGAAACTAAGGTTTCTATTATATTAATCTTCTTGTGTATATTTCATCTGCCAAATGAGCAATAACATATATGTGAAGTGTGTACAATTGTCAAGCTATATCGGGTCAAACTAATTATTTTTTTTTTCTAATTTATTTTATCTTTTCTTTCCATCATAAGGGGAAATATATGTTGTAAAGTTCAGTCCCTATGACCCTCCCTGTTCCTTGTTGTAAAGCTTGTGTAAAGGAAACAGGAATGAATATGTGAGATTATTTCAAAACAAGGGATCAACAAAGAAATGAAAAATGTATAACCGCGCTGCCGTCACAGTTTGAACTTGCTGCTTCCGAGACTAGAGAATATCATCGTGTTACTGTTTCATTTCCTTTCACGCAGCGTATTTTTAAATATTTAACACTGCATCAGCATTAACTAGTTTTGTTGCCGGGAAGTTTGTGTGAAGCAATTTAGAGAGCTTAAAGAAACAGAAAAATGTGGAATGCTCCACTTTGAAGATGGAATGTTCCCGGCTGAAGTTGGTTGTTCTAGAGGTACAAGTAGCACAGGCAGTGCTTTTGCAAAACTTGCTGCATGGGAATAGAGAGTTTTGCAAGTCTGTTCGTTGAAAACAGGGCCCAATTCCATGGCTTTTTTTTACGATTAGTAAGAAATCCCTGCAAACTTCAACAGAAATTCTGTGCTTACGGTTAGCATGTTCCATTGGTTATTATTTATTTTTTTAACTGTGTACATTCATCCAGCACAGCATTCCTGTGCTAGAGCTGTTAGCATAGAATGATGATCCCACGCACCAAATTCTGTGGTTGTTAGGGCCACGTAATTGGGCCCAGCTGGGGTTTCCCATTTTAGCAGCATTCCCAGCAGAACATCATGTTGAGTGTTCCAAGTTTGGAGAGTAGCCTAATTGGACCTTTTTTTTTTAATTTTGCAGAATAAATACAAACATTCCTGTAAGCAGTTAATATATGTTGATAATGTACAGTTAATTATGACCATACACACTAACCAATCACGTGGTGGTGTACATGAATATAAATGTATGTATATATGAGAGGTATGAATATTAATGAGCACTGCAATATACATGTACATAGCAGACAAGACAAGGGAAACTTGGTTTAATAACTTAATGGTACCATTGTGTATAATTTTAATGTTAGAGTTGTGGTTAATTATGAGTCGTTGTAGGGGTCAAAGGTTAACTTGTAGATTGCCAAACTTGAAATATCACAGCAGAAAAATAATACTATCATTTTGTCAACAAAAAATCCGCCAAAGGACTGAAAAACAATAGACCCAGTAAATTATTGTTGTTGCCAGTTGACAAAAATTAGACCTTTTCTTGCTGTTCATGGACAGCCCTCTAGTTTGTTTTCTTTTCATAATGATTGTTTTGGTTGCAAGTTTTACGATACAAGATATTAATACCGTGTTGAATACTTCATTGTGAAGTGCAGGCTGAACTAATATTCTTTGCAAACCAATAATCATATGTGGGGTAGCAATTGCCTGGTCGTTGAAACTCTTGATGTCCTATACATTTGAGTAACTGTAGAACTCTTTAAGAAAACAAAATGTATCAATTTTTGTGACTGAAAGTTACACTGTTTAAATATACATGTATAATTAAGCTAGTACTAGTAATAATATCCACAGGCAGTGCAAGTGTTGTGGCAATTAGAACTTTCAGTTCATTTATTCTGAATAAAAAATTCTCAAAACAGGACCTGTAACTTCAAATATTGCTGCCATGCATAATTTGTGTTGATCAACTGAGTTTCGTGCAGTTGGCGCGTTTCGTGTTAGAATGACGTCACGCTTGCAACATTGGCCACACCACTTCCGCCTTAGTGCATTTCATGAGTATATAATTATTTTATTACACGCGCAAAAAGTACCCTTTGTATCTGTGTGTACGCCATTTTAATATGATATGCTTAGTGAAACTACACGCCTTCTGTAAGAATGTATGTTATTAACAGAAATGCCGCCAAATATATCTCCTTTTTGGTGAGATAGATCTTGTTATGTGATACCCCAATTCATCTCTAAACTAAAGTGTATAATGTGAATATTTTAGGCCCATTTCTATTTGTGGTTGCATGCTTTATTGTCATCCAGCGGTGGCCATATATGCGAACGCAATACCTGCCAGCGGCGTAGCCAGGGTTCTCATCGTTGGGGGGGGGGGGGGGGGGTTAAGGAAAGACTATAGGAGTGCACACAGGCAAATAGGTCTAAATCCTTCCGCCGAGCTCATGAATAAAAGTTATACTCTCAAAATATTCTATATGAGAGTTCTGAGAGCCATAAAATTGGGGAATAGAAGAGATATGGCAATGAACCTCTGGCCCGGACTTACGGCTTCCAATTCTGAGCATTTTGGATGCAATTGGGCTCGAAAGTGGCGCTATATGGTGCAATGTTGGGGAGGCCTCGTTTTTCAAGATGGCTTCATTTCCGCTTTGGGGAAAATGGGGGTCGTCTTCTTTGGGTGAGAATATCTCGAAAAGTCAATGGTCAACCCACCAAAAAATGAAAGATGACATGTTGATCATCATTTGTCTGTGCAGCTTAAATACCTGTGGGATTTCCGAGTATTTTTAAAAAGAATTTTGAAGTATGGACATTTAGCACTAGTTTCTATGGGAATTTTATTGCAGGGGTGAACCCCTATAGGAACTAGTCTATTAAATCAAACTGATCTAAAGCGCCCTCATTTGTCAACAAGCAGATGCAGAGCACGTGAGCTGGCATGCATAAAATGGCAGCCTACTTTATGATGGTGACTTACCAGAAATTAAGGGTTGGTATGACAACATTGTAGGTAAATCGATGTGTACCTTTTTGGTGTACCTTTTATATACCCTTTGTGCCCAGTAAAAGATGCTAATTATGTTATGAAAACCTTTTGAGCAGTATTGCTCCGAAACTCTGGTGGCAGGTCTGTTTGTATTATCTTCACCGTAACGAACTGATCAAGTGGCGCAAATGGTGCAATGGATTAACGGGTGCCATTCAACCACAGTATTCCTGCACAGTTTGGTCGCTGCATGATGTACCCAGTTACTCCAGATAAATAGTGTTTATTCAAATAATAATCGTGGTTCAACTGTATAGGCAAATTTTTGCCATTGGGCCTATAGGCTTGCAATTCCCGCTACGTAGGCCTACATGTATAAATTACTCGTGTACAAAATACCAAGCAATTTGTTTCCTTTGTTTGGTGGATGGTATAATTATAACGGTCATGTATGAAACGTTGAACAGTGCATGAAAAGTGTATAAGTGAGTTGTTGCAAACATCTCACTGAGATGTACTGTAATATTTTGCGCAACAATCGTTGGTATTATGCCAAATACAATAGGCAGGAATCTATAAATTTATGAATATGGAAAGAATAATGTGTCGTTCCTTTTGCTATAATAATTACTAACAAAGGACGTGTACTTTTTATTGTATTAAACCAAAGTGAATACATCAAGACTCAGTCTCATGTGCAACGGCTTTCCTTACCTGCAAATGTAACAGTCATGGTTGCGTTTCTCAGACATCTCGGAGTATTTTTCGACCGCCAGCTCAACTTCACTGAGCATGTCAACAAGAGTTTTAGCTGTGCCAAGGGTATTAATGCTTTTAGAGCTGCATCTGGTAGGAAAGCTGATGAGCGACAGCTGGTTATGCTCTACTTTAAAAGCCTCGTCCTACCAATCATTGACTATGCCCTTCCAGTGGTCCGCATCAGTCAGAACCATGTGGGTAGGTTAGAGAGACTACGTACAGAACATCGCCCTTCGAATCATCACCGATTGCAACAGATCAACCCCTATTGCAGCGTTGTCCCAAGTGTTGCTGGACGCCAGACTCTAGAGCAAGTGGCCATTGTGTCCAAGGCGCTTCAGAACAGCAAGCTTATGCATGCCCTCCATGGCATATACAGTAAAAGAATTAGGAGTTCGACAATACCACTGTGAAAGCTACTTTGCCCCGTGAACTGAGAGTGAGACACGGGGCCCCAGAGCAGCGTCTCGCAAAAATTGGTGACTGCAGCTTTTGCGTCCACCATCGACTTTGTGGCTGAGCACTTCATTGCCCAACCACTAGCCTTGGTGTCACAGGAAGAGCATAGTGAGGAACCACAGGTTATCGTCAAGTTCAACTTAGAAAGTGCAGAGACTGGCCTGAGGGGGCTGCACAAGCACTATGCAGTAACATCTTCTGGGAGCTGTGTGGCAATGAAGCTGTGGTTGTAGCCACAGATGGATCCTTTGACCCGGACATGAGCTATCGTGCTGGATGGGGATATGATTCTAACGTCGTCTCAAGCCTTAGGGCTCGACAGTTCCGAGGGCTGTGGCTGCCATGGCATACCATCTACACAAGCAGCACACGACTCGAATGGTGTTTGAAGCCATCCAACAGGCTCTGCTGCGGCTCACACAGTTGGAATTGTATCCGAAGACCGTCATTATCGCTACTGATTCCATGGCGGTACTGAGCAGAATCAGCTCTGGCTATATACCTGTCCTTCAACTGAACACGGGAACTTTTTTTAAGGGGGGGGGGGTATAAATCTGCTGTTATTATGGCCATCGACACGCGACAAAGTAAAATAACGATCGATGTCACGAACACAAAGGCCACATTTATTGATATCGAATGATTTATTTGGCCATAAATAATCGGCCCACAACTCCCTTCAAAGTCTAAAACAACTTTATCTTCCTTAAACCATGTTTCATCAACACAATTATCAGGTGCGCTCATGACCTAAGCTGTGATCGAAATAACGTTTTGTGCATTTTAATGTATACATATAATAATAATAATAATAATATAAACAGGAGAGACATTAGAATAAACACTAGACACAACAAACAGGCTATAAACCTAAGACATCCCGAGTCTTGGATCGAGGAGGTAAACATTTTCTTAAAATACATTTACAAATCTCAACCTAAACATGAGAACACGAACCCACTAGAAATTATTTAAGCAATAGGCCACCTGTGCTCATGAATCCAAAATACTGAACATAAAATCGAAAAGGAGCCCAGCAGTATCACAGCCCAATCAAACCAAACCATTACATACAAAGCGTACCAGTACTGAACTACACTGGTTCTCAATCCCATATTCGAAGTCAGAATCGATGATGGAATGACTGGTAATTCATACTTCATGCGAATTGCGATGCGAGTGACGTCACGAAGCAATTCGCTGCGAAATTTGCCGGAGTTGAAATGTGTTCAACTTTTGAGAATTGGCAGCGGGAATTTTGACGTGACGTCACAAATTCGCGTTTCGCGTTCGCTTTTTCGCCGAGTACGAATCGGTCTTAAAGTCAATAAAAAATAACCGTTTGCCAGTGATGCAGTTGGCCGTTAAATGGCTGCTCAGGCAGGCACAAGCGCGTGCCACTGTGTGGTTTGGCGACCGAGTCGACGCAAAAGGGTCTGCCACTGGTCCATCTCGCTCTTCTGCGTGGAGCCGACTCCGAAGCGGACCAGGCCGATGGGGGAGCACCTCCTCCCACACGTTTCCGTCTGGATGACCCGGCAGACTAAGGTCAAGCCGTCGCGGATGTTCCGAGTCTCGTTAAGGCAGAAGGAGAAGGCCTCCTTGAAGACGGGCGACGTGGAGAACCCGTGGCGTAGCCGGGTCTGCGCAGTTTCGGTGACCAGGCTGCTTCCGTCGGGGCTTACTTGGGTAAGTTCTACCTCCACACGGTAACCTGTGTGGTAACAATATAGCGTTGATCAAGATATTGTATAGGCTACAGTGTGTACAAATTTCGAGGCTGAGAGTCACTTAGGTTAAGGGCTACAAAACAGACGGGCACAAGGGACGCTTGCCTCCGGCTCGGTACCCAATCAAGCACACCTGAACGGTGCTGTACAGACACACGTGCTGTACATGACCTTAACTGAAAACATCCAGGACTCATGTTAGATCATGTTCAATGAAGAACTAATGATGCAATGATAGACGAGTCCAGGACGTGATCACTGTACACTCACGAGGCCCCCTCCAATGCCGAAACCATTGTACATGTACCAGCTTTTGTGAAAAGCTACTGCCCATGACGGATTTTCTTAACTGCTTTCGGCTCCGTAATTTTAATGATAGCATGCCCGGATGGTTATACCTCTGCTGTAAAGAAACTCCCAACAGTCAGCTAGGAACAAAATACAATAGTCCTTGCTCAACTTTTCTTAGAAAGAAATAGCTCCTTGTTATTTAATAAGTAGTTGCCGATTTCTTTTATAACTAGTAAGGGCAAATTATATCGTTTGGACGTTGGATTTACCACGAGAAAATTTACCTCCTGTTTAGACACTCACCTTTTACAAAGCTAAGTGAATGGACATTTTGTGTTTTGACGACCACCGCAGTCAGACATCGTGTATTGGGGCGGTAACTGAGCGCAATATGTAACTTCTTCGGATCCTGTTGCAAAAGAAAAACAAAAACAGAAGCTTCTCTCGTAATTTCATTTCTTTTGTTTTCATTTGGACACAGTGACAGTGGATTTGTTTGATTTTGTTTAGTAGGATTGCTTTTATAATTTTATAATCTTCACCCTTCTGTTGCTAATTTTGTACACAACGGATCGGAGTTTCAAACAATTCTTTTCTTCACCGTCGATGTGTCTGTTATAGTCATTAGGTGCAAAATGTCTTTTGATGTAGCTTATATTATTATAATAATAAATTGGATGTATATGTCCACGTATTTTGTCTGTGTTCTTTCATTAAGCTTGCCGGCCTACAGTTTATTCAGTCTGCACGTACGTCTGCTTTGACTTACCTTACGTTTAAAGAGATGTTTTGGCTTCAAATCTTCTTGGCAGTGCATGAATCCGTTTTGTTCAAGTTGCAAGAGGTCCAGCCAGATCTCACCGACACTGGCCGATGGCATGCCCCGTCGCTCCCGGCATACCTTCAGGCGCAAACGGGCGCTCTTGATGTTTCCGCGACCAAAGTTCTCAAAGGCAAACTCCTCGTCGTAAAAAGGATCGCAGGTGTTCCTCACGGTCGCGGAGGTCTGAGTCTGGCACTTGTTGCTCTGCTCGGATCGAATCTGCAGTTTGACGAAGGAGCAGACTTGCTTCGGGGAAAGCCCATTCCCCTGGTCGAGATTCTCACCGCGAATAAGCAGGACCCACAGCCGCTTGGATGGCACGTCGTACCGTAGCGCTACCTCCAATCCGCCCAGGTCGCTGACGGTTTGCCGTTGCCGGGCACATCTCAAGTGTAACTGCTGTAACGCGAAAGCCCGATTAGTCTCTTTTATGGCCTCTGTTTCGCGCAGTGTTAGTTGTTTCGATCTCCGATTTTTTCTTAAATCTGGGCTGTCCTCAAGTGCGCTATGGTCTGCATCTGATGAGTCATACACATCTTGTTCTTGTCGACCGGTCTGGCTAGGTAGCCTTATCCCATTCCTTCTCTTTTTAGATGCCTTCGCCCAGCGTCTTTTCCTCTCGCTGGTTACCAGATTATCGTCTTCTGATTCGTCGTTCGATAGTTCAACTGGATCTCTACATCGGGAGAACCTTCTACTCTTGATTTGTGGCGGTATCGGCGATGAACTATCCGCGGACGTATCGGATATTTCCGAACAGAGCAAACCCGCGGAGTTTCTTGAGCGGAGACGAGAGCTGGCAACCTTCGACCCGCGCGGGAAAAACAGCGACTCTTTCCTGGTAGTCCTCGGGTTGCCGGAGAGACTTACGAAACCGTATGCCGATGCTGTCTTGGGCATATGGCGAAGGGACATGGCCAGCTTGTAGCCAGGATCGCTGTCTGAATGCTCTTCAATCGAATTGGGCCTCTTCAATAGGAGCGCTGAAGATTGTCGGCCTAGCTGGCGGTAGTTATCGAGACGGACCCGGAGTGACGACGCGAGGGGAGAGGTTGGCGGGTCGTTCGTTAACGGTGACTCTGAGGGAGAACGCCTGCCATAGGCGGTGCAATGTTTGAACGGAGGGGGGCTGTCCACCTGAGTTTTCGGGCTCACGGTGCTCCCGGGAATCACAAACTTGGGCACTGTCTCTGGGGTGAGCAAGGGCCTTTTTGGCAGGATCCGACATTTTCCGTTCCCGCTTTCCATCGTTTATGGCGGCACAATATTTCTGTCGGATCTCGACAACTTATGATGTCTTTCGTCCGATCTTCACGGAGCGAATTTGCGTAGCAAGGTTATACAAACTCTTTTATATGCTCGTTAAGCGCGGTTCATACTTCACGCAAAAGCTTGTGCGCAGCGAAATTCATGTCGTCAACAGTGGTGGACGCGTTTCGAATGTTTTGTTGACGTCACGAATTTCGCTTCACTTTCGCTTTCGCGTGCTTTAGAGCTGATCGTGTTTAGTGCGCATTGGAGAAACCCTAACTCATGGTTAGTCTAATGAGAGAAGACTTTCATTAACATCAAGAAGGGCTTCAATACTTCATTGCATCCAGTTTGTACCGGTTTGTTGGGAAAGATTTTGGGGTTTTTGGTTGATGGAATAATGGAATACACACGCTGTTGGTCGTACAGCAACTTTATTCTAACAATCGAACAACTAGACTACCGTATTTACAAGAGAGGATTTGGAGACATGTGTCTCGTTTGATGGTTGAAAGAAGAGTTAGCGAAGAAAGTAGTAAAGGAGAGTGAGTGAAGAATCTAATAAGTAAGGTGGGGCTGACTATCCAATTTAAAAGCAATAAAAACTAGAGACTGAAGGAATGTACTAATGAACTTTGTGGCTAGGTGATAAAATGTGGTAAGAGGGACAAAGTAATAAAAGTGGGGCTTGGCTCAGTAATAGTAATCAATCAATTAGGGAGATTGATACCGTAGGGTCAGAACTTTTACCCACCACTGGACTGTTGGTGGGGCAGTGTACGAGGGGTTAAAAGTTCACAAATTAAGCTATAATTATATGGAAGAAAACGCTACAGGAGCCCCCTTCCAGTGAGTGAGAAGTAACAAAAATTGATAAAACACTTAAGAACGAACGAATGTGACATAGCGTTTGGGCCAATGAACTGTGCGGCCTGAGCGGGTTGTACGAGGAGGTGGAATGTCTGAGGTTGTGATATTCTGCTCGGTATTTACAGGATTGGTTTGAACTATTGGGATAGAGTGGTTGGGTTTGGGAAGAGCGGAATTCGTAGCATGACCTATATCCAAATGGGCAGATTTAAGGCGATCTATGCTAACTGTGTCCTGACGATTGTTCAGTTCAATGACGAAATGTTTAGCTGAACGACTGAGTACTTTGAAAGGTCCGTCGTAAGGCGGTTGTAGAGGTTTGCGCACTGCGTCACGACGAACGAAAACATGAGTGCATGTCTGAAGTTCCTCGGGAACATGCACTGTGGGACGCTGCTGTGCGCGGGTTGTTGGTGGCTGAAGATCCTGCATGGCGCGTTTCAAGCGATGAACATAGTCCGTAGGCTCTAAGGCAGTGGCATCAGCGGTGTTGTCAAAGAACTCGCCAGGCAGGCGAAGTGTGGTGCCATAGACGCGTTCGGCAACACAGTGACCGAAATCGGACTTGACCGCAGTTCGGATTCCCAAGAGATTCAGCGGCAAAGTCTCTGTCCATAGGCTTGCGTCTGGTTGTGCCCGTAGTGATGACTTCAGTTGGCGATGAAAACGTTCCACTAGTCCATTCGCGATTGGGTGATAGGCTGTGGTACGTATGCGGGTGGTACCAAGCAGATTTGTGAGTGCGCGAAAAAGTGCGGATTCAAACTGGGCACCGCGATCAGTGGTGATAACCGATGGAACACCAAATGAGGCAACCCATCGCGTTAATTACAAAAGCACGAGCGACTGTTTCAGCTGTGATGTCAGGTAGAGGGATGGCTTCTGGCCAACGCGTGAAACGGTCAATACAGGTCAACATGTATACACATCCATTTGATGTGGGTAATGGTCCAACAAGATCAATGTGAACATGCGAAAATCGGGCATCTGGAGTAGAAAACTCAGACAGGGGTGCAAAGGTATGGCGATGGACCTTTGAGCGCTGACACTGTATGCACGATTTTGCCCATTGTCGCACATCACGGTTAACACATGGCCAAACGTAGCGGTCCGTGATGAGGCGTTGCGTAGCGCGAATTCCAGGGTGAGATAGGGAGTGAAGAGCGTCAAACACTGCACGACGCATCTCCACTGGAACAAATGGACGTGCGTTTCCAGTAGAAATGTCACAAGTTAATGTAATGTCACATGATGGTAGGGGAACTTGTTTGAACGTGAGCGAGGATGACGATGTGCGCAAGCGTTGAAGTTCCTCGCTGGTGTTCTGCAATTCCGCCATTTTGTGGAAATCGATGAGTGCAGTATGATCCGTGCGAAGAGCATTTAGTTCGACACGAGATAGGGCATCTGCGGCAGGGTTATCTCCACCTTTAACATGTCTGATATCACAGGTAAACTGGGAAACAAAATCGAGGTGGCGAATTTCGCGAGGGGAGTGTCTGTCCGTTGTGGTGCCGTGGGCATATGTGAGCGGTTTGTGGTCCGTTAGCACATGAAATTGACGACCCTCGAGTGAGTGACGAAAATGGCGGATGGCAAGGTATATGGCCAAAAGTTCGCGACCAAATGTGCTGTAACGTGTCTCTGCTGGTTGAAGTCTCTTTGAGAAGAAAGCGAGTGGTTGCCATGCATTGTGAATTCGTTGTTGAAGAACAGCTCCCACTGCGACATCCGAAGCGTCCGTCATGACGCACAGAGGCGCGTCTGGCTTTGGATGTGCAAGGAGAGTGGCGTTAGCGAGGGCAACTTTGATAGCGTGAAATGAAGCGGTGGCAGAGTCATTCCAAGGGAGTGGTGCCGACTTCTTTCCGGCATTAGAAAGTAGATCGGTGAGTGGTTGGAGGACCTGGGAACACTGGGGAATGAAACGGCGGTAGAAGTTGACGAGACCGAGAAATTCCCTGAGTTTGGTGAGAGTTGTTGGTTGGGGAAAATCACGGATAGCACTGACCTTTCCAGCAAGTGGTTGCACTCCGTGACGGTCAACGTGATGTCCAAGGAATTCCAGTGACTCTGTGCCAAACAGACATTTCGCGGGGTTGATGATCACGCCGTATTGTTGGAGGCGGTCAAACAGAAGGCGAAGATGCGTTTCATGTTGATCGGCATCAGTACTGGCAACTAAGAGGTCATCGATGTAGGCATAACAAAAGTCCAAACCCCTTGTTACTTCATCAATGAAGCGTTGGAACGTTTGGGCGGCGTTGCGCAAACCAAATGGCATACGGGTAAATTCGAAGAGCCCAAACGGAGTCGTGATAGCGGTTTTAGCAATATCGTCTGGTGCCATGGGAATCTGATGGTATGCGCGGATGAGGTCGATCTTGGAAAATATCACAGTGCCATGTAGTGATGATGTAAAGTCTTGGATATGTGGCACTGGATAACGATCGGGCACTGTGGATTTGTTGAGAGCCCGATAGTCACCGCATGGACGCCAATCCCCAGGTTGCTTTTTGGGGACCATATGAAGAGGTGAGGACCAGTTACTGGCCGAAGGGCGTACGATACCTAAGTCCATCATGTGTTGGAACTCGTCTTTGGCGACTTTCAAACGGTCAGGTGCAAGACGGCGTGGGCGTGCGGCTGTAGGGGGGCCAGTCGTGATGATATGGTGCTCAACGTTGTGTTTGATTGGAGTGTCACTATAGGTGAGACGCGTTATGCTGGGGAAATCCTTCAAAATGTCCGCGAATCGAGATGGGGTGGGCGGTTTGAAGATGGGGCTGAGTGATGGCGATGTTGATGCTTTTCCATCGATGCTTAAGCTGGTCGTAGCATCAACTAGCCTGCAGTTGCGAATGTCAACAAGAAAGTTGAAATAACGAAGGAAATCTGCGCCTATGATTGCATGTTGAACGTCGCGACGATGAACACCCATCGGCATGGCCGCCGAATCCCAATGTCAAGTGTCAATGACCTTTCACCATAAGTAGCGATTTACGTTGCGTTAGCTGCTTGAAGGTCATGTCCATGACAGCGGTGGGCGCGGTCGTGAGATGAAGGAGGGATGACACTCACCTCTGCTCCTGTGTCCACCAGGAATTGTTGCTTCGTTACTCGATCTGTGACATAAAATAGGCGGTGAGATGGGGAACGGCCGACAAAGCATGTCGCCCCTACTTGCCGGCTTGGTCGTTTTCCTGGTGATCGGCCTTTATAAGAACATGGCTGCGTACATTTGTGGGCCATAGCTCCAAATTTCTGGTGGTACCAACACTCTGCGTCGTGCGTGGCCGTGGCTGCTGATCTACGGTCATCAGTGCGTTGGCGACGCGGTTGACTGCGGCTGCGACTGCGTTCACGTGGACAGCTGGTGAGGGTGGATATCATTGATGCCAAATTCGCTACTTCGGCCCGCAGTTGTTGAATTTCGGTTGGTGGCGGAGATTCAATGGTAGTGATGTGTGCAGAGACGGGTGCCTGGGTAGGGGAGACTTCCATGATTTTATCTGCTAACTTTGCCAATTGGTCGATGTCGACCTCTTCTGAGGTGGAAGCAAGAATTAGCCGAGCATTGGTTGGAAGCCGCTGGAGAAAAAGTTGTTTCATTATTGATGGCTCCAATGTTCGCTCCCCCAACAGCTGTTGCATCCTGCGGAGCAGTTGGGAGGGCTTTCGATCCCCCAACTCCTCTGTTGTCAAGAGTTGATGCAAGCGTTTTTGTTCAGATATAGATGTGCGCTTGATAAGCTCCTTTTTCAGCGTTGTGTATGGAGCCTCTGAGGGTGGAGTTATTAAAATATCCCTCACCTCCTGCGCTATAGTTGGCTGCAGGGACGCCACCACATAAGCATATCTGGTGTGTTCGGAGGTTATGCCTCGAGTGGTGAATTGTGCCTCCACTTGGGTGAACCATATTGTTGGGTCAGATGGCCAGTATGGTGGGAGTTTGAGGCTGATGGTAGCGGTTACGGGTGGCTGTGCTGTTGCGCCGGTACTAGTTGTAGCAGGAGTAGTAGGCATCGCTGCAGTTGATTCCAAAATTCCACTGTTTTGTTGTATAGATCACGTCTGGGTCACCAGTTTGGGGGTTTTGGTTGATGGAATAATGGAATACACACGCTGTTGGTCGTACAGCAACTTTATTCTAACAATCGAACAACTAGACTACCGTATTTACAAGAGAGGATTTGGAGACATGTGTCTCGTTTGATGGTTGAAAGAAGTGTTAGCGAAGAAAGTAATAAAGGAGAGTGAGTGAAGAATCTAATAAGTAAGGTGGGGCTGACTATCCAATTTAAAAGCAATAAAAACTAGAGACTGAAGGAATGTACTAATGGACTTTGTGGCTAGGTGATAAAATGTGGTAAGAGGGACAAAGTAATAAAAGTGAGGCTTGGCTCAGTAATAGTAATCAATCAATTAGGGAGATTGATACCGTAGGGTCATAACTTTTACCCACCACTGGACTGTTGCTGGGGCAGTGTACGAGGGGTTAAAAGTTCACAGATTAAGCTATAATTATATGGAAGAAAACGCTACAAGATCACCGAGGCCATACGTTTTGTTTTTCGAAGTTTTTGTAAGCACAAGTAGGGCCTATACCACAAACAAACACTGACGTCAAAGTTATCCTTTGCGACTGAGTTCAAGTAATGTAGGGCAAGGATAAATAACAATCGAAGCCCAGAGCCCAAGTCCTCAGAAGATTGTCCTCACAAACATTATGGGTTGAAGTAACAGAAAAATAGGACCGATGGGAAACGTACGGGTCATCGGTAGTGAAAAAAAACCAGACGGTATGGGGTGGTCCGAGATGACAGGTCCGGGGTGTGAATGGGGAAACCAGATGAAACTCATTATGTGTACATGTATTTGGAAGGGAGAGAAAGGAGCACCCCCTGATGTTTGTACCAATAGTTTCCAAAGGGGATCATAATTATGCTGGGATGTTGAAGTCCAATATTTTTCAAGGCGGCGGTTGGGGTGTTTGGATGAGGCACTTGTAGTCTATGCATGAAAAGACCTGAAGAAATTGATCAAGATTATGCTTGGGGCAGTTCGCTGTCTCCGGTGAATGGAGATCCAGTTCTTTTGTACCGGCGAAAGGGCATTTTGAAGCTACTATATGGCCATTGAACACAAACAGGTAGTCCCGAGACCCGTGCTGGTTGTCACTTCTGGCCGGATACGTATAGTCCCTATACCAAAGTAAGATGATCTCAGCCAGAACTATAGAGGTATCAGTTTGAGCTCTGTAGTGGTAAAAACCTTCAACATGATGATTCTCAACAGAATAAGACCTGACATCCATCTGAGAAACAACCAGAATGGCTTCAGAGTTGGAAGAACTGCCGTGGGACACGTACTGGCACTACAGAGGATCATATATAGGGGTAAAAACCACTAATCTAGAGTGCAGTAATAGCATTCATTGATTCCAAAAAGGCCTTTGACAAAAGCTTGGCGTGAGACAGTGCGAGCGGCAAAAGCCGAAATTCAAAAACGGTGGGGTCCCGGACTCGACATTGGGCACAAAATCGGCCGAGAATAACGTGGCGCACTTGAACAAAATCAAAAATCTCAAGTTAGCATTCAAGAAACTCTTTACGGGTCGACAGATTTTGATAAATTGCATCGACGCAAGGTTTTAGAAAGTGGATTCTAGACGCTCTGTGGGGCGATCTGAGGCAATTTCTGACCACTCTAACCGTTTTATTTTAAGCAAAAGATCACAATATTTTGTTTAAAGCTAAAGATCACCATTTAAACATCATTTTCGAATTTGGAGTCGTTGAATCAGCTATTCTGAGCTATAAAATCAAATGTAGGCTACATTTTTTTTCAGGGACGAAAAACGTAGGGGGTTTGGGGGTTTGGCAAACGATATAAAAATCCCCACTTTAAAAAGTGTGTGCGTGGGTAGGGGGATCCTTCCCCGTCTCCCACCGATCGACATGCATCATTATCTTCACTCCGAGGGTCCTACATAAATACAAGTTTGACAGCAACTTTTCTTATTTTGGAAAAATGCCATACTAAAATGTTTCTGTTAACTTTATAACGTGTAGGCCTACGTAAACTCGAGACTTATAAAAGGGGATGCCTACAGCTTGATGGAATTTCACTTGCCTGTGAAATTTGAGGTGAATATTTTGATCAACAGGAATGCACCAGAGGCGAAAAAACTCAAGGTACGGCACATCAACAGGAATTATTGCACGACAAATAGTTACACGCTTGATGCATCCGTACCTGTGAGCTTACTGCAGGAGCGCAACGCTGAACATAATTTCGTTACAAGGCAACTGGCTGATCCTGGGGATGAGGGTGTCTCTACGCTGCAAGGCGCTATGTGATTGGTGTAGATATGATTTAAGGAAATACAGTGTACTAATCGCGAACAATTTAATTCGAATTCTTGATACCATTCAAGAATAAATTTAATATGATTTAAGGAAATACAGTGTACTAATCGCGAAAAATTTAATTCGAATTCGAGTCACTTTTAATGGAACAAAAAAAAGCACTCTTTGTGGAGACGATAACTCCAGAAAAACACATTGCACTGATTTGAGATTGTGTCCCATTAATGACTGTGTACACTGTACACTGAATTGAAATTTCGTTCAATAATTGTTTGGGATAGGCCTATGGGACACAAATGGTTTGAAAATCGACGGGAACCATTCAAGAATAAATTTAATATAATGTAAGGAAATACAGTGTACTAATCGCGAAAAAATTCAATTCGAATTCGAGTCACTTTTAATGGAACAAAAATAGAGCACTCTTTGTGGAGACGATAGCTCCAGAAAAACACATTGCACGGATTTGAAATTGCGTACCATAATTGACTGTGATATACGTGACAATATATTCGAAATTCGACAGAAACCGTTGAACACGAAACATTATACAAGAAAAACAAAAACGACAATGTGTAAGAGCACTGCCGTACATTTACCCAAAAAAAATTGGTTCTAGAACCGCGCCTGGTTTACGATCGTCCTGCGTGAGGCGTGTCACTCACGCCAAATGCGTGAAACTCACGCCAAATGCGTGAAACTGTGACGGTCCGGGGACATATCCCTCACGGATAGAAGTGGGATGTTACGTTTTGGCGGGGTTTTGAAGAGAAAAAAAGCCTGAAATCATGTGATGGCAGGAGACCCGATCCCTGCAGCTCGCGTGGTATCTGCATCTCGTTTCTTTTCTCCACTTAACAATGGAACACATTAGACAGCCCGCCTTTAATGTCGGTTGTTAAGGCCAAAAGAGTATCCGGTTTCTGGTATGGAGCTTGCCCCAAAAATGGTGCGGTGACGCGGTTTTTTTTTCTTCTTCAAATGTCGGCTGATGTTGCAGATAACGCTTCGATCCCCTTAAATATGGCTGGAGAATTATACACCCACATACGCTCTCGACCGAAGCGAACATTTTTGGGGAAATTTAGAAAGTCGAGACAAAAATCAGAGAAAACGGTAATGTCAGTTCCATAATTTTATACGACCATCGCTCCCTCAGTCTGGCTTCCAGACGCACAATTATAAAATTGCAACACCGTCTGCAAATGGTGCTCGACTAAATTTAGTGCAAAACATATGGGAGCCAAGAGAGGCCACATAAAATACTCGAAACGCGTTAAAATTGTGCAGCAGCAGGATCGCAATCAAACCAGTGAGTTTGGCGGTTTTGAGACATCATCTTACATTAAAAAAAGTTTTTAAGTTTGCCGACGTGCATGGCTACGGCGACACACGCAAAGACCAGAAACCGGAGACTTTTTTTTTTGATGTAATGGACATCTGCAGTTACCTCTCAAAATAAACCTTTGCTCCAATCAACACAACCAAATGGCACCAACATTTGAGATTGACAAAGCATGGTTTATTATCACGGACTTCCTCTCTACGAGTTTCTTAACATATTTTATTAATTTCTTGACACACAGGTTAAGTTTTATCGAAGAACAAAACGTTAGACCATAATGATTACACAACCAACTTCATAATTATGCACGTAACCAGGTTTGCTTTAAACTTAGTACATGTACATTGAGTACCGATCGAATATGATTTCCGTATTAAGTACAAACCAAGTAACGTCCAAATAAACTGATGTTGCACTGTGTGATGAAGCATGGTGTCTTGACTCAAAGTGCTCCCTTCTATTTGGAATCCTTCTATCCAGGCTTAAAAAGTAAACAACTACTTCCCCAAGGAACAAGTCTCTTTACCGTGGAATTGAATGATAACAGCAAATTTTCCCATTAATTCAGTGATGGTGTAGATGATGTACTTGTGATATACATATATCACAAAGTACATCACACTTCCAGTCACGTCTAAATCACAAGTTAATTCACAAAGTCGAGTCACAAGTAACAGGGGACGAACCGCAACTCTAACTCCCTAGGCACTTTTGCTAGGATTTAACCTCAGTCCTGCAAAATCCTCCAACTGCCTCCATGTAAAAATTGCATACAGCCTCAATCCTCCAAAATCCTCCGTTATTTCTTGAATGTGGTTTTTGGAGGGGTGACCACTGCCTCAATCCTGCAAAATCCTCCTGCAATCACTGTCAATACGTTGAGGCAGAGCCAGTGACATCCTGAAGCAGTGGGGAGGATTTCAAGTATAATATAGGCCTACATTTATGCACAGCTGAGCATAAAAAATACAAGGTCCGGTCTAAGACCTTGACACAGTGCATCCTCCAAAATCAGCAACACACTTTTGCAATATGCAGCCTTAGTCCTGTAAAATCCTCCAAGAGGATTTTGGAGGATTTGGGAAGGTAAGGGTCATCAAAGGAGTTCCTTCATCACAATTCACTTGAATACTTTATAAGTTGACTTGGGACTGGATGACTTTGTGATCGACTTGTGATTGACTTGAGATGACTACAACATTCTTGAGACCTTCTTTAGGAAAGAGACAATGGCAAAAGTTTAGGAACTTTAATGCGAAGAAGAAAGAAAATGACAGAGGCACTATGGAGTAAAAGACTGGGAGATTTTATCGTCTCTTCTTCCCTTGTGTTTGCTGGACGGATACAACCGGGGCATGCTTGGTTTGAGCAAGCTTGTTGATGTAGTACAGGTCCACCAGTGAGAAGATAAAACTGTGTCAACAAGAAAAAAAGAAAGAAAACAGGGATATGTATCGGGATTCGTTTGAAGGAATTTGCAGACTTGCACAGCTTCTTGGCAACACTTCTATCTTCCATTTAGGATAAATTTCGTACAGCTGCTAAGCAGAAAATATTTCTATTCAAAGATCAGTGCTTAGCAAATATCAGCGGGGAACAAGTCACAAGTGACATACCTATGCCATTTGGCTGGTAACCAGTTTCTGCTAAGCAGAAACATTTTTTTTCCTCAGCAAATTTCTGTGCTACGCAACTCCATGAAAATGGCACCCAATTATAAAGTGAATGTTCCCTACAAGATTCATTTTATGAGTCGACGACATTTAATTGACGGTCCTAATTCTTTGATTTGACCAAAGGCAAAGGCGAAAGGAATTAAGGAAGGGTGCGTTGCTGTGATTACTCACCAAGTTGTGACACACACCCGATGAACGAGCCCAGAGGCAAACATGGCCATTCCCAGGCACAAGACCACTGCAAAAGATATAACCAATAACAAGTTGAGATGTAAGACACTTGCTGTAAAGTCATTCACAGGTAGGAAGACGACTTAAAAGTAGTGACTCTGAGTCCGTGGTGGAGTCGAGAGTCTCGTGATGGTATCAAGTGCGTCACACCTCCAGTCACACGTAATTCCCACGTTCAAATCACAAGCCCAGTCACAAGTTAAACAGAGGATGCAAGATCACAATGGAACTGTGCCTTTGTCACACTGGGACTGGATGACTTATGATTGACTTGTGATGACTTAGGATCCATCACACGTACCTTGCCAACAACACCGCTCTAAGTTCAAACTCGTGTGCTGAAGATTTATTTTCTTCTTATTTTAACTGGGTAGCCCATTCAGTGGAATCCACTGATCTCCCATGGGGCCCAGTAAAGAGAAGATAATGTGAAGAAATTACAGATTTAGATGTGAGAGGAAATCCCCAGAAGAATATTCTGAGGAAAACCACAGAATGAAGTAGGGACTGAAATCCCAATCCTAATATTTGCCCAGGCGGGAATCAAACCCGGTTCACAGCAGTGGAAGGTGGTGAAAGTACTGCTACGCCAACCTGACTGTCCTAAGATGGCATCAAGTCACTAGAAAATTAATCACTTATATTTTAAAACTTTTGGCTAGTCACATGACTTAAGATCCGGAGCAGGTGCAGTTTTGTTTAGAGCACGGTACTGGTTCCAAGGATCCAAATTTGGATCTGTACCGAGACAAACCTGCTCTTCGTAGTGGTAGCTGAGGTGGACTCCCAATGTGCATAAATTTGCATAATGTTGTTATGCCATGCAGAAAGAATCAGACCTAGTTTGGGAGACATTGTAAGAAAAAGTCTACACTCATGATTACCTTCAGGGAATATCTTCATCTGGAAGCCTTTTCCAAACAGCAAAGATTCCAAATTTCCGACCCCCTGTTTGACGTAGTTAAGAAACATTAGCAAGAATTGTGAATTACAACTGACTAAAGCTGCCTTCCTGCAGCGCCTTTAAGACTGTTTTGTTGCATAGACTAATCCGGCGACAGCCATTTACTGAGGTGTCAATAAGTTTGTGCGAGTTGCGCTCAGGTAGTACGCATGCTCCTCCTCCTCGTCCAAAATGCGCGCACACCTTGTCTTTAAGAACGCGTACAGCATGCGCTTGAGCGTGATACCATCGCAGTAACAACTTTTAACACTGCAGGCCTACCTACACAACAGACATAAAATCAACTTAAAAAAATTATATAAAACGGACTTAAAAATTGAGAATTTAGTGTAATTGAATACTAAATTAGTTGAAAATGCACGGCCCTAAATAGGGACTCCAGACGGACTTTTGTCCAAGGCTTGGACTCGATTAATGAAACTCAGCCATTTGAGAGGTCAATGCAAGGATACAGTTAGAGTGAGAGCGAAGAGCACAGAGCCAAGGAAACCGCCCAGGATTGTCATCCACTCGGAGGCTGCCAGCTGGACTTTGAACATCTGCATCCCTGCGAAGGTGGAGACGGCTAGCAATGATGCCAGCAAGAAGGAGATGCTCGTCGAGACCGCTGTAAGTCAACCAAAAGAAACAACACTGCATTAGCATTTAACCAAGTGATTTTAATTCTATTTAAATTTTAAGAGAGACAGAAAAACTGACCCAAACAGTACTTTTAACTTAACCCAAACCCCCTAGTACTAGTTCCCCAGGACTACTCTTCTAAATCTAACCGAGTCCGATGGTTACTCATGACTCATGTGAGTTTCCTGCTCGATCCAACACAGTCCCACACAACCCAACTTGCCAAGCTGTTAATTAGTGTTAAGCACCTGAAAATATCAAATGACCTGCATGCTCAATCCAGATCCAACAGAATCCAACTGTGCCTTTTTATTCATCCAAGTACAACTTGGCGTTATTAACCAGTGCCCAACAGAATCTGACTCTGAATGTTTTCAGTTGCCTGCTGAATCCAACAGATTTCAACAGGAATATAAACAACGGGTTAACTGCTCAATTCAACAGGACCCAGCGGGTAATGTAAAACAGTTGGACCCTGTTGGATTGAACAGGGTTCATCTTCAGGGTTAAGCTAGCTGTTCTTTAATACTCCCACATCTGAAATCTTTATCAATATCATGTTTATTTTGGAATTTAAACATGGAAAATGGGATTTTTAATTTCTGAAGCAGAATAAATACCCGTAAGATTGTGCACAAACAAAATATCAAAATGTTAATCTCAAAAATAGACAACTTCCTTTACATACAGTAGGCCTAGTACTACTAGTACACTACAATGAATAAACAGCGCCCTCACATCCCTGCGTACGTACGGTGTACGCCGCGACTCGAGTCAAGAGAAGATATATTTTTATTTCGTAAACATCAGGGGCCTATTGCAAAAGAAAGTTACCCCTAATAAAGTATCTATAGAGAGCTAAAACACAAGGGGGAAAGGCATCTATCAACTTACCCATCCTTGAAATGTGCACAGCGAACAATCTACGGTAGTTGCAGTCGGTACCGTTGCAGATGTGTACAGGTGGCAATGTCAAAGGTCAAATCATCGCATTATTTGTTTCATTCACTAATTGGAGCAAAGAAATTCAAAATGAAAATAAAAAAAGGAAAAAATGTAATTTGTTTGAACATTATTTCTTTCGCTGGAAAGTTTTTATTACATACTAAAATAGAAAAAAGAATGAACATTTATGAACGAGGCTGTCATTGGACGGGGGGGGGGGGGGGGGGGGGGGGAGGCGGGGCAGGTACAATCTCTCGATAGGGGAGCTGTTCAAATCCGATGATTATTAACACTATATCAGAAGATGTACAAATACACCCGCCCCCCAAGCTGGATCTGTGGATCCGCGCCTGATTTCAGAAGAAGGGAGGGGGGGGGTGCAGAGTCATATTGCTGTTGATTTGATGGGGGGGGGGGGGGGTAGGGCAAATATTCCCCTGCCCATGCTCGGAAAACAAAAGTTGAGATTATGTTAAAAAAGTTAAGAAATATTTGGGGAAATGTGCTTTTCCCCGCTATCCCCCCTCCCCCCCGCCGGTTGCTCGAAGACACGCACTATCGGCTTCCATGCATCTCCCCCCCCCCCCCTCCCCCCGTCTAAAAATTAAAACAACGATGCGAGGGCACAATAAGCTCGTACGGTATTGAAAGTATTGTGTGAAATCTATCAAAATGATCCCTGCCAGTGCCAAAGCCATATATAAAATGCGACGCTTAAAATGCAACGCCAGGCTCCTTCTTCACCGTACCGTGCAATTATGGACGGGGTAACGTTTGTCGGGGACCGGGATTGTGCACCGTCCCACGCAAAAATTACGCTGTGCTAAGGCTAGTTTGTCCCCGAAAATTGACCAAAAATAAGCCCCAAAGATTCCCATAAACGCTATATTGTGCGATGATAACGCGTAGCCGGACCAAGCGAAATGTAAAACGCGAGAGTTATGGCTGAAACATCTATATGATCATGAGAATTTCGCTCAAAACTTTTCTGAAATGAAGCGCGCTACTAACAACCAATTTTAAAGCTGTAAAAAGGCCTACAACATGCAATTTTATCTGTTTACAGGACATTATATTCCTTTAAAATATTCGTTCGGAAAAGAAAATCGAAATCATTAGAAAAAACACGTACTTGCACAAGAACGGTAATGTTCAGCGACGCGAATATTTATCTATCTACAGCCGATGGGTTAATTCCGTCGCGGGATGCGCTGGCTTATGCAGTCGCAGTTAGCAGCGGTCAATTTAGATTTTTCGTAAATGCTAGCAAGGCCTTCAAGTTTATTTAAAAAAAAAATGTAATCCCTAAAAGACATTCTGGTCTTCTATTTAAGTTTAATTTTTCACCAACGCGCCACAAAATTGTTTCCTAATTTGTCATCTGAAGTACGATCGATCGAGTACACCGAGTTGCACTACAGTCCGCATGTGTATAGATATTTTTCTTTCAGTTCATAGACTGATTGAACCTTTAGGTGCTAATTTCATAATTTCTGCACATTAATGCTCCTATTCCAGCTGATAGGTCTCGGAAGCGCGCCACCTGACGGTTCCAGTTATCAAACAAACCTGGCCTCAGTTTTCAAGTTTGGTCACCATTTTGTTCACCTCGAAATAACATAATGAAACAAATAGTTTCACATATTCGTTTATGTACTCCATTACCGTTCCTTTTATAGCCCTCATCTTTTGCAGATCATCACCTAAATTTACAGGAAAGGTTTTCAGGTGCTCTTTTATTTTGTTGTAATTAAAAAGCAAACTCGCCCTTAATTTTTTTTATCCTTTTTGGCCTGGTTTTGATCCTTTTTGCTTGTGGTCCTGTGCTCATTTCCTTAAAAAAAGGCCTATTAATCACATCAACAATAAAATTATATATCGTAATGTTACCACTTTGGCAATTTTTGGCAGGAATAAAATGCCCTGTTGTAAATATCGCCACTTTTTCCTTCATCTTGTTTTGTATTATTTTGTTTATCAAAAATTACCGATTTTTTTTCTGTTTTTCTTCGCAAGCTTATGTTCTTGAGGCTCTGTTGAGCTTAAAACAGACAATGTTGCAATTGGGAATGTTTTCCAGTTTGGGAAAATTATTGGCTAAGCTAAGAATTCTGACACTCGGACAAAACTGTTGAGGGCGCACTCACTTGACTTTGGCCGCCGCAGCTAGCTGCTGGTGATCTGGTGATGGAGTAAAACTTGCATGATTGACGTTCTTTGACTTTTGAGCCAGGTACGTACATGTAGCTACTACTAGTACTAAGTGTATGCCTGCATGCAGGCGGCAGAGATATCGGATATCCTGATAACTTGAAGAAAGCAGTTATTTTGACTGTTTATTTTGTTCATACCGTTCTTCTATGTCACCTGCCTGGCCCTGGTCACTGCACATGCTTTGGCTTTGCATTCCATTTGCACTTGCAGGAAAGATTCCCATATCTATCTGGCCATCATTTTTCCCTGTCATTCCTGTGCACAAATCGCAGAATGAGACTGGCCTGAAAATTTCTAAGTGTCTTCTCAGTAAATACTTGAATTTTCCCTTCTAATTTTGACTTTCTAGGAGTAGGACATGTTTAATTAAATCATGGAGGAATAAGAACATGGTTGTTTAAATGCATGTTACTTGTTTTATGCTAGGTCACTGAAGTTAGGGAAAAATTAGTGATGGCCAGATAAGGGAATCTTTCCACGTAAACTGAAGAACAGAAAAATAATCTGGCAAATTTGATTTGACAACCGAGCCGGAGTGGTAGGCTATAGTCAATACACATAGTCCATGGCTAAAAAAAGAATGTTCCCAATATGCAAATAAAACATTTAATTTTAAACAAAGCCTCATAGTCATATAAGTTACAAAACATTCTATTTGGGGGAAAGAATGTTGCTACCTGAAGCTCACGTTCTTTTCTTCATATATCATCTCAATAAAGGTCATTTATTGCAAAACTTTTGAAAATACCCTGGGACCCTGAGAAACATTTCCAATTTTGTTAAAAAAAATTGGATCTCCATGGGCTTTGTACACAACCGCTGAAGTGGCGTCTGGACACTGTTTTCTTTCCATTATGTATAGTAAATGTTATGAAATTGAATAATATTGCTTTGTACTGACTGGATTGACTTAAAATTTTGGCAATCTGCTTTTGTTGGATTAAATATTATTTATAAATGTTAATCAAATACTGATATTTAATTTATCATGTTTATATTATTCAGATGCTGTACTTTTAAATTGATCTTTCCTTTAGATTGAGTAGTTTCGTAGCTTGTCATCATATTACCAAAGAGCTACCAAATAAATAGGTAATAGACGTTTTGTTCGTAATGGCTGAGAACCCGGGCACCACACCCGTGAAATCCCAGATCCAGCGAGCCCTGCGCACCAGCGCTGGCGATGGCGACCTGCAGACGGTGGCAAGGCTGATCCAGGGACTGGCTGACGTCGACGGGGTGGATGACCATGGCTGGACCGCCCTCATGCTGGCGGCCAGGAACGGACATGACAAGGTGGTCAAGCTGCTGCTTGATAAGGGGTAAGTTTAACAAGCCCAAGGAGGAGGAAGAGTTTGTCCTGCTCCTTGTGATTGCTGGCGGAATCAGGAGGTGATGATCGCCTTCTACCTCCCTATGTCATGGACATGGGCTGCTCCAGGGGGATGCTGGGGTATGAGCCCCCTCAACCCCCCCCCCCCCCCCCCCAGCAGACTTTCTGGTGTGTAAAAAATATCATTGAAATTCGCTATGGGCTCAGTGCTCAGGTACCCCCTCAATGGAAACTTGGAGAGTTGGGGAGACCACGGAGAGAGAAATTTAAACGCATTGCTGACGACAATTGGCACTCGCGCAAAGACTCTATGGCTTTGTGTGTTCTAATTAGCCCCATATACATGTATGCGTGTAAACCACCAGACAACTTGAATTGTAACTTTTGCTTCAGACGCACCTCTTATTCTGTCTCCTCTCCCCCCCCCCCCCCCTCACAAACCCTGCCAGAATTTGGGCTCCAGAAAGTAGATGGTTGAGAGATTATTGAGCTGAATTTTTAATACAGCTTTTTTATCAGCCCCTCATGTCTGGGTTTTGTAATGATGCACAATATAGGCCAAAAAAAAAAGAAACTGATCGTAACTACCTGTAGATAAGAAGTTCCTGAATGTCTCATCACCTACAAGAGAACATTGAAACAGTTTCATTGATAATAATGCACTTCACCAGTTTAAACTAATCATGACACAAATTGTTTTTTCCTCAATGCACTCTGCCGTCTAGATGTGACCACACCCTAATGAACAAGGCAGGCCAGTCTGCACTTGCGATTGCTGAGTTCTGGCACCACCCTGCCGTCTCGCATCTCATCACCCAGCACATCCAAGGTAGCAACAGTAGCAGCAGCAGCAACAACAATGTTGTCAACTTCTTCGGGCTGAGCTCTTTGGATCGCTTCAGCCACAAGCGGACGGACGTGCAGTGGCTGAAGGAGAAACTGCACCACCCATCCACGACGTTCGTTCTGTTCAGTCAGAGCAGCCCGTACATCACTTGGTCGGACGAAGGCAAGTGTCAGGTCTGCCGCTTCCATTACGAGCAGATCAAATTCCTCTTTGAGAAGCCGGAGAAAGAGGAGCCAGTGACCATCTTTCTTGGCATAGGAGATGTTGTGGCTTCTAAAACCAAGAAGACTTCCACTCACAATCCTACCTCCAGGAGTTTTGATTCCAGCCTGGACCAACCTGCCTGGTTCGCAGTGGATGCAGGTGACGTCCCCTTAGAACACCTTCAGGAGGCACAGCCGAACGCAGAGCTGCTGTCCCCAAGAAACTACCTGGCCCTGATGTCGGTCGCGGACGAAGAGGCGGGTGTCATCGGCCAAGCAAGGGCACTGTTGTCGTGGCATGACAGATACAAGTTTTGTCCCACCTGCGGCAGCCAGATGCACATCCAGGAAGCTGGCTATAAGCATACATGCCAAAACAAAGGTATGAAATGTTTAATCCGTGCAAAAATTCTAACTAGAAAGTTTTCTATCTAGAAATATTTTCTCTTATTTTCTCTGCATATATTGTTCAAGCATGTATTGTTCAAGTAATGCTGGTCTTGGAACGTATGCCTAGAACAATCAAGTAAAAACTTGCCCACGCCCAGACATAAGTCTTAGATCATTAGGACCTCAACAAATAGGTCAGAGTCCACGGTTAAATCTGGGCAGGAGCCAGGGCTCAAGTGGTCAAGACGTTCGGCGGTAGTGTTCGATGGTCGCTGGTCAGCCGCTAACATACACAGCAGCCAGGCGCTATGCACTCACCCATACATACCATCAGCATCAGGTGATTTGCATATTGTAGCCTACATGTAGCTGCTTGAGGTCACTATTCAGGCGTCATACAGTACGTACATGCAAAGGAATGATGACAGCGCGAGGCTGCTGTATATACGTATGTTAGCGGCCAACCAGGCTTTTAAACAATATGGGACTAATGTGACGTTAAATGTGCAAAGTTTTCAATGTTATACCTGGGACTCAGACTGGGCAGTGTTGTACCTGTCTGGTAACAAGTATGCAGAGGTCAGGTTCCAAATAAAAGACAAGTCATTTAACTTGTCTGGTCATGAGTAACAGAGGGTGAATAGTAATGCCTTTGCCATAGTTTATTTGTCTTTGGACTAGATTATAATTATGCGATTGATTTGAGATGGAATTTTGAGGACTTGTGAGTAATTTATTATTAAAAGGGGAAAAAAAGAGAAAATAAAATATAAGTTGATGAAATAAGTAATCAGAAAATAAACTGATTGCTAGTTTCGCTTCTGTTCATACCTCAAGTAAACATGAATGATATTCTTGTCATGGAATTGTTTATGAGTTCCGTTGACTCTAGCTCTTGCATTTCAAAACAACATCCAAGGATTTTCGCCTTTCTGAAAAGCCCTTCCAATATTCCTTCCTCCATGCCACAACTAAAAAGATAGTATCTGTATCTGTATCCCAGGGGAAACATATCACACCAACTTGTTGTGCATCTCGTATGGGACTACGCCAAAATTATATCACCTAGAATAGAAATATACACGTAAAATGAAATAAAAAAATAAATGATAAAACTACCCCCAAAATTGTTAAAAGTAATCATGAGGACTTGATGATGGATGTGGCTACAGCAATGTAGGCATGGGTGGCTTGTGCGTAAAGCGCTCGCCTCTCACCAAGGTGACCACGGTTCGAATCCTGGCCGCGGATCGCATGTGAGTAGAGTTGTGCGTTGGTTCTCTCCTGTGCCACGAGGGTTTTTCTCCGGGCCCTCCGGTTTTCCTCCCTCCGGAAAAATCAAACACTTTCGATCTCAGGCTGTGCTCCGTGGTCATATATGGGTCGATGTGGCCGGCAGCCATAGGCGCCTTTACGTGCCAGCGGCCCGACCACGTTGTAGCCGCGTCCTTCGCAATTCAGCATACCAGCTGCGAGTAAGGATGATTAGCCTCCCAAATTATTATTATAAGGACCTGACTGTGACCCAGCTTGTACATTTTGTCTCACTCTATAATTTTACTTCAGAATGTCGCAGTCTGAAGGGCATTCATAACACCAGCTATCCGCGGGTCGACCCAGTCGCCATCATGGCCGTCATCCATCCTGATGGAAACCAGTTGCTGCTCGGAAGGAAGAAGCAGTTCCCACGCGGCATGTATTCATGTCTCGCTGGCTTCATGGAACCAGGTATGTAAGAAGATCAATGCTAGTAACTATCTAAAAACTTGGAATGCCGTGAGCACTCCAGTGCAAATGCTTGCTTGTTCTAATTCAAAAAAGCCTGGTATCAAGATACTCATGTGGGAACATTAGGAATTAGACTTGTTTCTGAAGGAACACAAAAATTATATGCCAAAAAGGACATATTGTGTTTTTAACCAAACGCCTCCGAATAAGCACATATCATGTTTTATAAGGAAATACATTGTGTTTCTTCGAGGCACGTGGAACACATGATGTTTCCAAAAACATGTCTTGTTCACAAAGGAACACTTACTGTTATAAAAAGAACAATTTGTGTTAAAACATTGTGTTTTACACACAGCTGAGCATTCAGACAGGAACAGAAAAATATAAAATGTATTAACCCTAACAGAACTCCACCCATTAAAGTCCAACAGCAGTTTTTTGTTTAAATCGGTTGGGATAGGTTCAGTACCCCTAAACTGATGGTCTTTTACATTGGGTTCGGCATACCTCCAAAAACTAAGTCCAACAGTGTGTGTGTGTACGATTTCCTATTAGGGTGTTGGAATTTGCCAGAATTATGCTAGGGAGTTAGGGTTAAGATGCTTCGTTCTCTAATTTTGCTTACAGTCAGTATCTATTAATTTTGGGGGGTTGGAAATGTGTATCCCACAGTGAATTCTAGACCAGGTGGCGTATCCTATTCGTTGGTACTAATTTAGCCCTCCTATGCAAACATACAAATTTGTCCTTTCAGTCAGAATCAGTCAAGTGACTGTTTTTTTTAATGGTTAAGTGCTCCCTGCCTACACTAAGCAGGATTGATCAACTGGTTGTGACTGTTTATGATACCTGATAAAGCTATTCTTTGAATGTAAGTGATTGATAATACAGCTGGTACCTGGCTGGCTGGTACCTACCAGGTACTTGCTTTTGTCTGTTTACTGACTTTGACTAGTCACAGTGCTTGCTTCAAATATGATCTGACTGTTTGTGACTAGCCTGTGTGAAAGGCATGGCAGGGGAAGAAGATTAAGTTTTGTGACTGTTCAGACAGCAGGAAGGTTAAAGGGAATGTACAACATTTGCTTTTACTGCAATTTTCAGAAAGTAATGGATTTGAGGATTAGTATCTTTTTGCAAATATTGTTAAAATAACTTGTTGCACGATTTGGGGTTGTAGATGCTGGAAAAACCCAGAAAACTAATCGTGTTCTTGTAGTCTGGTTCCCTGACCCCACTTAAGATGAAACGGAGCAATTTATAGACTTTGGGCAATTGTAAGGTCAGAGAATCAGTGTAGCAGGCTTGTACCCCTTCACAGGTGTGTAATCAATTGCAAAGAAAACGCGGAATAACAAATTATGAAGAATTAGGAGCACTTTTTGAAAAAAAAACTAGTTTTCTCCAACGCTGGTCGGCAGACCAGCGTTGGAAAAATCCCATTTTTCTTGAAAATGACAGCACACCAGGAGTCACGATTTTACAGAATGCTTTAGACTGTCATTCCCTAACAATCCAGTAAGGTATTTCGTGATAATTTGATCATTTCATTTAGTGATGTTTAAAAATGTTGTATCTTCCCTTGAAAGAGTCTAGTTTTCAACATTATTTCTTCACTTTATCATCTGTTCTTCATTTATCTTGAATACTACACAGATTTTTGTTTTTTTGTTCTCCAGGCGAGTCCATTGAAGATGCCTGCCGCCGAGAGGTGTATGAAGAGAGCGCCATCAAGGTGGGTCATGTGACCTACCACTCCTCCCAGCCCTGGCCCATGCCGTCCCAGCTCATGATTGGCTGCTTTGGCTACGCCGTCTCCACGGCGATCACCGTGGACACCGAGGAGCTTGAAGACGTGCGCTGGTTCGAACGGCGGGACGTGGCGGCTGCACTGCAGGGTGGTGGGCCAGGCACCGGTGAAGTTGGTTCCCAGAGTAGTGCGCTTTTCCTGCCCCCAAGGCAGGCGATAGCACACCAGCTCATCAAAGCGTGGGTGGGCATGACGGCAAATCTCTGACGAGCTTGTCACCAAGTGCTCAATAAGCTAAAAGCCAGTTTTAATAACACAGTAGTAAATAATTTGTTCATCCTACAGCCCTATCCAAAGACACTGGTGACTACTAATCCACTTCACTTTTTTTTTTTACCCTAACTCCCTAGGCCTTTTTGCTAGGCTGTAACCTCAATCCTGCAAAATCCTCCAATTGGCCTCATGGAAAAATATCATATAGCCTCAATCCTGCAAATTCCTCCATTATTTCTTGAATATGGTCCATGGAGGGGCGACCACTGCCCGAATCCTGCAAAATCCTGCGGCAGTGACTGTCAATATGTTGAGGCTTGGCCAGTACGGCCGGGAGCAGTACGGAGGATTTCAAGCATAATCCAGGCCTATATTAATGCACGGCTGAGCAAAAACAACACAAGGTCCAGCCCAACACCTTGACAAAGTGCATCCTACGAAATCAGTAACACACTTTTACCATGTAACCTCAATTAAATCCTCCAAATTCCTCCACTTTGGCAAAGAGTAGTTTGAAAGAAAAAGCATATGAAAGTTTTTCTTTGAGAGCTCCAAGAATTACAGGCCCCAGTGCTCTATGATAGGGTGGGGGATCTAACAAAAGCCAATTATTGACATTCTGTGTTTTTAATACATCCTTTGCCTCCTAATTATGATCTACGGGTAGAAATCTTGTTTGTACAATGTATTTCATATAAAGAGATCTGATATAAATCAATGGATGCATTTGGGCATTTTAACACCCATATATTTATTGTTGTTTTTCAAAGTATTCATCGAAAAAAAAATGTCAAAATTACAGGTGTAATTCAGATTTTTAGATGAAGAATTAAACCTTTGACCACTCATTTACATTTTTAGGTATCTAGAAAAAGTATTTAGAACAGTAAGTTAAGGCAAATTTTCAACAGCATAGCAACAGAATGGATTTTAATTGTCAAAAGCTTACAGAATTTAATGAAAGACATTTTTTTTAAAGTGTATGTAGTATTTGGCAAAGGATACAGGTGACAAAACAAATTAGCAACAGAGATACATTTGATATTGCAGCTGATGATTAGTGTGCTATTTTTAAAATATTGGGACCAAAAGAAAAAAATTATAATTCCATTTTAGAACTCTGATGCACAGTGGTTTGTTCTCAGGGTTGTGCATTTTGGTCAATGTGGGAAAACTTTGTTTACATTTAGCAGATATTTTAAGGACCGTTTAAATGTTTAGCCATTCACGAAGGCTGGCGCATGGCGTCTGCCCCATTGTGCAGTTCGGTGTGATTGACTTGGTAAATCAACAATGATTGGCACAGTAAATAGCGGTTAGTCATTGGTAAAGTAAAGAGTTATTACGGGTGCATACCTATGTTCCCCAATACCGATGTTCCCCGAAATCCCTACCAATATAACCCTAACCCTAGCCCTAACCCTAGCCCTAATCCTAAGGATTTGGGGGAACATGGGTAGTGGGGAACATCGGTATTGGGGAACATCGGGTAGATCCCGTTATTACATATACCCCAAATGTAATGAAGTACTGCTATGCTTCTGAAGTTTTGTAAATTAAATAGGTTTGAAAACATCGTTAACTATTTGTGCTATGTATGTTTAACTCAAAGGAAGATCGCCTTAACGTTGGTCTCTTTTTTTATAATACGTTTTGGAAAATTTGTAAACATATTTAGGATTGTATTTTCATGTAATAAGCGTATAAACATGTCCAACTTCAAAATGCAGGGGTCCAACTTTAAATGCACATCTCTGTCTTTCAAAATCACAGTCGTAGCCTTCAAAGACTTAAATAAAGTTCTTTGAAAGTTTAGTTTTATTTTATCTGGCCAGTAATAAAAGTAAGATAATTGAAAACCAAGGCTTCAGATGCTACTTGTTGGCAAGAACGTTTTATGAGTGTATAAGTTTCGACAAGTTTGATGTGAAGCTACTTATTCATCAATTGAATTATTGCATTAATGCACAACTCAACACAATCTCAGATTTGTATATTCTAGTATAAATTATTTTTTACTGTTGTGTGAGTCGAATTATACTGTGCCTGTAAATTTGGAAGTTTAAAAAATGATATTTTTAAATTATCTTCCAACTATTTTAAGTGACAGAAACAGGAAAACATGACTTGCTGAATGTATTATTGTATGATTGATTTTTAACATTAATTTTATTCTGCTCATTTAAGGGCAATCAATTATGGTTGGAATTCATTTTGTTTTAAAAGTTAAAAAAAAAGAGAGAGAAAAAAAATAAATAAAATAATTATAAGTTGATGAAATAAGTAATCAGAAAATAAAATTACTGCTACAGTTTCGCTTCTGTTCATACCTCAAGTAAACATGAATCATACTTTTTTCTTGGAATTGTCTATAAATTCCGATGACTCTAGCTCTTGTATTTCAAAACAACATCCAAGGATTTTCACCTTTCTGAAAAGCCCCACCACAACTAAAAAGATACTATCTGTATCTGGATATATCAGTATCACACCAACTTGTTGTGCATCTTGTATGGGACTACGCCAAATTATATCACCAAGAATAGAAATATACAAAGTAATAATACAAAAATAAGTCCCGATATTTGTTAAACGTAATCATTTCTTGAAAAAAGAATCAAGCGTAACTCTCCGATTATTGTGCCAAAACTTTCCAAAATGAAAAAAATCCACAGCCCTTGTCGATTGAGGGCGCAATTGTGTTGACTGGACTCAAAATCCAGAATACATAGGCCGCAGGTATGTGGGCGGGATTTTTCCCGGCGATCAGTGGATGGGGCGGGATCACAAAACACCGCTTATAAAGGTAGCAAAAATATAATTTGTTAATTATACACATATTCTTTTTCTTTTATGTTGTGTTTTATGTTATTCTGCAAGTGGAAAATTCCAATTTAAGTAACTTCTTTTCTGTAATTTACTCTTTAACCCTGCCGGCAAAACTACCTGCACACATGGCCATGGATCCTCTATACACAGAGATGTTATAGAGAATCCGTGATTACCATAATGTATCCGTGATTTCCATAACTCCACCCCTTTTGCTACCTTTAACCCATTGGTTCTGCCGAGTGTTTACAAACATGCATGGTTGACGTTTTGACGGCGCGATGGCGACTTCGTCGGTAAAACAACCCAAATTGAATGGGTTTGTTTTCACAGAAAAGTTGGGAAGTGGATCATATGCGACGGTGTACAAAGCTTATAGAAAGGTTGGTTTCCTTATCATAAATTTCAAGTGGGCATCAGGAATTTCAAAAATGTCATTTTCGAGGCTGTAAGTTAGGCCTTCAGCCAACCCCAACCATTGCCACTGCGCCGCGCCCAGCCCGATACGTTCGTCCGTTTATTTACACTCCGGGCCGGGCCAGCAGCTCAGCATCAGATGAGTCACAACGCTAAATTTATCCACATGCTCAGTGCATGGAGAGACTCCCATATCACTTGTCACCCTGTGTACAAACCCTATGAGACTGGTCTGAAAATTTCTAAGTGTTTTCTTAGTAAACACTTCAATATTTTCTATGCTAAATTTGACTTTTTAGGATATATAATTATTATCACTTTCTGATGGCTGATGATAGGTCACTAGAGAAAAGGGAAAACTTTTTGATAGCCAGATATTGGAATCTTTCCAGAGGAAAACTGCTAGCCTACAGGAAAACTGAAATTGCCAATCTTGATTGACTCAAATACTACCTTTCTGAAACGTTATACTTGATAAAACAAATCTTGTCAACTGTGGTTGTTTTCAATAAGATAATTTAAAGAGATTGCTAGATTGTTTTACTTCAAACAAACTACGGTAGTAGTCACTACTATCATTGGAGAATTTTCTTTGCCAAACAAATGATGTTGGAACCTCACTTTCTATTATAAACCATAGATTCTACCCGGCTGGATGAACACCTATATTCTATAAAATGATTAATTGTTAGGACTTTTATCATTGTGATCAAACGATGGGAAGAGAAAAAAGTTCCAAAACCATCAAATACTACCTTTTACCCTTGACTACACGCTGACACCTACATGTGATCAACACAAAACAAAATTGCCCCCCCCCCCCCGAAAAAAAAGACCCTACCTGCCGAACTTCCCTATTTTCAAATGCCAAGTAATCGGAAGCAGAAAGGATTTTGCCTTATGTATGTTTCATGCACAGGGTCAGCAGCGAGAGGTGGTAGCCATTAAGTGTGTACTGAAGAGCAGCCTGAGCAAGAACTCGGTGGAGAACCTACTGACGGAAATTGAGATCCTGAAACGCATCAGGCATGAGCACATTGTGGAGCTCAAAGATTTTCAGGTGGGTCATAGGTCAGAGCGCAGAGGGCAAATAACCAATCCCTAGTGATCCCTAATGGGGATCATGGTGTTCTTGGGCAGGACACTTTACTGTAATTGCCTGTCTCCATCAAGAAGTGTAAGTGGGTGACTGCGAGGGTGCAGAGCAGCCGGCGCACATCTTCTTGAGCTGCTGCAGAAAATTGGTCTAATGAGCTGATGGACAGGAGTAATATAAATGGAAAAGCTTTTGGAGATTGGAAACACAACCACTTAGTCACAGTAGTCAAAGCATTAGAGTTTTAGCCAAGTCTGAGTCCTTGGCAGTAAACGAAATTTCTTAATGACCTTGTTGTTGTCGATCACATCATAACTGATGCTTCGTGGATTGCAGGATGGAATGCCAATGGGATCTCTTTAGAGGAATGCTGCTTGCTTCGCTGAGTGACATGCCGGTTAAAGTCTTCACCTGATCCGACCATCTGAGCCTGGGTCGTCCTGGCTTTCGACTTCCCTCAACTCGACATCTTAAAGCTGCCACCCTAAACCGGACCAACTGGCGTACATTGACCTAGAAAGCGGCAACAAACCTTGAGGGGATCATTGTCTGAGCCTCACTGCTGCATGTGACCTTATATATGTGTAATGATTGGTGGTTGTCTCTCTGGAGCCGAGGAAGATGATGCGTTGTGCAGTTATCATCTGTGGGCATGCATATGGCTTCGGAGGCCGAAGTCTGATGCGCAGAGGTGATTGCAGATAGGGTACGTGACGCCACTTGTCAGGACAGGGGCAGACACTGTTCTGTGTCTCCGGTCACATGCAGCAGTGAGGCTCAGACAATGATCCCCTCAAGGTTCGTTGCCGCTTTCTAGGTCAATGTACGCCAGTTGGTCCGGTTTAGGGTGGCAGCTTTAAGATGTCGAGGACAGGTCTGCCAAGTGCAATGAGCAAACCCTAAACTCTAGGCGTACTTGGTACTCGATAAAAATGATCGTGGAGTTCTGTGATGCAAACATCAGAATATGATGTTTGCACTCCACAACAGTGAATCCATCAAAATAATACATATCTGCAGTAAATGGAGATCATGCTTGTATGTAAGTATTAGGTCTAAGAAGCAGATCTTTTCAAGCCATGATTCAAGCCTAGATTGAAAATAACATGTTTGAATGCATGAAAATAACATTGCCATCTTAATTCCATTTTAGTCTGGACTTTGTTAGCCCTTGTTGATTTATTTTAAAAAAAATATATTACAAAGTGCATGGACTTCATTTTGTTTTGTATGTTTTAAACAGTGGGATGACTCGTACATCTATCTGATCATGGAGTATTGCAGCGGAGGCGACATGTCTCATTTTATTCGCACCAAGCAGGCCTTGCCAGAGAGGACAGTCAGAGTATTTGTCAGACAAATCGGTGAGTTATTTGCTTAAGCCAGGGACAGACATAATATAGTAGTCAATCTCTGCATGAGCTGTGAAACAAATTTCTGGGAGTTCAGCAGTTACCCAGACACTGTTTGTCAGCATTGCAGAACAGTCAACCACGCGTCCTCATAAGCCATCACAAGTCAACCAGTCCAAAGTCAATTCACAAGCTATTCAAATAACCTTGACAAAGGCATTCCTGTGCAATATATGCATCCACTGTGATCAGATTTGTGAGTTGACTTGTGAGTAACTTGTGACCGGATTTGGTGGCATGGGTGGCTTGTTCGTAAAGGGCTCGCCTCTCACCAAGGTGACCACGGTTCGAATCCTGGCCGCGGATCACATGTGAGTAGAGTTGTGAGTTGGTTCTCTCCTGTGCCACGAGGTTTTTTTTCTCCGGGCCCTCCAGTTTTTCTCCCTCTGGAAAAATCAAACACTTCAATCTCAGGCTGTGCTCCGTGGTCATATGGGTTGATGTGGCCGGCAGCCATAGGCGCCTTTACGTGCCAGCGGCCCGACCACGTTGTAGCCGCGTCCTTCGCAATTCAGCATACCAGCTGCGAGTAAGGATGATTAGCCTCCCAAATTATTATTATTTGTAATGGACTCGGCTACAGCACTGCTTTCCAACAGTGTTGAAGTTAAGTCCAGTCACAAGTGGCTAGTCACAAGTCAATCACAAGTCTATTCATGAATCTGGTCACACGTAACGTGAACAGTATGATGAACGTGGAAGAAAGAATACCTTTGTCTGAGTTCATTTGAGCAGGTGAAGCTTGTGACTTGACTTGGGACTGGATGACTTATGATTGGCTTGCTGTTCACAAGCGCTAGACAAAACAAACCAGAGATGAACCCGAAGTGGTTGAGAAGGCACAGTTTTTGAAAACCTCTAAGTTCTGTATGTGTAATCATTCTGAGGTAATTAATAGGTTGTTTTTTCTCCCATTCATGTCCAGCGAGTGCCCTCCACCATTTGCAATCAGAGAATATCACCCATATGGATCTGAAGCCTCAGAACCTACTGCTGTCCAACTCGTACGATCCAGTACTCAAATTAGCAGGTAGGTCACTTGCAATGAAAAAAAAAAGGTCATCATGGTCATAGGGCTAAAAGGATGCTGTGTTAAGGATCACACTTGAATTTTCCGGTTTCCGGAAATCTAGGGTATTCATCTAAAAGGGTCACTGTCACTAAGGCAATTATTTCCCATGTGTGGATACAGTCGACACACCTTTATATCAAGGTCCTTGGGACTTTATGAATTACGATGTTATAACAGATACCGTGTATTAACAGCATTGAAAAACAAAGGGAAACAAAGAAAAAAAAAAGGCTTAATTGGGACCTAAAATTGTGCTCGTTATAAGCAGTATCTTGTATTAACAGTGCTCTTCTTATCAGGGTTCAACTGTATTTAAATGACTTAACCTCATGTTAAAGGTTATAAGGACAATGACACACTAGAGCAAGTTCAAGGGAGAACTGTAGGTATTCAACTCGTCTAGTCAATAATTGACGGCCAACCTATCTGGGCTACTTGAATCACTGGAACCCGAAGCCATACGTATTATAATTTGTACAGCAGGGAACGTTGACCAAGAAGTGACATGATGTCATTTTGGATTGCGTTGGACGAGAGATGCACACTGCTATAAGTGTACAGGTGTAAGTTTCATCTCAAATAAACTGCGGTCTTGCTCCTGGCTGTTCTCCGATGCAGACCCCATATCCAAGTTAGAGGTATTGAGGATGTGCTCGAGAACTTGACAAAAGACACCCGTTGATTCTCCCCTGCAGATTTTGGTTTTGCCTCTTACATGACGGAGGACGTGCTTGCAAACACTCTGAGAGGCTCACCCCTGTACATGGCTCCGGAAATCATCCTCGAGCGTAAATACGCTGCCAAAGTGGACCTGTGGTCAGTGGGGGTCATCATGTTTGGTGAGTCAGCTTTTTATTGGAAATGTAATTTTTATTGGTTTAAATAACTGTTCTTTCAGTAGGCCTATACAACACTCATGAGGCGTCCAAAGATCTAACTAGGGAGCTAGTACTTAGCCTATGGGGGGCTGGGAAGAGGGGGGGGGGGGGAACCATCATTGCACCTGTTCAAAGAGCCATGACTCGATTCAATTCAATTCAATTCAGTTTGATTAAATTCAATTTAACTCTAGACATTTTGTACCCAGTGACAAGTCGGCCTTTTATTGGAAATGTAATTTTATATTGGTGTAACAGTTACCCTTCTTTCTGTTTAACATAGCTGTGTGGAATTAAGTTATCTTACAAGAGGGGCTTGTACTTAGCCTATTTGAGGGTGTTCAACGAGACATGACTGGATACCATGTGACACTAGGTAGCACTGTTCATCATAAATGGGAGGGCCAAAGAGGAGGGGCTAGAGGGAGAGGCATTGAACATTCTGCTTAAAGAGGGAGGCGACTTCGTCCCCCCCCCCCCACACCCACCTCCCATCCCCCTACCCCTTCATTCCCCCTCCATTCCACTGATATGTCACAATTTTATATCATTATTTAAAGTTGTGGCCAGTATATTTGTTTTAAATTGTTCGTATGCCGTACATCTACCGTACAAAGAGAGGCATCATTTGCTCATTCATTAGTTTCAAGGTTTTTTTTATTACCTTGGCATTTTGCCTCAAAGAATGGAGCATGCGATTAGCTGACCTGGGCTGACCCAGGGTAGCCTGGGTGAGCTAATCAAACAGTTAGCCCATGGGGGCTCACCCCGGCCAGCCGCTGCAGACCCCATTCCTGGAGCAGGATCCGTGATGGAATTACGTCACATGCAGTCGTCATTCTTCCTAAAAGTCGGACAAATATGGTATACTTGTAAATAATGGGACATTCAAGGATCTTCATTATGACAAACATGGGGAAAAAATGAGGGTTGGCGAGGATGCATTTTTTATTTCCCCTTTTTATTTTTAATACTTGTGATGTTTTTTCCGCAAAGTCTGTAAAGACTTGAATCCTTCATTAAGGGCTTACAGACTTTGGATACAGTTGTCTGTAACTGGAATTACCATCAATTTATTACGAAGGTTCGGTCCGAACCATCATGAGAAAAAAAAGTGAGGTTTTTTTTTTAAATAGTGTTCCTAATTGACCAAATTAAGTTTAGTTTGCTAGCGGTTAATTATCCGTGGATGATTTATATTTCTGGAGTGACAAACTGGGATCATACCACAGGAGGGGGATTTCAAAATCTATCAATGAGCATTTGGGAAGGAGGGGCTTTCAATGCTTTGCGTCACGAAAAAAGAAGATTTATTTCACAGTTTTCTCAAAAAGTACATCTACTGAGCTGAAATGATGACAGTTTTTTTTTAAATAATCTGCTTCAGATTTATTGTATTATCATTCTCTGAATCGGCAAAACCATACTTTTTTTTTCTTTTCTATTTTTTGGTTTGTTTGTTTGGGGGAATATGGTGTCCGTTACTTTCTGGACAGTAGTTTTCTTGTAACTTTGAAATTTGTCAATTCTAAAAAATCTCAATTTATATTTTTAAGCAGATTGTCGCCAAGGAATTAGTTTTAGAATTTGATTGAATTATTTTTGGGGGTCATTTGCTCGTCATGAACCATTCATATTCGTTCCTACGCTGCCGGCGATTGCAATCGTCGCATGCACGACTTGTGACTGTACAAGTTTCAGCTGTATAAAATGGGCGGGACTTATTAGCATAAATTTTAATATGCATACAGACATGGCGTCACGATATTGGCCTAAAGTGGATATGACTGAGGCGGATAAATTCAATTTCTGAACCAGATTTTGAGGTTGGAATTGTTTTAACATCATTTTTGTGTTAAAATAGTAATCTCATTACCGGATACAGTGTAGTTTTAAGTATGGTTAATTTGCATAGGTGACATTAATGAACCGTAGAATTAAACGAAGCTGTGCTCAGAGAGAGGTACCGTTTTATATCTTCAAACGTCACATTGAGTTGTGTTTGCTATTTAAAGTAAGAATCAATTTTTGTGGTACCTGCATTCGTAGTTCGGAGCAGGTTATAAACGATATAATGGATAGATTTCATTTAATGACTCTAGGACCGTATTTGTGGCATGATATAGTACACGGAAAGTTTTGTGGGATTTCATATCACATGGATTTTTACTCTAATAATGCGGGATGTATACCTTCAAAAAGCAATTAGTGGTTTTGAAACTAGTCATCATGTCCCTACAGAGGCTTTTAGGAATATAATTAATAAGATCGTCATTATTATTTCGTCATATATAGATGTACACGTAGCGAAACTATTGCGTTGGCCCCGCCCCCTTGGTTCAATCGTTCCTGTACAGCTTTGAAAATTGGGCAATGTGTACATATGCATAGTACACAGTTTTACAATTTTGGCCTGGAGCATTATGATTATGAGGTAAAACTCAACTTCTGAACCCGATCAACATTAAGACATCATAATCGTGTCAAATGTTCATTCCGTTCCAATGTGTGGTAGTTTTGGGTAACATTAGCGACCCAGTTAAAGAAATCAAGCTGTGCTTGTTTTGAGGCAAATTTCATAAATTTTTACTTCATGCGTTGTGTTGCGAGTGCTAGTGATTCGCGTTATCGCTCATTCTTTGATGAAATTTGTGTGATTCCTGCTTGGGTAGTTGCTACTAGTTCGTGCCGGGTTGCATTTAAATGTTGAAAGTAAGGCGTACATGTAATGTTTGTCTGGAACATGCGTTTTGCCTTTTCATAATGTTCTCATTGCGAATGCTACAGATGTGTGCATTAACTGACATAAAACATGAAAAGACATCAAAAAACAAACAAACAAACAAACAAACAAACAAACAAACACCCCAACACCCCACAAAACAAAACAAAACAAAAACAAGCTGAGACACACAAAAACACAAAAACCACATACCCCCTCCCATTGCAACATGCAGGGTAACTCGACATACAAACGACAACTTGAAAGACAAACCGACACGAAAATACCCAAACAATATAAGCAAACATGAAATTGATTGGGGACAAAAACATTCAAACACTTATGGAATAAAAACATGGAATAAAAGCAAGAGAATAACTTAAAACCAATCAGTTAAAAGTTAAAAGATTGAGGTTGTGTTTGTGGCTGATTTGAAGTTCACACATTGCCGAACAATGCACATCAGTATAATGCTTATTTAGAAATTTTATTTGTATTATAACCCACAAATCCACCTATTTCTGAAAATTACTGCTAATGTTATATATTACCAGCTACCAAGGTGGTTTTAATAAGAAAAAGTGTGGTTTTAGCATGGTTATCATATTTGTTCTTTTGGCGCACTTGCTACTGGAATCGTGTGCCCCCGGCCCCCTGGGGGCCCTATCGTTACGTTCCCATCCAGTTCAGCTTTGTAAAGTGGGCGGGGCACTTAGCATTATTGTAATATTCCCCCGGCACATGGTCATACGATATTGGCCTAATATGATTATGGAGGTTAAAATATCAACTCCCGAAGGATCGCCATTTTGGATACATTTTGTGGGGTTTTTTTATGGGTAACTACTTGTGCTAGGATCGTACGTCACACGAAATAGGAATACATGTACTGAATTTATTTGCCCGGCGGCACCCACATTCATTGTAAAGTGGGCGGGCGCTATTTATCATAAATTTTAATATGCATAGCCAGACGGTGTTGTCCCAAAGGTCTCCAAACGTCATAAGGATAATTATGTTGGTAACCTGCTTGCGAAGTTCATTGCAGGTAGTCAACACATTTTACTCTCTAGATCGTTCCCGTACAGCTTTGAAAAATGGGCGGGCCCCAATTTGCATACATTAATACATATGCATCAGCTCATAGTCGTACAATATTGGCCTAAAACCATTATGATTATGAAGGTAATACTCAACTTCTGAACCCGATCAAAAGTAAAACATCATAATCGTGTCAAATATTAATTTGTTTTCTCTACATATTGTAGTTTTACGCTTGATTAAGTCATTTGGGTAACATTAGCGACCCAGTTAAAAAAAACCAAGCTGTGCTTGTTTCGAGGCAAATTTAATAAATATTACTTCATGCGTTTTATCTAGTCACCCATCTCAAACTCTCGTTGGCGACGCACGTCGCACGTGAGTGATTCTCGTGAATCGCTCGTTCTTTGAAATTTTTGTGAGACCTGTTGCGTAGTTCGTGGCGGGTTGCATTTGATTGTAGAATGTTAGGCATACATCGCAATGCTCGTCTGGAAAAGTGTATCTCTTTTACGCGAGATTGTTTCCTATAAAAGAAGATGAAGTATTTGAACATTTAAGACAGCTACATGTACATGCAAACACAAAGAAGCAAATTAAATATGCTACCAAACGATCAGACAAAGTTGTAAAACATTACAGGAACAGCTGTTGAAGCATCATACTGATTCACAACTGAACAACGTCTGAGAAGAGAAAACGCGTCACACTATATCAGACAATGAAGTTTTATTAAGGTGTTATATATAACCAATCATGAATGTTTCACATTCCTGCAACGGTAGAATACTTTCATTCGGTGACAGATAAAATGTTGCATTCCACTCGGCTTCGCCTCGTGGAATGGAACATTTCATCTGTCACCGAATGAAATAACTCGTACAATTGCACTCATAAACATTCATTATTTGAGTACTATAGCTTCGGATTTCATATGACATGGATTTTCACCTAATGCGGGATGTACATTGTGTACCTTCCATCATCATGTTCTACGGAGGCTTACGAATAATAATAGGATCGTCATGAGCAGTATAGTATAACTGTAAGTAGCGTAAATATTGCGTTGGCGCCGCCCCCCCCCCCCCCTGTCGTTCAGCTTTGAAAATGGGCGGGCTCTAATTTGCATAAATTCTAATACATTTGCTCAGCACATAGTCGTACAGTATCGGCCTGAAGCCATTGTGATAATGAAAGTAAAACTCAAATTCTGAACCCGATTACCATTAAGACATAATAATCGTGTCAAATATTAATTTGTTTCTCTGTGTATTGTAGTTTTACGCTTGATTATATCATTTGGGATAACATTAGCGACCCAGTAAAAGAAATCAAGCTGTGCTTTTGGGGGGACAAATTCTATGTTGATCGTATTTCCCGCCAGTTTAGGTAACTCTTCGCGTAATCTCTCGTTGCGCTTGAGAGTGATTCTCGTGAATCGCTCGTTTTACAAAATTTTTGTGAGACCTGCTCGCGTATTTCGTGGCGGGTTGCATTTAATTGTTCAAAGTTATGCTAGATAGGTTTACACATTACCGGTCAAGTTTAAGTCGATTCGCCGCTTATGGCCATTCTTGAGTGCCTCAAGAGTTTGTTAATTCGGTAGAAGATCGGGAAGCGCGCCGATATTTTTGGACATGTTCAAAAAACATCTCAGGGGTGTTGTGGGACCCAATTTCAATTCTTGGTTTATTTTTGTTGCATTCATAAATAATTCTGAATATTCTCACAACATTCTGGATATTCTTATTTATACAAGTTAGAACAATATCTAATATCTAATCTAACTTTTCTTAAGACTTACTGGAGTGTGTGGGGGGATTATATATTTGTTCCAAGCAAAAATGAGAAATAAATAATCTAGTTCTTGAAACATCTAGAAAGACAGGCAAGTCAAAATATTGATTGATCCTACATCTTAATTCACGCAAAGCCGTGTCCGTTGAAAACGCGATGGTTCAGTTCAAACCATCGCATGGAAACGTTGATAATTCCTGTTTTCTCGAGGAAGAAAAACCAGCATTCTAGTCTAGACGCAATAAAGATTTTACAGACTCGGGATGCATGATCCCCAAATTGGCGCGTTCCAGACGAAGCGTCCATCGTTTACGCCCAGAGGTAGGTTTAGCTTGCTCACTTGTAGGCGTGTCGTTTAGTCTCATACGTAACGCGTATGCGCAGCAACTTTGTGCGGGACCTACTTAGCATAAATTGAATATGTAAATCGCGTGGTGAAATGTTTCAACTCCGTGTAAATAAAGTGGAAAATCTTTTTTGGGCAGCCATTGTGTGATGAAATGTCATAGCTTAAACGGTTATTGCTTAGAAAATATCTGTTCGCAATCTTATTTCTTGTCGTTCTTTAACTGCGGTACAATTAACAGGTTCATATTGATGGATCATGTTGTTTGAAACTGTGATAATAACGGTAGGAGAACCGGCTGTATTCAACGTTTGTGGTTACTTAATTAATATCGATCGTTCAAAAATAGAAAAATTTTTGGATAGCCGGTTGACGAAATTCGTTGCGGGCTTGTTAAACTCAACTGAAATGGTAGACATGAACATGTTGTTAATTATAGCCGCTTGTGATAGTTGGTAAACGAGCATCTGAACAACAAACTTGAAACCGGTTTTATATGACAAGTCTTTGTAACCCGTGCACATTTCCATAAAATTCTGAAAGTTACTGCAAATGTTGTCTATTACCGGCTACCAAGGTGATTTAATAGAACAAGTTATGGTTTTGAGCATTATTTGTTCTTTCGCGAATCGGTGCCCTTAAGCTGGAAGTTGCACCCCCACCCCGCGCCCGCGGCCCTATCGTTTCCAGTTCAGCTTTGTGGGCGGGGCCACTTAGCAATTATTGTAATATTTCTCCAGCACATGGTAAAACGATATTGGCCTAATTATGATTATGGAGTTTAAAATGTCTTCCGAAGGATCAGGATTAATTCTGTGTTTTGGTGGCGTTCTACTTGTGCTTATGAAATACAAATGTACATGTATTGAATTGGCTCCACGGCGCCCACATTCATTGTAAAGTGGGCGGGCCTTATTCATGATAAATTTGAATATGTATACGGCATGGCCAGACGTTGTCGTCCCAAATGTCCCCAAACTTCATTAGGATATGGAGGTAAAACTCAACTTCTGTGCACCCGATAAAGATTAAGTCATCATAGTTTCGTACCAAATTAGTCCAGTGTCTCTATGTATTTCATTATTTTGCAAGATCTAGTTGTTTATGTGACATTAGTGACTAATTTAAATAAAGTAAGCTGTGATTGTGTAGAGGCCCTATTAAAATATGTTCTTTTCCGAGAACGGTAAGCCAATAGTGTAATCGCGATTTTAAAACTTAAACATTTGAATATTTATGATATACGAAGGTCGTTTGATCTCGAACTACCGGGAGAGGATGGGTACCGATGTACCGTATGGAATTGTCCATCTGTGTGAATGAAAACTTAATCTTATTTCGATAGTCGGTATTTCTACAAGCATGCTGACTGTAATTAACAGGACATTATTCTCCGTGCATTTTTGTGGGAAGCATCATCTTAAGCTAGGTGCTTAGCAGCTAGAGTGTTGTAGCTTTTGCTCATTGGCTTCATTTCCAAAAACAAAGAAAGCATCTGCTCATTCTGGGGATTTCATGAGGCCAGCCTCAGTTGACCGCACCGCAACGAAACTAGCCTTGGTCAAGTTGTTGGTTGATAGTCCTTCATACAGAATACACACCCCACCCGTTAGTGTTGTATGCATTGCAAAAACAAAACGACGGTGCTTTGCACATTTGAATATTCTAATTGCTGATCAGTAGTTGAATGTCATTTCAAAATAGGATCTAATGTAAAAGTAATATTATGGAATGCCTTGTACGTTGCCTATTAAAATGTTAGAATTTTCACCCACATGCTACAAAGTGATTATTAGAATGAAAACAACCTGAAGAGAGGTTTCTATTGCTTTTTAAATGAATTGCTTTGCACATGATTTGTTTTAATTTTGTGAATGACCAAATTCACGTTTTCAAGACCATACTCATTGACAGATCGACATAATCTGTAAATCCATTTTTGAAAGTCCTTCAAAAGTACAAGTATATTGTTTTCAGTGATAAACTACCCGTGTGGAAAGAGGGTGGGGCTTAAATTTGCATAATAATATATTCATATTATGTAGTGTCCATCAACTTCAAGGCCAAATTAACAAGAAAAACTTGAAATATTTTACTATATTAATATTTTGCTTATTTTTCTATGAATTTTTTTTGTTGTTTTTCCTTATGGACAAAACAAAAGTGAATGCCAGTGCAAACATTGTGGAAAACATTGCTAATGTTATTTGTAGTTTAAGCGCTCTGATTTTGAACATGACCAACTTCACAGTATCCGAAAAAGACGAAATAATTATTTGCTCATCGGCAGAGGTCCACTAAGACCATTAAATTGAATTTTTGAAAGCCGTGCTGTAAGTGCATACCACTGCATGTTTTGTATGTGTTTGTGGCATTGGCTAGCAATACAAACGAACAGTAGAGCATGGTGGATGGAACGTGTCTGTTCATAAGTCTGCGAATGCAAACTGCATGTACATTCAAAGTTTAGTAATTGTCCATATCCGTACAATGAAAAGTTAATTTCATTTTGATATTCACTTTTCCTAGAAGCATGCTGACTGTATTAACAGGACAATGTATTAACAGGATAATTATCAGTGGTGTAGTCGAGTCATCAACGTCGAGTCCGAGTCTCGAGTCACAAGCCTCGAGTCCGAGTCTGGAGTCACAAGCCTCGAGTCGAAGCCAATGTGACTCGAGTCAAATCTGAGTCATGAAAAATGTGACTCAAGTCCAACTCGAGTCCAAGTCCTGGACTCGAATTCTACAACATTGCTAAGTTAGGCCAAAAAAAAAAAGTCTCCGGTTTCTGGTATGCGCGCGCGTCGCCGTAGCCATGCGCGTCGGCAAAATGAAAAAGTTTTTTTTTCAATGAAAGATGATGTCTCAAAACCGCCAAACTCACTGGTTTAACTGGAATTCTGCTGCTGCACAATTTTAACGTGTTTGTAGATTGAATTATGGTCGAGAATAAGCTTTATGTGGCCTCTCTGGACTCCCATATATTTGCACTAAGTTTAGTCGGGCACCATTTGCAGTCATCAGCCGACATTTGAAGCAAAAAAATCAGATAAAAAAAAAAGAAGCTGCGTCGCCGCACCACTTTTTGGGCAAGCTCCATACCAGAAACCAGAGACTTTTTTTTTTTGGCCTTATGCTCAGTTGTTTGCTGGAAGCAACATCTTAAGCAGGGTGCATGGCAGTTATGTTTTGAGCGAGTTTTTCTCATTAATTTGGTTGGTATATTTCAGGGTAATTATAAATGTTCCTATACCTTTAAGAGAAATGACACGACTTTTACGATATCCATTTGATGCTTCAATTAGGGTTTCAGTCCCTACCTGATTCCCTAGGTATTCTCCAATATAGTCTTCTGGACGTTTCCTCCCACTTCTAAAACTGTCATTTTATTGCCTTCTCTCTACAGGTTTTGTCAGGCCTGCGAACTGCAAAGTGCCCTTGGGCGCTTTTGAGGAATCTTTGGTTTCATTACCAGAAATAAATAACAAGTCATTGTTGATTGTTGAGTGCTTATATAGGGTATTTACCCGCGCGTAGCCACCATAACAAACATTCATTAAATACCGAAAATTCTAGTGCTGGAGCAACCGTACTAAAGGATTACAGATTAAGTGGGTTCGTAACAATGGTAAATAACTTTTGTGATTTGTTCAGCTTGGAAATACTATGCTGCAAATTGACCATGGTTCTACAGAGCAGCACTTCACATTCTCCCTAACTAATGTTTTTTGACAAGGAATAAATTGGACCTATTTTTATTCAACAGAGTGTCTCTTCGGCCACGCCCCTTTCGCCTCCAAAACTTTCACCGAATTAGCAGAAAAGATCAGAAGTTCAAAACCCATAGAGGTACGTAAATGTACAATATTTCAATGTGTACAGCATGCATATAGGCATGACAGGTTTTTTTTGTCATTGCGAGCATGGGAGGGGTTGGCAGATTTTAACTGTTTCTTCTCTTGTCTTGTCTCTTTGATATGTGGATCATGGTTAGGCTGGGCTTGGGTTTTTAAAGGTAGTCCATCATTTGTAATTTGTGCATTTTGTTCGTTTGAAGCAACAAAAGTACTCAAAATCTAAAGAAGGGTGCTGAACAACTAAGTTGATGCAGTTTCAGCTCAGCTTTAGCTGTATATTTCGAGAAAAACAACATTCTAGGATCTCGATTTCAAATCAAAAGTTGCTGAATCATGTTTTGAACAATAATTACACCAGTTACTTTTTGGATAGCTGCAAATGATGGACTCTTTAAGGTTAAGATAAGCTTCCCCTCCCTCTACAAACAATTTTTTTATGATAAGGTTGGGTTTTTTTTTGGGGGGGGTGTTTTTAAATAATGGTAAGCTAATTTCTTGCCTTACTTTTTCCTCCAAAATAGATGGTTTTTGAGGAGATGGTAGGGTTGATGAATGTAGGCTTATTGTGACTCAGGATTCTCACAGTCGCAGTAAAATCCTGGAAATTTTTCGAATTTCAAACTGTCCCGGAAAAGTCATTTAATTTTGTTGTTTTCACAAAGAGTCATGGAAAGTTGGTATTCCAAAAAATATTCATGGAAAAGTCATAGAATCCTGCACAACCCGTGCAGGATGATACATAGGTTTGGCTGTGGCAGTTTTCCAGTTTTTTGCACTACTTCCATGCATGTACATGTATGCTCAATACTTTTCACATGTCCAGTGCACCACTATGATGCTTTTGTGATTAACCTGTCTTGTGTCAAGCTATAATCCTGGCCAAAATAGGTTGAGACACTTCCTGAGCCTGCCATGGTCACCCACTCCCCGCTCCCCCAGTCAATGTTGTTCTCTCCAGCTGATGGAGCACACACCGCGCAATCTCTCCAGCTGATGGAGCACACACCGCGCAATGAGAGACAACATTGAGTGGGGGCCAGGGGGTTGGGGGCCCAGCGAGATTTGGCCAGGATTGTAGAAGGCTGAAAGGAAGTGGTGTACCTTGCCTGACTGGCTAGGGTATTGTGAATGGGCTGTTATTATGCCAAAGAAGAGTAGGAATTGGTCATTGGTCATCAAATGCCCTTATTTGGTCTTGGGAAAAGTCGTGGAATTTTATTTTAAGATTTCTGTGGGACATGTACCAAGCTAGCACAAAGGAAGGTAGAAGGGAGTCAGCCCAGACTTTATTGCGTTCACAAAAGAACTTTTCAACAAGGTCCAAACTCACCAGGAAAGAACCACAAGTACAGGTACTATACAGGGTGAGTCAAAAAAAGCGAAACCCAAATGTTGGGACTATTGTTTTAGTGAAGTTCTGCATGAAGCACTTTTTAAATCTATGATATGAAAGCCCAGTTCATAAGCTTTCCCTTTATACAAGAATCATTCAAATCACTCATGTACTTTTAAAGTTACGGAATTTTAAACACCGTTTTAAAGTTCTGTCCATGGATCACCAAAAAAGGTATGCTTTCTTTCAGCAAAATGAACACAATTCACACACATCCCCATGTGATCTGTTTTCGTTTTGCTGAAAGAACACTTACCTTCGTGTGATCCGTGGACAGAACTTTAAACAGTGGTTGTGTTTAAAATTCCATAACTTTAAAAGTACATTAGCGATTTGAATGATTCTTGTACTTAAAAGAAAGCTTATAAATTATAAGTGCTACATGCAGAACTTCACTAAAACAATAGTCCCGACATTTGGGTTTCATTTTTTTTTGACTCGCCCTGTATAAGATGATGTTATGTGATCACTCAGGAGCAGCAATGCATTGCCAGCTCCAGATATTGGGAGGGGGGGCACACGGTGTCAGCTAGGGGGCACATCCCAAGAAAAAACTTAATTGTACATGTAATTAATTTTAAGCTATGGGGGGGGGGGGGGGCGGGAGGGAGGCAGTTGCTCACTAGGGCCCACGCGCCGGCCCACCCAGGCTCTGGTGACAGGCCTATTCAGGAGACTTCCTACTGTAGAATGCACACGTGCACTGGTTTGTCTGCTGAAATTTTGATCCTGATTTGTCTGTTTCAGATTCCAGACGCCATTCCGATCTCAGATAGGTGCCGGGACCTTCTCCTCAAACTTCTCCAGAGAGACCCGGGGGACAGGATAGACTTTCCTGAGTTCTTTGAGCATCCGTTTATCGATCTGCAGCACTTTCCCTGTGCAGAGTCACTTGAGAAAGCAGTAAGTTATTCTGGCGTTAACTGACCTGGAATCTTCTTACTTTTGGATCTCTGACCAGTGATGTCACAATCGTCCAGTCACTAGCTGCTCAAACAGACTATATTATTAGGCATTTTGCTGTTTGTTACCTGTATAATGGTTTTAATAAGGGAATAAATGTGTGCTTCAGCGGTTTTGAACACTATGTTTAAGACCGGTTGGAGTCTTGGTTCTGATAATTATCCGAGCCAAAGGCGAGGGTAATAATCAGCGTCCAGACTCCAACTGGTCTTTAAACATAGTGTTAAATAAATCCTCCAAATCCATTTATTTCTGAAAATTGCAGCAAAAGCAAATGTTGTATATGGGGGAAGACAAATTTTTCCTTTCAAAGTTTTTTAGTTGTGCTGAAAGAAATATTTTATTGAATTGAATTGAACTGTGATGTTCTTACCTATTCCTATACTTTATATTATTTTCTTTGCCTGTCAGAAATCACTGGTAGTCCAAGCAGTTGAGAAGGATACGTCAGGCGATACCAAAGCAGCCATTCAGCTCTACTGTGAATCCCTTCAGTACTTCTTGCCAGCAATTCAATGTAAGTTGAATTAATTTAATCACGGGATCGGCAGATCTTTGGGGAAGTCAAACTGCAGAAACAATGATAATAGTGTGTGTCGCTTATATAGCACTTTCCACCAAAGCTAGATCTCAAAATGCTTCACAGTTATTGCCCCTGTTCATCAGGTCATGAGACCACTTTTCTGTAGCCGAGATCAGCGCAATCTGGTCTCTACCTTCACAGTTACCCAATTATACTCCTGGATGGAGAGAGGCAATTGTCTTGCCCAAAGACACAAGCACCATGCTCCCCGTCAGGGTTCCAACCCATGTACCATGGAGTATGGGTCGAAGACCGTAACCACTGGACCACAGCACTCCTAAACATAATAACCAGATCCCATTGAATTGAGCAATGACGCAACACCGGTAGGTCTTCTTGACTTCAGGTGTGGGGAAAATTGGTAAATGACGGAGGTAATTGTTTGACTGATATTCTTTTGTCCATTCTTTTGTTCAATAGTTGAGAGGGACGCACAGAAGAAAGATGTACTCAGATCCAGGGTATGTTAAATTTATCAACGTAAAAGTTGCTGTCCAGTCCCTTTCCTTCCCTTCCAATCCCGTCTGGCCTGTCCTGTCCCTTGCTCCTTCCTGCAGCATTTTCCATGCCTATACAAGGTGAGTAAAAAAACACATCCCAAATGGCAAGACCAATTTTTGAATGAAGTTTTGCCTATAGCACTTTCAAAGTCTAGCCTAAGAAAGCCCACCAATGAGCTTTCTTTTAGTGCAAGAATCATTCAAATCACTCATGTACTTTTCAAAATACGGCATTTCAAACACAAACACCGTTAAGTTCTGTCCAAGGATCACAAAACAGGTACATGTTCTTTTAGCAAAATGAAGACAATTCATATGCATCCTTATGAGAATTGTTTTCGTTTTGCTGAAAGAACACTTACTTTTTTGTGATCTGTGGACAGAACTTTAAAACAGTGTTTGTGTTCAAAATTTCATAACATGAAAAGTACATGAGTGATCTTAATGATTCTTGTACTAAAAGAAAGCTTAATGACTGGGCTTTCATATCCTAGATTTTGAAAGTGCTACAGGCAAAACTTCATTCAAAAATTGGTCCTGCCATTTGGGACGTGTTTTCGTTTACACACCCTGTATGCCTGTGTCTGCACAACTGTCCTTGACCATGCCCATGCCATGCCTGTGAAGGTGCTGGTACCAGTGCCTGCACCTGAACCCTTTCACTTGCCCATGCTCTGTTCGTTCCCATGACCATATGCCCATTCCTGTGCCCTTTCCCACACCCATTGCCATCCTATCCTTAATATTTTCGAAACAATATCAAATAACGTTTTTTTGGTGCATTTATTTTCTCAATTTCCCTAGGTGCAAGAGTACATGGTTCGAGCCGAGGATCTGAAGCAAATGATGAAACCAAAGTCCCAACCCGTCGTTCAAATTCCTGATTCTTCATCTCAAGATGAGAAACAACTACCAGATGTGTTCCTTCTAGGTAATACTCCCACTGCTTATTGGCACTCCTTCGTCACTATTTCTTTTGGTCACAAGGCCTGTCTCTTTCTAATGGAAATACAAAGATTAAATTTATTCAGTTCACTTCCAAATTCCTGAAAAGTCACAGTGTTTGCTGAATTCCACATTTGTTATTGACTGATTGATCAATTTGGTTTATTGCTTTTTATAAAACTTGCCGTTTCTAACAAACTAATTAACAATAATGGAACAAATATGTGCTTAGCCGGTCTTAAACAAGTATGTTCAAACCGGCTTGGGGCCTGGACATGGATAATGAAGGCCATTATTGGCAATCGGGCCCCAAGCCCCATTTATAAATACCTTTCTGTCAAATCAAGTACGAAATTATAAATTTCCGACAATATCTTCAACAATGTTACATGTTTTTTTGAAATACCCCTCTAGCTATATTTATGGTATGTGCCTCTCGCGAGCAGTAATAAAACAATCTCCTTATTATATATGCAGCATTGTGCATCTCACATCAAAATATTGAGATGCAGATTGTAGTTATCACTCAATATGGTGTTTTAATAGGCCACATTTATGCAAGCTGCATACGTATCCTGCGCCCACACCATTTCTAATGGTCCCTAATATTGAAAAAATCGATCATCAATACTTATACTTAACTTAAAAAACGTTTTCTTTCCTGATTTGCTTATTCATTATTTTACATATTGTACCGGGTCTCACTCTTAAAGCTATAGTCCATCATTTGCAGCCATCCGAAAAGTAACTGGCATAATTATTGTTGAAAAACAAAATTGGTTGAAAGATAGTAAGGGAACTAAACTCCCTGTGAAATTATTCTTTCTGGGAAGCTGTCATTTTGAAGTAATCAACGAAAGAAGGCATTTCCAACGGTGATTCTTAAGAAGCACCATAGGAAAATTTAAATTAGTAGTTCGTTTTGTTATTCAGCGCAGCGCGCACAAGTATTGGAACGACGCACAGGCGCGCGCGGTTGTTATAATTCGTCGGATCAGTGCGCGACGTCGCGTATAGCTGCAATTCAAAACAATTCAAAACATGATTCAGTAACTTTGGATTTGAAATTGAGATCTTAGAATGCTGTTTTTCTCGGAATGTACAGCTGAAGCTTAGCTGAAACTTCATCAGGTAGTTGCTCATTATCCTTCATCAGATTTTGAACTCTTTTGTTGCTTCAAACGAACAAAATGCTCAAATTACAAATGATGGACTGTAGCTTTAAACCTATTGTCCTGTCTTAGTCCGTGTGTAGTTGTTTAAGTTTTGTCCTGTCCCAGGGAAAGGTACAAAAGCAGTGCTTTACCTTTTTCCTTTATGTTGACATCATTTAATATTTACACTTAATTGCATACTGTCTGTGAAGAATGTTTTGTTTATACATATTTATTTCTGTATGAATTGTCACTGAAGATGTCAATGTGAAAATAAAATGCCGAATTGATTTGATTTGAATATATCCGTGCTGTGTACACGCTTAGCAGATAGCGAGGTTGCGTATGACGTTTCAAGACCACACAAATTGATGACCTGTCCAGCGCGCTAACTGTATCCAATCATTTGTGAAACCTCTCTAATAACCTGAGGAGGAGGATGCAATATTTAAATTCTGTCTAGTTTTCTTCTCGAATAGTTATGGTAATAATGTAGGGTGCTGTGGTCCAATGGTTACGGTGTTTGATTTGTGTGCCGTGGTACATGGGTTCGAATCCTCACCGTGGGAATATGGTTCTTGCGCTCTTGAGCAAGGCACTTTACCATTATTACTTCTTCCTTCGGATGGGATGTAAAGCCGTAGGTCCCGTGTGTTGTGTAACGCACGTTAAAGAACCCAGTAACACTTATCGCTAAGAGAAGGGGTTTGCCCTGGTGTTTCTGGCAGTGGCTGCAATATGCGCCATAGCACCTTGTCAACCCTTAAAGGTGCTACATAGTGGGTGTCATATTTTTCATATACTTTATTTACCTTTCTTTAATAATAGACATAATCTCCAGCGCCTTGAGTACCTAATTGTTGGTAGATACGTGCGCTATATAAGGCTCCGTTATTATTATTAATAATATTCTTCTGTATTTCCCATTGATAGATAAATTGGCCAATGGGCACCGAAACTTGCAGATAGCTTTAGAGGTAGCGCATGAAGCTGAGTTACAGGTGAGTAGAGGATTAAAATGGTGAAACAGGCTGTACAGAACAACGCCACCATGGGTGGGATGGGTTGCTTAGTGCATAAAGCACTCGCCTCTCACCGCTGTGGCCCAGGTTTGATTCCTGGCTCGGGTCATACATGTATGTGAGAAGAGTTGCTTGTTGATTCTCTCCTGTGCCGCCAGGATTTTTCTCTGAGTTCTCCAGTTTTCCTCCCTCCGCCAAAAAATTACACTTTCCATCTGGCTGTGCTTCATGGTCAGAGACATGGCAACTGCCTAAAGCACCTTTATATGCCTTCAGCTTGACCACTCTGTAGCTGTGTTCTTTTCATTTCAGCGTCTGCTGCGAGTAAGGACGATTGGCCCCGAAGTTAATAATGATAAATTGCTATCATTTTGTGAAATAGAACAGAATGCAAACCCATTCAATTCTTCAGGACCAATTGTAATTAACTTTTTCAAAGTTCTTCAATATTCAAAATAATCTTCCCTGAACAATGGCGGCGCTCTAGGTACAGAGAAACAATGTTTAAGAAGAGTCATTTTAAGTAAGATTTGAAACTGTGCATGGTGGTAATAATGAACTCGTGAAAGTTTGCGGTAACACCATGTAGAAATATCCTTTGGGAAGATGTGTGGTTCTGAAAAGAACCGGTTGATTGTGAAACTCTTACAACCACCCGGTTCTTTTCAGAACCACACATCTTCCCAAGATAGATTTCCACATGGTGTTACCGCAAACCTACACTAGTTCAAGAGTCCAATTAGCGGAGAGTCTATTTGATAACAGTCAGATCGGAGCAATCCGTTGAGATAGACTTATACTAATCGGTCCTGATTTTAGGTTTTGGGATGGCCAAGAATTGCAAGAGGGTTTTGTGTGTCAAACTTAGAATCACAGTTGTAGTCAAAGCCTCATCACAAGTCCATCTCAAATCAGCCACAAGTCAATCACAAGTCAATCTCAAGTCAGCCACAAGTCAATCACAAGTCAATCACAAGTCAATTACAAGTCAATCACAAGTCCGTTACAAGTCATCCAGTCTCAAGTCGAGTAAACAGCTATTTATATGAACTGTGACAAAGGCATTCCTTCGTCATTGTTTTATCTCATGCTGTTGTAATCATCTTTTCAATTTGGGCGATTCAATGCAGTGCGCCACCAAGAGTTTGCCATGGAGAGTCCATTTTTCAAGTTTACGGTCGACAAAACGCGGTCCATTTGAATGAGTGTCAGTAGACAACTTGAGCTAATTTTGTTATAGATTGGGGCATAGCGTACTGCCGGCTCATAAAAAAACACCATATTGATTAAAAGGGGAAAAAAAGGGCAAACAGATCCTCGAATCATACGCTTACGAAACTACTAAACGGAAAAACGAACACTTTCAAATGTCCCGCGCTGCAAATTTGTCGACCATCTCCCACAATGCACTGAGAAACTTGAACTCTCCGCGGCAAACTCTTGGTGGTGCACTGCAATGTGAATCGCCCGAATTGGTTTGTGACAAGATTTGAGTCAAGTTGACTGATGATAGACCATACTACAACCCTGCACAGATCAGCCTCATCAATCTCAGTTCCAGGTGGAACTCTTTTTATTCTACAGTGGGATCATTATCCTAAGTATCTTAATTATCTTAACTAATCTAACAAGCACAAATGCAGTTCCCCCAAAGTTCTCATCTTCAAATAACAACTAATTTGAAAAAATTCCCACTTTGCCCTGAAATCTTTTCATCTGTTGACGATCACATACTAACCCTCAGGCATCTTTTTGTTATGAGCCCAGCTACAGTACTAGTCTATGTAATAGACCCTGGCCCTGGCAAAGCCGACCATGGTCTATTATACATAAACAGATTCGGCAATTAATTATGCAACTAGACTGCGTATGACCTCGAGAAACGGACCAATCAGCAGGCGCCTTTGGTCAGTTGCAATTTCAGTCCTGATTTCGGAATGAAATGACATCACAAATTCTTATCAGATGTTATACAGAAGACTTGGCTCCGTGGATAACGGCTGATACTCAGACTACAGCAGTGCCACTCAATCACTACCATTTTTGAAAATTTACAACACCCAAATCAACACAGAATTTGTTGTTATCTGCATTGGTTTTGTACAGGATGCCAAAGAGAATTATGAGGCAGCCTTCAGAATCTACCAAGATTCCTTGGAGCAACTCATCCCCATCCTCCAGCATGAGCCGAACGGAAGGAGGAGGGAGACACTCCATAACGAGGTGCAGAGATATATGGCCAGGGCTGAGGTAGTCAAACAGTTCCTTGATGTGAGTATGGGTCTGTGAGTAGTATTTTGTCCAAGACAAGATTTGGTTCTTTGTTCCCTAAAGGCAGTCATTCTCGATCTCTTGCAAGAGCGGCCAATTGCAAGCTGCCATGTCGGTAGAGGGCCCTATCAATAAGATCCAGTTTTGGGGACTCCGACCAAATCTTAGGAAACCTCACGCAAGACATCAACCTCGTTCCTCATGGGTATGATCTTGCTGCGCCATGGTGGTTCTCATCATCATGCCTTGCATGATCTCAACCCCTGGAATTGTGTAATTTAATGTCCCAGTACTTGGGAGATTTAAGTTAGGACTTCAGTCGATGTGTTTAATGTCTGGCGCAGTGCTTTCAGTTTTGGATAATTTTTTTGTAGAATCAATCCTTTCAAAGATGAAATTTCGAAGTCACATTAAAGACCAAGGATTTATATTCAATGTACATACCTCTGTCTTGTCGTCCGTTTCGACACAAGATACTGATTCCTTTGCTTTTACATTTTGTGTTTCTGATATCAAAACACTGCATCCTATAACTGTCATGTTACACAAATGCTCATTCTGATCTAAATACTGCGCGTTTGCTCGATGAGCATAAGCATGACATGGCGGTTATTGGACGCAGGGTTTTGATAGAAATTAGCATTATTTGTACATATGGCGCCCTCTATCAACAGTTTCATGTTCAGGATCCACTCTGCATGCTTCTTATGAACAGCAGAGGTGCATGTGATTAGTAGAGTCATTGTTGGTTTGCATGGTTAAACAATATTGCCTTAATGTGGATGTACATTGACAGTAAAAGCTGCCTTAACGAGCTCTGTTACACTGAACATTTGGCCATAATTAACATTCCCTTTAGATTTGGCACCAAAATTGTAATTAAAATAAAACAGAGCACTGCATGGCAGCCAATATCTCAAAACAAATAACCACTAACAATCTTTTGTGGTCCTAGTTGTACGTGAAAAAGATACTTATTGCAGCATTCATCTTTTTTAGTGTGTACAAATGAGTCTTTGTTAACAAACCCTTATTTTTGTCACCTGCGGGAATTGCCTAATGCCTAGCCCGCAGGAACGGGGGGTGCCGTGGGTGCTGCAGCATCCCCAACTTTTTGGATGGGGGTGCTAGAGTATACTGCTGAAGCACCCCAACCCCCTGACAAAAAAGTGTTCCAGCACACCCTGGGGGAAACACCCCCCCCCCCCCCCCCCCCGCCACCCGGACAAGCGGGCTTGCTGAATGCATACAGACTTTCTACTGTAAAAAATTCAACAACATTTTGTGTTATGCAACTGAAGCAATTCTTCCAATTTGACGTGTTGCAAACTTACTCACAATAGAATGAAACAGACAGAGAAGGATGAGGTGACAATTGTGTCTGCATTTTTTAATATCAACAGGTCAGAAGAATACCACTTAAACAGGACTCAATCAACGAAGTCCTTAGACCCGACAGAAACAAAAATGGTAAGTTCCTGTCATCTTCATGATATCATTGAATGAATAAAATATCTGTTGCACATTGTTCTGATATTTATCTGTGAAAAAAAACTAGTGATGCATCATTAGGCATGGAACTAAATGTTTGCAAACCCGACCCGAAACCAACTTCGGGTCGGGTTGGGTCGGTTTTACCATCATTACCCCTCAGCCGAGAGGCTCGAGGGGTATTGTCATCGCCTACGGCGTCCGGCCGTCCGTATGTCCGTTCTGACCATACCCCCCTTGTGGGGTGATGTTCCTTTCAGGACACATCACCCCACTATTTTCACAATAGAAAAACATCACCCCAGAAGGGAATCTTTAGAAAAAGGGATAATGGGAACACAATGCTATCACCCCACAATTCCGTCTGGCTAGACCGTCCGTCCGTCCGTCCGTCCGGGCAGCTTAGTTTCCGGATGATAACTTGAGTTAGAAATGTTGTTTGGGATTGTAACTTCGGTAGGGGGTTGCCCTTGGGAGTTGGGATTGGTTTTGGGGTCAAAAGGTCAAAGGTCAAGGTCATCGTGGTGAGTTAAAGGTAAATTTAATGGTAAATGCAATGGGTCTTCATCAACCCTGACCCTCCAAGATCCTCAAAAATCCAAGAAACTCTGGCGGATATTTAGGATTAATTAAGGAGGGAAGATTCCAGCCACTATTACTTTTAAGACATGGAACTTGATGCCCTTTTGATAATTTTTGATAAAAAGGGTAGCCTTGAGTTTTGACAGAGTAGTGGATTTTGGTGAACATCAGGAAGGTTCCGAGCAGAAATGCCTTGATGTAAGAATTATACTTTAGCAATTTTGTGAAAGATAGCTTTCAGTTTGAAAGTCAAATTCCTAGCTTAGATAACGGGATGTTATCAGCATAATATTGACGGAGGCAGAGTATTTACAGAGGCTTAACTGCACAGTGCCCACTCTGTGCCTTTTTTTTCTGTAAACCTGCGCCTGCTTTATCAGTTTCCCATAGGAATAGTAAGTCAACAGTTTCTGTGCATTTTACAAATCTTGCCTCAAGATTTCTTGATTAGCATCACTACTACAGGACATTTTTAGGCTGAATCATGCTTGCTTTTGATGGAAAGTTTGCATCAGGGAGATGTAAAGTTTAATATTAGGTTTGTCCACTCAGCTACATAATTTTATGGACAAATACGTCTCTTTCAAATGACGTCACTTCTACAGATTGCCACATGCATCGGCATTTTGGGCGTCAAATTTTCGTGACGCATATTGCCAGTGCCGTATTTCGAAAAAATTTCGAGCAACACGTGCACGAATTTAGAACATTTTCCACACTGCGCGCACACGCATCTGATGGCATTGAACACGCAGTTAAAATTTTCCTACGAAGATGGCATCCTATGAGAGAGATAGACCAATGTATTAGGCCAGACCACTGATCTCTATATAAAGACTGGATAGCGGATATGCATACAACATTCACACAGTAGACTTTGCATATTGACCAATTCGCCCCCGGTCTCACGAAGATGGCCGCGTATAATACGAACGTTCTACGCGTAAATACGCGCGCGTTGTATCAACAGTTGACGCGCATTTTGGTCACGTGCACATATTATGATGTTCTAAAAAGGACACATTTCCGTAGTGATTATTATTTCAAAAACGCCGAAAAAGTGATTTGCGGCATTATAAAAGTAACCACGACGTTAGAAAAATTGTAGTAAACCTTGGTCATTTGGTCAGTGGTGGTGGCCAAAATATAAGTCAAGTGAACCGCGACGTTACAAAAGAAATCATGCTGTCTATAAAGACGGCAACTTGTCCTTTGTAGATCACCAGCCGGTCTCACCAATATGGCGTCAAATTCATTCATTGTGCGGCTCTTTATTAGCTATCCAGTCTTTATATAGAGATCAGTGGGCCAGACCCACTGCGCACCTGGGCAAGAACACGTGCACCCCTCACAGTGCATGTTCCAGTCGCATGTGTCATAAATGTGCGCCGTGCAAGCATGTCAGACTTCTGTGCACGCTTGTTCGGACACTGATCTCGGCTGTGATTGGTCAACACGCTGCTGGGCGGAGCTACAGGGATTGGTTTATTGGAGAGTTAGGGGAGACCACTGGGAGGGACTCTTGAACCCATCTGGTTTGTTAGTGTGACTTTACTTCAGTTTAAACCACCCTAACCCCCACTGGGTATTCTCTAGGCACCCGGCCAAATGCAACAGAATGCAGTGCCAGCCTTGGTACCAAGTACCTACCCTGCCAAATGCAACGGAATGCAGGCATGGAATGCATCAGATCAGGACACTGCTAAATGCAACAACTTGAAACAACTTCTTACCATTGGTGCATCCTGTTGCATTTGGCTGGGTTAGGGCTAAGTAGCATTGGAACCATTGGAACCAGAAGCTAATGCAACTTGAGTGTTTATCCAATGGGCGCTAGTAATCAGTGGTGCGCGTGCGTGTATGACATTTTTACTAACGAACCGGATTGCCAATGGCACCTGATGTTAATGTAAAACGCAATAAGGTTTGTGCAGATTCAGAATAATTAGTATCTGTTGTTTGTGTACTTTGCGAACCTGGTGTGTTCCTCCCACTGAGATGGACAGTGGACAGTGGTCACAAAGCGCCATCTATTGTACATGCACAAGGTCTATAGATATCTCTCAAATGACATCACTGCCTACAGATTGTCATGTGCAGCGGCATGTTGGGTGTCAAATTTTCGTGACGCGCATCGGCTGTGCTGTATTTTGAAGAAATTTCGAGCAACATGTGCGCGTGTTTAGAGCATATTGCACACTGAGTGCACACGTACCTGATGCGTTGAATACGCAGTTGTCATTTTCCTATGAAGAATGCTCTCTAGGAGAGGGGTCTATAACTAAATAAGCAGTGTATACTCAGAGTCGTCTGAGAGCTAGCTCACTTCAATTTTCCCACGTATGTTCCTCCTTTCATTTTTACCGCTTCTGTTGCTCACTTTGATTTTTCCTGCATATATTGCACGCTTTGTTTTTCCTGCGTATGATCCTTCCTTCGTTTTTCCTGCTTATATTGCTCACTTTGTGTTTTTTTCCTGCATATATGTTGCTCACTTCGTTCATGTTGTATTCGTTTCCAGTCATGTGGAGCAGTAAATCTGGTCAGTCAAATCTGCAGGCTTAGCAAGTATTTCTTTTGCAGCCGTTCAGCATTAAATCGCCATCGCGAGAGTCCCTCGTTAAGTCGTAACAGCCCCAGGGGTCTAGAGTTGCCTCTTAAGTTGTATCAAGGATGTGGGCGAGTGATGAGTGTTACTAGAGTGTTTTCAACGTGGACGCTCAGATGTTTTGGCGCAGCGCTGAGAATCTGAAAGCCATACGAATTAGGGAAAGCTCAACTTGAGGGGGTCTTGAACTTTTTTTCTCTCTCTCGCAAGTGACAAAGTCCTCATCAACATGATCCTCATCTCTGTCGTCGTGACGACACGCTGGTACTGCATCAGTTAATAAAAGGTTTTAGGCATGTGCGTGATGGATTGTGGTAATCAGTGATACACAGATAGTGCAGGAACTCTTGGGTTATGGATTTATGACACAAGCTGTGTGAAATTACTGGACTGATAATTCTGTGGGGTGACGCCTGATCACTCTCTTGACCTGTCTTAAACCCTACCTGTCCACATGTACTTTTGGATTCCTCATAATTAGAGAAGGGAAGTCTTGGGTAATGGATTTATTAATATATTCACTTGATAAATTACCAGTTTTGTACTCAAGCCTAGTGTATGTAGACGTTAATTTGTAATCACAGGGTCTTAGGTCTTGTACAAGCTTACGCTTTTACCTGGATCCCTCATATATTTTCTGTTATTCTTTATGTAAATTCTTGTTAATTATGTTTGATGATATGAAAAATGCAGTAAACCAATTAAGATTACTGGAGTGATAACTCAGTGTGTGGGGTGAGGCCTGCTCACTGTTTGGGTCTGTCTTAAATCCTATCTGCCCATCACCCATACTTTTGGATTCCTCATAATTAGAGATGCTCTCCCCCTTTTTATTTTTAAACTAATTATTTCTAGTAATACAACAATTATTCACTTTTGAATGAAATATCAACTGAAAAATTCCCACCACATGTAGCCATGGAATAATTATTTAAACATCTTCAATTTATTTTTGGCTCGACAATAGTAGGGGCTGATCTTTTTTGTACGTTAGTGTGAAAAATTTTAAGCAACTCAAAATAAAAAGGCTGATTTCATAGGGTTACAGTGCTTGGTTCCTAGCTCTATGATTTATTTAACAGTACAAAGAGAGGACCTTTAAACCTTCGTTCATGGATGAACCTACTAGTATCGTCGATATATCGATATTACTTGATTATAAATTCGATAGTTTTTTGATAGTGATATCGCTGATAGCAATTTTTTAATGATTGAAATATCGAACATTTCAATATTGAGGAAACATCGAAAATATCAAAATGCGTTAGATTATCGTCAAATTCAAGGCCTCCCCAAATGTAAAAGCTCAAAAGAAAGCGCCCGTTCGTCAAATGAAACATTCCAGCCGAATTTAGCCATGAAATAGTTACTTAAACATCTTCCAATTATTTGTGGCTCGACATAAGTAGGGGCTGATCTTTTTTGTACGTTAGGTGCAAAAGCAACTTTAAATCAAAGGCTGTTTTCACAGGGTATACAGTGCTTTAAAAAATTAAGATAAATAAGTTCAGAGTATTTAGTTATTTATTTTAAATTTTTAAACCTTCATTCATGGATGAACCTTGGGTACAATGGTCGGGAACCACAGTTTCAAGACCTACTCGAGTTTATTTTCCTATTCAAATAATGAAACACACCTTTGGCAGGGCTACGTAATGTTTGGCGAGCGTTTGAGGAACACTCAGGTTATTTCATCCTCGTAAGTAGCAGATGCTGTGGCATTCTGCTTTCCCGGAACTGACACTTGGTCCCGAGAGAAACTCACTGTGTATATAATATACCCAGTGCAGACACATCATATTCCCAGACCTG